ATAGACTGTCTCAATACTTGCAAAATACTCGTTGAATTTCACGGAAATTTACCAAACTTATCGAACGACCCACGTATATTATTAATATTAAGAACTTTTAAGGGATCAATATTTTTTTAGTGTTATTTTATAGGTATTTTATTTATATAAGGATGAAAATTAAATTGTTAACACTCTATAATTTGTATAGTAATACGAATTTTTTTGCAAAATTTTATGTACTTATGTAATACGAAATTTATGTACTTATATGTAATTTATGTACTTATATGTAATACGAAATTTTAAATGAAAAATTTAACATACAAATTTATATATTAAGCTATTTTTTAGTAATATGAATAATAAATTTCGTATATTTATGAATTTATAAGTTATTTTTAAATATAGAAATTGAAAGATTTAATATAGAATTAAGAATGATATTAAAGAATAGATATTAAAGAATGAATAGAATTTATAGGAAAAGATTTATTATTAAAATTTCAAAAAAAATTTTAATCTAAATAATATTTTTAAATAATAACTTTTCGAAAATTTATATATTCATTTATTTATATATTTATGGTTTTAATTTAAATAGTAATTTTTACAAACTTTATGTATTTATATACTTATATATACATTTAAGGTTTTAGTTCAAATTATAATAATTTTTATATAAAATTTATAAGTTTATTTTCTTATATATAGATGTTTGTGTATTTATGTATTTAAAGTTTTAATTTAAATAATAATTTTTATATAAAATTTATATGTTTATTTTCTTATATATAGATGTTTGTGTATTTATGTATTTAAAATTTTAATTTAAATAATAATTTTTATAAAATTTATATATTTATATATATTTTGAGATATATATAATTTCATTAATTGTATTTCATTAATTTTATTTATATAAATTTGTCTAAACAGCTTATAGTATTAAAGTTTAATATCGAAGATATTAAGAAAATTATTTTTTTCAGATATTTGTGAATATATATTGAATGTATATAATATTGAATATAGTGAATATTATGAACATATAATAGGATAGTAGTTTGTTAGGGCTACTCCATATAATGCTCCTTATGCATATGGTTCCGGGGACTTGTGCGTTGGAAGACTAAGGATAGGCGCGTGGGGTTTTTAGTTGGTAGTCCCTGCCGTTAAAATGGCGGCGGGGAGAGCCCAACACTACCCCGACGGGACCGTTAAATAGGTCCCGGCGGGGTGTGCATAAGGCGCATTTTCCCCACGTAAAAAAAAAAAAAAAAAAAATTGTTAAATTATGTTGTATTACATTTCCAATTATATTATATTTTAATAATGAATTTCAACAATGAATAACATAATATCCGACATGAACAATACCGTCCTAATGATTTTGTTTTACGGTCTTGTTATGCAAATTTAAATTTATATACTATATTGCAAAATAAATGCTGCAATTGTATATATTATATTATATATAAAATTATATATAATATAACCCTCCCATGGGGTACACCTTGTCGTGGTGGGAGGGCTTAGTACTTTGATGGTGCCTTGAGATTTATTTTAAATTTTTCTATTTACGATAAATCTTATGGTACCTGAAAGGGAAGCTAAGTACCCTTTCGCGTCGTCGGTGCCGTCAACGTGCCGCGGACGGCTGCGCTTCGTAACCGCGTTTTCGCGTTATAGTACTATCGCGTTATCGCGTTTTCGCGTTTTCAAAATCCCAATTTCGTTTTTGTCAACGAGTCTCTCCTTCCGACGCCAACTAACTGGGATGTTTCATCGAGTCGTTGCTTTGCGACGTACTCGCGCCTTGTGCAACGTGGCACTTGGTGATGCCGGCCGCGCAGAACGTAGGTCCAGTACAAAATGTACATGGGCGCGCGGGTTCGATGCTTCGCGCTCGATCGGCTTAGTGATGAACACGCTCTGCTTCGTCAATTGATTTGGCCCGAATCGGTTAGAACTCGATCGATTGTTCGAAATGGTCGTCAATGGGTCCCTTCTCTTTGCTCGTCTACTCTACAGCCACACGCCTAGCGTGTGTTAACCCTGTCGAGGAGTCGAGTGGATTCCCCTAGGCACGATTTTCGCTCGGTAAAAGGGGTTGCCTCCCCATTTTCTAAATTGCTGAATGTTAGCTTTTAAAAAATGTGGGTATCCTCTTCTTTTACCGTCTATCAGCCTTGTGTACTACGCTAGTGATATAGCATCCGTGCGGGTCACTTGAAATCGTGCTTAGCGGGTCCAGGTTCGATATGAGATAGGATAATTATGCGCGAAAAAGAGCTGGTGAACTTTATTTTCCTCTATTCCGTCAATCGTTTCGTCTTCTTTCCGGTTCGGGCCTAATCTTTGCTCGTTGTATCGTTGCATTCCCGACCTGTTGGCTCGAAATTGATTCTCGCGAAATGAAATGGGATTTTCGCTCGTACCGAAACCGGGAGTGTCGGACAAAGTATATATATATTAAATATATACATCGCGCGACAAAATTTTTATTCGTACCGAATTAGTGCGGGAGTGCCGTTTAGTATCGCGCGAAAAATAACGAAAATAGCGATATAAAAATATCGCTCGTGTGTGCGGGAGTGCCGTTGAAAGTATCGCGCGTCAACAACATGAGAGGAGGAGGAGGCCTGGGAGAGGCATCTTGCATCAGCGGAGCAACCTGATGGTGAATATTTATTATTTGTATATCAATTGTTATAAATCGTACGCATAATAATTCGATCTTATTATTTAAATGAATTAAAGAGAAAATTAGAGAGAAAGATTTTTATGAAAGTTATATAAAACTTTTTAAAAAACTTTCTTAAAACACAGTTTTAAAATTTTATAAAAATTTTCCACACGTGTTTATCTCCGCTTATTATTTTACACATCGGATATAAAATTCCGCGCGATAAAAATTTTTTGAAATATTGATTGCATTTTGTGAGCATTAATATAAATGAATTTTATATTTGTATGTTACAGACAACTAGCTTCGATAACAACAACTCCGCTGTTGCGCATCAGTGCCGGTGAGTGAGAAAAACTTTTATTTAACTTTAAGGTAACGGATTCGTAGAGATTGTAGATGTAGATTGTAGATTGTAGATTGTAGATTGTAGATTGTAGATTGTAGATTGTGAATTGTAGAGTAAGTCCGTTGCCTTAAAATGGATGAGCTAGGATAGATTAAATTAAATAACTTTTAATAAATTCTTTCGAAATACTTTGCATCTATTGCGAAAATATATTGAAGTATTAATTTAAAAAAGAGAATCAAGATAAGAAAATTTTTTTTGTAAAGACTTGACTAGTTTATTAAATCAAGAGCACGCATTAATAATTTTAACAATTTTATCAATTTTTGATACTACTTTATTCTTATAACGCGCACTTATTTTATTCTAATTTCTTATATCATAGCTCATCCATTGTAGAATTTGTTTGTAGATATTGTTTTTAAATTTTACTTTAACTTAAAATAAAGCTAAACGATTAATTAATTAAATAATTTGTAATATCATAAAAGTTATACACGTACATGAATTTTATATTTTATTAGAAAATATAGTATATAGAAATTTGTAGTAATTTGGCTTTATTTGAGTTAAAATAAAGTTATATTCAAATATTTAAGAAACGATCGTAAAATCGAGCGATCGTTACGATGAGCGTGAAATATTTACGCTCATTTGCCGGTAATTAATCGGCAAAAGAAGGAGTGTTTATCTCCTTTTTCGATCTCTGATTAGAGATCGAGCGAGAAAGTGGCCAGAATCAACGAAAAGTAAGTTCAATTGGCCTGAAGAAAAGCTTTACGTACAGTAATACGTAATGTCGGACATTTATTCACGCGGTTAGGGCATGCGGTTAGAGAATGTAATTAGGGCACGTAATTAAAATGTACGTGATTAGAGATAGGCTTTCCTCGAATAATTTCACTTAATCGAGAAATAGGATTGTTAGGGCTATTAGGTGATTATTAAGATTTTTTAATTTTCCTTTGAAAAAGTAGAGGATTGTTAGATTGTAATAGACCTAATCTAACCTCTCTGTCTCACATGTTGAATGTAAATACTGGCATGTGCTAGGTGAATTTTATCATGCTTTAAAAATAATTAATTATTAGTGTAATACATTTTATTATCATAGTATATTAATCATATTAAATGTATGCAATGATGTAGCAATGGTATAGTTTTACTCGTTTTAATGAAGAGCATAATATAATTGGTTAGATTAGATTAACTTAATCAAAACAAGCTGCTGTGATGAGGCATTTAACGTGGTAGCATAAATTTGACGAATGTGCAGCTATTGATGTTAAATAACATTTGTGGACACATTTTTAAAGTAATCGTGGATTTTGTATCTCATCTCAATTACATAAAACTAAATTATCAAATATTTATATATTCCACATTAATGTTATTCATTACAAGAATTATATTAATTTTTTTATATCTCAATCGTATTCAACCACATTATTTCATTGATGAAGCTTTTCATAGACAATATGATGCTGTGCATGGAATTTTAAGCAGGTAATACATGGCATAAAAATAATTTGCTTTTAAGTATTGCATACAATTCTCAAAAATAAATCAAATTAAATTATTTTTAGTGGGTTCCAAAAATTATTATATTGCCAGATTTGTGTCTTATTACAACTGCGATGTTATCACCTTTTAATATGCAGTATTACATGCATAAGATGTATGAATTTATTTGGAATATGCCTTTATCTTATTTATAAAAAAATATTGCAAATGAACAGAGCGATGGAATAATTGATTAATACTTACACTGGCCTACAATATTATCCTTTTTTCATCATTTTGATGCTTTTTTTATTATACAGATGTTATATCTGTAAATATAGCACTCGTAATATTGTTTCTAACACCAACATAAGTACACAAAAATGATAGAATTTGCATGTAATTACATTATATTTATATAAATCATAAGAAAGAGAAAATAAAATTAAAGTTGAAACAAATTAAAATAATATTATATAGGTTTAATAGCTGTACTTGTTCGTCAAACAAATATCATTTGGCTTGGCTTCCTTACTGTAGAACATGCAAGATTACATATATTTGATAATAATATGGAGTCAATCCCGCCACAAGTGCTCAATACTCCATTGCACTTTCATGTAAGTAAAATCGAAAAATTTCCGCTCCTTTTTTTATGTATATGTAAATTATATATACATAAATTGTATTTTTTAAATGCAAACAAACATTTTTGTCGTAAATAATATTATCTATATAGAAGGGATTTTTTTAAAGATTTTCATTTTCAACGAATACATATTAAATTTTGTAAATAACATCAATCAACGTTTTTATATTTAAATTTGTGACTTTCATGCATATAGGATTTGTTACAAATTTAAAAATACTGAATCATAATTTATAATAATTTAATCGATAAAATATTTTACAATATAAATCATGTGAAGTATACGACGCGTCGTTGGTTAATTACAATGATGTTATTGGCACCTATATTTTACGTCTCATTTATCAAATACGCGTGGTATTTCTTCATTTCATTAATCTTGATGTATCGATCTTATTTTTATGATATTATCAGAATTAAGCATATGATGATAATAGTAACAAGAAACAGTAAATATACATTATATGCTTGAAGAATAAATACTAAAATTACCATCGCAAACTGTGGCTTTGTCTTATGCAAGTAGAAACGAACATTACGTAGTCACGTAATATATTATATAAGTACATCATTAGAAGTGTAGAATACCAAGTTTTTGGAAAATTCTGGATATGGAGATATCTAACGCATTACTGTCTCGCTAAATCGTGAATAAAACTTTAAGAATGCCGAGTATATGAACCTTTGCTAATCTATAGAACATAAAATTTCTGAAACTGTGCACGAGCATAAAATTTTCCTAAAACGATGAAACGCACTAAAACAAAAAGCGAATTGTTCGTGTACGATATTTAGTACATTTCCTGAGTGTTCGGATAGACATTAAAGAGAAGATTACTTTATCCTGACTAGATTAGCACTCTATAAGCACTCGTCCAGTCTCTCGTGTCGAATCTTAATTTCTATTTGCTACACATAAGTTGGTTTTATAAGAGAACTAATCCATGGCACTGTCGTCATTGCACTGATAATTCGGCACAAATACAGATTCATTATTACAATATTATTACAATTCTAATAAAGTAGAGAAAAAAATTAAATATGTGCGGAAAAGATCGATTATATTTGTTACGGCTACGAGATATAAATGTGTTCAAAATTATATATATACATATACAAATGCTTATTCAAACAGCTGTTTAGCATAGTGCCAAATGCGGAAAAAGTACTCGTCTTTCCTAAGTAATCTCGCTCTCGCGTATGAATGTATATCGGCATCCATATTATGTTCCCGCAACCACGAACTCGTATTTTCCGTACTGAAGCTGACCGATGCAGTCTCGCCCTTGTCCATAGCTTCAGCGATCGGTTCCACGAATGACAGTTCTGTCGAGGAAACAAAAACTTAGTTGAATTTGTACTTGTTGCGGTAATAAAAGAATAGATATTTAAAATCAAAAAATCTCGTTCAAGCGACGAGACAAAGAGTGGAAAAATAATAAGAGATAGTGGAGAGATTGTACCTGAGCTCGGCACGATGTTAAAAGGTTCTTCCGATTCCAAATGATCGCTGAATCCAATCTCGTTTCGTGCAAAAATTCTCACGAGGTATTCGTGATTCTCTTGCAGATCACGAATGTTCAGTTTCTGGATGTCTGCGCTCACTCTGCCTACCTCCATCCACATGGTCTTCTTCGCATCTCTGATAGCGATTTTGTAACCTTCCAAAGGTGCACCACCGTCCGATTCGGGTCTCCCCCATTCGATTACCATCGTATTCGCCGCGATTTGCCTCATTTCTAACGGAGCGGTAGGCGGAGATGGAACGTCTATGAAAAGATTAAAAATAAAACGATGTATAGATCGTATAATTATTTACTACATACACTGAGGAAAAAATTATCTTGAAATAAAAAAATTTTAGTTGACTCAAGAAAGCTATTTTTTCGGTGGGTACTAATCACGTATTCACTTGTATTCAAAACGTCTGTTTGTTTAAGTTAAGTATTTATTTACTTATGTTTAAAAAAATATATATGCTTAAAAAATATAATTTTTAATTAAATATTTTTATTTTAATTTTACAAAATATTTATTAAAATGCATTTTTTATTCCCAAAAATTTTTAATTTTTTAATTTTAAAAAATAATATACTTAATTTAATAAATTATAGTATATATTTTACGATAATAGTATTTAAATATAAAAAATATATAAATGAAAATAATGTACTTAATATAACATGCATATTTAATTAAAATTAAATACTTTTGCTTAAATGAAATAAACAATTCCTTGCATTTAAAGCAAAAGTTTCAAGAAAACAAATTTATTTGATTTAAAAAAATTTTTCCCTCAGTGTAGTAATAATTTAACGGTAGCATAAGCTCACTGGCATGAGTTTTCAATGTGACTGGCTCGGAATTGGTCGGTGTGCTAAGTCCTACGCTATTTTCGGCAAAGATTCTAAAGAGAAATTCGCTCTCTTTCAAGTTCTCTACCCAATATTGATTTGTTGTAGCGTCCAAAGTAACAATCTTTGTCCATCGAGCACCTTTTCCGATTAATGGCCTTTTCTCAATTATATAGCCTGCAACAAAATGAAATATTTAGCAATATTAAAATAACATTGAAATAAAGAATATCAAAGTTTTGTGCTATTTCACATGTGCTAATTCACCTGTTAATTCTGATCCTCCTGTGGTAGCGGGTGGTGACCAACTAAGAGTGACGCTTTTGCTTGTAACATTGGTCGCTCGAACATTTAGAGGGCATGAAGGTGGTGCTAAAAAATATATTTAAAATACGTTTATTGCATAATGTTTTATCTTATATCATAACAAATTATATTTATAATAACAGAAAAAAGAAGAGCAAAAATAGCAGGATATAAGCGACTTACTCTTAACGACGACCATTTTTGTGGACGGAAATATCCCTAATAGCGCATATATGCTGTTTTCTGTGAGCTTTATTATTTCTGAGCAAAAGCGAAAGCGTTAATAATTAAGCGACATTTCGGAAGTTAATAGATTGAGAAGGAGGAATAAGCGAAAGAGATATTTAAAGAATAGTTAATCAACTCACTCGGTCGTTTTCCGGCTGTAATCGCTTCTTCTACTTCATACGGAGGACCAGTACCGACGCTGTTTTTAGCTGTTATTCGGAAATTGTACGATGTATCCGTTTTCAAATCGGATATAATAACATTTGTGACGTCCCCTTTTGTGCTTGCAACCTGAAAAAGTATAATATACGAAAATATTCGCATACAATTTTGATTGTAATGCCTGTGATGTGGTGAAAATGAATAAGGTACTAACTCTTCGCCAAGCTTTCTTTGATGTCTCTTTTATTTCGACAATATAGTCTGTGATAGGCGTACCACCGTCATTCTCTGGAGGTTCCCATTTGATCGTGAACGACGTTTTCGTCATTCCAGAGACCTCGAACGGTCCTCTTGGCGGGCCCGGTGGTTCTATAGATCAAATTAAAGATTTAATTATTATTTCTTTTTAATTGAATTGTTATAGCGTTATATTTTTTTTATTATCAAAATCATTAAAATCTTTTTCTTACCGAATGAAGTCCTTGTTCTAATTGGCTCGGATTCCAAAGCATCTGAAGCTCCAACTGCGTTTGTAGCGACTATTCTAAAGAGATAATCGACGTTTTGCTGCAATTTCTGCGCGCAGAAATTTTCGACTTCTTTGTCGACATCACCCACTTTTGTCCAAACTTTTTTACTTGCTTCGCATTTCTCGATGGTATATCTTTCTAGTTCTGCACCACCGTCATCGATCGGCGGTTGCCATTCTATAGTAACGCGATCTTGTCTGATTTCTTTCGCGATTACTGGTCCCTGAGGTTTGCTCGGCTTATCTACAATGTTTATTATCAAATTTAATTTTAAATAGTTTATTTTGTTAGTTATCAAATATCCAGAGTTATTAAAAGAAAAAGCAAAAGAAAAATCATGAAAAATATATAAAAGATATCAACCTATAACACGAAGATGACATTCGATCGATGAGCTACCGGCTTCGTTTGTCACATTCGCTGTATAGACAGCTGTATCATCCCTGACGAGCGAAGAAATCGTAATAACAGATGTATCTTCCTCAGTCTTGATGGAAATACGTTTGTCAGTTATTTTTTTATTATTCATTGTCCACGCCACTTTCGGTTTTGGGAAACCACTGAAGTGTATTTCGACCCTCCATTTGTCGCCTACTGTTAGTCTCTGATTCGTAAAGTTTTCATCGCAAGTAATCTTTGGAGGTTCTTGAATCTTTAATTGACACGATGTTTCCGCCGTTCCCGCATCATTTTGTGCTTTAACCGTGAATGTGGCCGACGATGTCTCTGTAGTTTTTCGAATCGTATACTTGGCCACGCGGTTTTCGTATGTGATGTCATTGTCTTCGAAAATCTTACCATCCTTCAACCTAGAAGATGATTTCCGAAATACAGTTTGAGAGTTTAATTACTATAAATGGCATATCTAGTTTAAATAAGAAAAAGGGATGTACCATGCAATATGTGGTGTCGGTATACCACCGATTATGCAAGAAAGTGTGACGGTTTCTCCTAATCCGATCACGATGCTCTTGAGCGCTTCTAGGATGGTTGGCGGTTCAGACGCTAATAATTTGGAAATTCTTAGATATGGCGTATTCGGCGATGGCTCGCCTGATCCGACTTCATTGACTGCTGTCACACGGAAGGTATATTCCTTGTCAACGGTCAAATTCGTTAGCTTGTACGTGGTTTCACTTATTGTTTCGGTGATTCTGCTCCACCTAAGAAATCATATAATTTTATAATTCATATAATTTCTTTACATATTGATCAAGTTGTGGAGAATTGAATAAATATTTATTAGTAATAATTTATTAAATTCATAAATTACTTACGAAGATTCCGTCTTTTCGCGATATTCCAAAATGTATTCCACGATCGGAGAATATCCATCTGAATCTGGTTCCTTCCAGTGGAGAGTAACACTGTTGTCGGTTATTTCGAGAGGTTCTGGAATTCCTGGTGCTCCAGGTAACTCTGTAATAAATACATTAATTGTATGTGTACATTTCTTTTTTCTTATTTTACATATTCTTTTCGAAAAATTATTCGAATATTCGATATGATAGATGAATACTTACGCACGACGACAATATTGATTTCTATACCATCTTCTCCATGAGGATTAGTTAATTGTAGATTATAATCACCGAAATCTGTTTCTTGTGCATCTCTAATTGTTAAGACGGCTGAGCATTCGTCGACGGATGTGAGGATTCGTTTGGATTTTTTAAGAATGCGGCCATTGACAGTCCACTCATCAATTGGAGTTGGCGTAGCCGTAAATTTCACAATGACATCAACATCGTCACCTTTCATTGTTTTATATTTTCTAGGCGTGTCGGGATTGATTTTAGGCGGTGTTTCGATAACTAAAACATAATTGATATATATATTATATTGAATTTTGTTTAAACTTATAAAAGAGAACAATTATTAGAAAAATATTAATATATTTAATATGATTCAAATATAAATAATGGATTTACAATTATACGTAACATAAGGCGGCGCAATGTATAAAAATTTACCTTCAACTTTTAATCTGGATGACGTTTTTACGTTTGCCACGATGGCAGTATATTCAGCGATATCTTCGGTAGTGCATTTTTTAATAATGAGTTTCTTAACACTTCCTTCATCGATAATGAGATATTTCGAAGATTGTGTGCAATCGATTATTTCGCCTTTCCTATAAATTTTATATAATATATATATCAAGTACATACTTGTTTCAATCGTCAATTGAAATTATTAAAAATGTTTGTATATATGTAGGAATCCTTATTATATTTTTTTCGTACTTTTATGACTGAAAAATCGACTTACTTTAACCACGTTACTGGTATATCGGCTCGTGACAATTCAATGAGGAATGTTGCATCGGTGTTGAGAGGCACTAGAGTAACATCTGGCAATTTTTTAATAAAATCTACTTCAGGCTCTTCAACCGTTAATCTAGCTGACGAAGTTTGATCGCCAACTTGACAAGAATAGATTCCCGCATCTTCCATTTCCGTGTCGTAAATTTTCAGTTTTTGCCTCTTGCCATCGATCGACAATCGTACGTGCTCGGAGAATTGCAACTCCTGGCCATCTTTGAACCAGCGTATTAAGGCGTCACCTTTCGTTAATTCTATATCAAAGGTCGCTTTCTCTCCTCTGGCTATAGTTATATCCTGCATTTTCGTAATAATCTCCGGTGGCAATTCAATGACCGTAACTTCTGCCGTACATTCTTCATCCGGAAGGGCGCACGTGTATTCCCCTTCGTCATGAACGGATGCGTTCCTGATAAGAAGCTTTCTCACGGTACCATCTTTCACGAATTCTAATTTGCCTTTGCTTGGTGTTAATAATTCGCCGTCTTTTCGCCATGTAACATCCGCCACTTGAGACGTGATCTCGACCTCCAAAATCGCCACACCGCGTTCTTTTACTTCGAAATCTTGCAGTTTTTTGACGAATTCCGGTTTGGTAGCTCGAATGATAACATTGCTGGACGTCACCTGGTCCTTGACCGTACACTTGTACGTACCTGCGTCGGAAAAGCCACTCTTCTTAATAAGCAATTTATGTACGCGTCCTTCTTGAATTATTTCGCGATGATCCATTCCGCTAATCTCCTTGTCATTATGCCACCACACTGTAGAGACGGTATGCGATGTCTCGCAACTCAGTTCCAGAGTTTTGTATTCGTTGACTGTGACTTCGTTTTGCAATTTTTTTGTGAAAGAGACTTTAGCAACGTCTACCGTGACTTTTGCGCCATGTGAAGTTTTCCCAACCGGATTACTGGCGACACATTTATAATCTCCAGCATCAATTTCAGAGTCTGCGTTTTTAATTTCGAGTAGAATGTTTTCACCGTCGTAACTTTCTATGATATTAGGAGATTTGTCAAGCGGCTTATTATTTCTGAGCCAAGTAACTTCTGGGACAGGATTTCCAATTACTTTGGCGGTTAATTTAAAGGTACCCTTTTCAGGAACAACTACTTCTTGGAAACGTTCAGTGAACAAAGGAGGTTCTGGTGCACCACTCGGTACTTCTATATTTTGTAAAAAAATGTAATAGTATCTCATTATCATAATATAATTTTTTATATAATATTATTTACATTATTATAATATAAAATATATCATGTAAATAGATATATAGTTGTGATAGTATAACGACACAAATGCATATCATACCCTTAACAAACGAGATGTGTTTATCGTTCATACATTGCTGAAAGCTAATAGTGACTTGTAATTTGGAGTTAACTGAAAGCACATTAGTAAAGCATTTTGTAATATTATATCTAATAATCTCTCTTCTCTCTGTGATATTTTATTAATTGAGAAAACATTAAATGCGAGTCATTTTTTTAATTTGTACAATTTTCGATTAATGTGATAGAAAAGATATTAATTATTGATTAATTTGAGAAAGCAAATTAAGAGAAATTATGAAAAAGCGATTAAAATACTTAATGCAAAGAGATATTTAGTATTATTGATCTTACTTTCAACAGTCAATATAGCTCGAGTCTCAGCTTTGCCCACATCATTGATAGCTATGACCGAGTATTCTCCACTATCTACTAGCTGAGGCTGAATTAAATTCAACGTATTGACATGTCCATCCTGTCTTGATGGCATGTCCTTTATTGGTTTCCCGTCTTTATACCATGTTATTTTTGGTGATGGATTACCGACTATTTGAGTTGATAAAACAACAGTCTCGCCTTCTTTGACAACATGGGATTGCAACGGTTCCAAAATTTCGGGCGGTTCGCTCTTTCCAGTTTTTACCTGTTTCACAAAAAAAAAATAAGTTAATTATATTACATATAATGTATGTAGAAAAATAAGGTTTATAACTTTGTATTGTCAACCAACTTTTACGGGAATATCGATAGTGGCTTCGCCTTCTCTATTCTTAGCGACAATCTTATATCTTCCTTCTTGCTTCTTTTGAATTTTGGTAATTTTTACGACACTACAGTACATGTGCATATCGCTTTCGGTTGCGACTACGATATTTTGCTGGCTAACCACTTGAGAATCTTTATAATACCACATTATTTCTGGTTCCGGTACAGCGACCAATCGGCATTCCAATATCACATCATCACCTTCATTCACATATTTCGCTTTTGGTTTTCGAGAGAATGTTGGTGGAATACCCTCTAATATATCCGCAAGAGATGATTCTCTGAAAGAACATTGTCACATTAATAATTATTAAGAATAAAAAATTATAAAAATATACATATATGCATATATATATATATATATATATATATATATATATATATATATAACATGTAAGTTATAACAGTTATATTGTTGAGTGGGAAATTACAACTAACAGTTATATAACTGTTACTTGGTGTTTGCTGGGTGATAATAATAATATGATGTAATTTGTAATATTAAAATAAGCTGTCATTAAAAAGCTAATCTTTATCAGAGTAATTTGTTCCAAAGAAGTTTAAGAAGTACATACCTCGAAAGACTTTTCCTCGACAAACCAGTAACATCGGATCCGTGATCTGATAAGGGAGCCTCGACGATAAGTTCAGTAGTGCTAGATGCAAATCCTGCAGCATTTTTCGCGACGCATGTAAAAGTACCAGCATCTTCGGGAAATACTTCTCTGATTATTAAAGTGGCAACGTTATCTTCATCGTAATACATTTGAAAATCAATAGAAGGCTTGATAATAGCCGTCTGACGGAACCAAGTTATTTGTGGTCTTGGTATGCCTTCTACTTGGCACTCGAATTGAACAGTATAACCATCTAGCGTGTGGATTGGTTGCAATTTTTCGATAAACTTTGGTGCTGAGGCTTTTTCTCCTGGAGCTGGCTCTAAAAAGTGCAACATTTGATGTTAATATTTTAAAAGCAACGTATATTTTATAATAATAGATTTTATAAATCTCATAAATGTTTATAATAAAAGTAGTTTATAATAATCAATAAATTTCATTTTTAATCAGTTTTGCAAATAAATACTCACTTTCAAAGATTGGCAATCTATCAATCTTTTCATGCAATTTTCGTTGCAAATAAATAGTATAATGCACTTCATTTAATAAATATTGTGCCGGTACCCAACCCTTCTCTTCGGTCAAATGTTTCTTTACAAACCACCAATCTTGATTAGTATGATCTATAAAAAGTAAATATTGCATAAAATTTCAAAAAATATATATGTATTAATTGGAAATATATTTTTATATATAATTATTTTTATATATAATTTTATACATAATTTTATATATTTTATTATATATAATTTAAAAAAATAGAATTCTCACCGATAATATAAACTTTTTCTCCTTCGACCAAGTTTATAGCTTCTTCTGTTTCAGCCACATAAGAACAAATTGAGAACATTGTATCACCATCACGAACAACATATTCTACTTCGTCGACTGAAAATCATTAATTAATTATTTAAAGTAAAACAATTCAAAATTTTACAAATTATATTTTATGAAGTATATATTATCATAAAATAAGTAAGAAATATATATATATATATATATATATATATATATATGTGTGTGTGTGTGTGTGTGTGTGTGTGTGTGTGTGTGTGTGTGTGTGTGTGTGTGTAACGAACCTTCTTCGATTTCTTCCTCTTTAGTAATACTGAGAGAAGCTTCTTCTGCAATATTATATTATAAATATTAAACAAATGTCGATGTATGTGCGATTGCTTAGTACAATCAAAATATAGTAGAAGACGTTTTAAGCGAATAAGCTTAAGCGAATAAGCAAAATTTATCTACCTTCTTCTTAGTCTGCTATTTTATTTTATATTTTAAATAGGTATTTTTATACTAATTACGTAAATACAAATAGTCATAAATTACGCATATATTATATTTATAAAATAAATTATAACTACTACTACCGATATGCTTTTCATACGCGGTGGATTAGTGAAAGACTTAAGGACAACAGAAAAATTTTTAAAAAGAAGTACGTCAGAAAGGAGAGGACAGGTAAAATATGAAAATATAATATACAAGGTATTTTAACTGAGACGCTATAATATTTCGAAAATAATGCAAAAAAAATGTTTCACGTAAAAGTTGTAGGGTTTGGAGGGGGAAAAAGATAGGGATATTAGTTTGATACTGTAAATGTTAAGGCTATATGAAGGTAAACCTAATTTTTTAAAATTGGAAATATCTTAATTTTTGTTCATATAAATCCATTGCTCATGATATTTCACGTAAAAAGTTATAAAACTAATATAGTAAAAAATTGAATAGTTTACAAGATATTTTATATTTTATGTTGACTAAATTTGATACATAAATTGTAAAATACCTCGTAAAATATTTATTTTTCGATTATTTTACCTCAATACTTTCATGCACAGAATAATGAGACGAATCAATTGGTGTAAAGAAAACACGTAATTGTTTTTAAGAAAAAATATGAATTTGCAACGATTAGCTACATATTTTTTCTTAAGAATAATATAATTAAATTATTGAATTATGAATAAATTATATATTTTCTTTACACCAATTGATTCTTTTTATTTTATATAAAAAAGTATTTAAGTAAGATAACCGGAAAATAAATATTTTCTGAGATATTTTATAATTTATGTAAAATTTTGTCAACTTAAAATATAAAATATCTTGTAAATTATTCAATTTTTGAATATCCTATTATAATTTTTTACGTGGAATATCGTGAGGAATCAGTTTATATGGATAAATTAGAGTAGTCCCATTTTAATCTTCATGGCCTTAATATCTACATCTAAAGTTAAACTAGTATCCTTATCTTTTCTCTTCTTCTAAATCCTACAACTTTTATTTAAAACTTTTTTTTGAAAATGCATCGTTTTCCAGATATTACAGTTCTAAGTTATATTGAAACATCCTGTGTACATTCATTGTCAAAAAAATTAAAATAATTACAATAGAATTTTAATCGTTACTTTAGCCGAAAGCATATTAATGCATTGTATGTTAATTTAATTTTATTTGTTAATGCATAAGTGCTTGCAGAATACACAAATATATCATCAAACCTTCTTCATACGTAGAAATACGTCTCTTGCTTTTCAATTTCAGCGCCAAAGATTCAACGTCGGTTTCCTCATATGAATATTTCCTATCACGTTTTAACTGTACTTTAACATCATTTTCTTCAATTTCTTCTACAGTATACGGAGTTTTTTGTTTCTTTTTCTTTCGCCTCAAAGGTATATTCATTTCGTCAATGTCAAGTTCTTCGACGCTATATCCTTCTTTACCTTCCTCTTCTGATTCATCAATGATTTCTTCGATAACAGGTCCAGAACCATCTTCAATTTCTTGAATAATTTTGATTGTTTCTTCTCCAGTTTCCTCGGAAAATGTAAGCGGACGTCTCTTTGGCTTTAGACGGACTTTACCGGACATAGAAATATCTTCTTCTTCATATGTATTTAATGATATTTTAAATTCTTGTTCAACATCTTCTTTTGTTTTTGTAGAGCGTGGTCTAAATGTCACATTTTCAACTTCGGTAACTTCCTTGATATCCGTTCTAGGTTTTTTCTTTGGTCGCAATTTACGTAAAGTAACATCTTCATAAATTTCTTCAATTGGTTTCGGTGCTTTCTTCGGAGGTTTACGTTTCAATGTGAATTCTTCAATTACTTCCTTAGGTTCTTCTGTCTCCTCGAACTTTTGTATAGTTAATTGCTCTACAATTATTTCTTCATCTGTTGGCACCGGTTTCTTTTTCTTTAACAATATATCCGTAGATGTATCCGTAATTTCTTTTTGTTTTTGTTTTTCCTCTACAGGCTTGGCAATAGTTACTTCTGATATTTCTTCTGTTTCGGTAATCTTTTTTCTTGGCTTTGGTTTAAAAGTAACTTCTTCAATGATGTCTTCATGTTTCTCTTCTATAACAGATTTTTTAATTGTAACTTCGTCCGCGGCTTCTTCCTTGATAGGTTTCTTTTTAGGTTTCTTTATTGCTACTTTCTCAGAAACTTCTTCTGGTACTTGTTCTTCTACCTTCGGAACAGGTTTCTTTACAGTTATTTCGGCAGCAGATTCCTCAACGATGGGCTTTTTCTTTGGCTTCTTTTTTAATGTGACTTCTTCTGTGATTTCTTCTACCTCTTCCTTTCCTTCTTCAACGATTGGTTTTTTAATCGTTACTTCATCCGCAGTTTCCTCTTTGATGGGTTCTTTTTTAGGTTTCTTTATTGCCACTTTCTCAGAGACTTCTTCTGGTACTTGTTCTTCTTCCTTTGGAACAGGTTTCTTTACAGTTATTTCGGCAGCAGATTCCTCAACGATGGGCTTTTTCTTTGGCTTCTTTTTTAATGTGACTTCTTCTGTGATTTCTTCTACCTCTTCCTTTCTTTCTTCAACGATTGGTTTTTTAATCGTCACTTCATCCGCAGTTTCCTCTTTAATAGGTTCTTTTTTAGGTTTCTTTATTTCCACTTTCTCAGAGACTTCTTCTGGTACTTGTTCTTCTTCCTTCGGAACAGGTTTCTTTACAGTTATTTCGGCAGCAGATTCCTCGACGATGGGCTTTTTCTTTGGCTTCTTTTTTAATGTGACTTCTTCTGTGATTTCTTTTACCTCTTCTTTTCTTTCTTCAACGATTGGTTTTTTAATCGTCACTTCATCCGCAGTTTCCTCTTTGATAGGTTCTTTTTTAGGTTTCTTTATTGCCACTTTCTCAGAGACTTCTTCTGGTACTTGTTCTTCTTCCTTCGGAACAGGTTTCTTTACAGTTATTTCGGCAGCAGATTCCTCGACGATGGGCTTTTTCTTTGGCTTCTTTTTTAATGTGACTTCTTCTGTGATTTCTTCTACCTCTTCTTTTCTTTCTTCAACGATTGGTTTTTTAATCGTCACTTCATCCGCAGTTTCCTCTTTAATTGGTTCTTTTTTAGATTTCTTTATTGCCACTTTCTCAGAGACTTCTTCTGGTACTTGTTCTTCTTCCTTCGGAACAGGTTTCTTTACAGTTATTTCGGCAGCAGATTCCTCAACGATGGGCTTTTTCTTTGGCTTCTTTTTAAATGTAACTTCTTCTGTAATTTCTTTTACCTCTTCCTTTCCTTCTTCAACGATTGGTTTTTTAATCGTCACTTCATCCGCAGTTTCCTCTTTAATAGGTTCTTTTTTAGGTTTCTTTATTTCCATTTTCTCAGAGACTTCTTCTGGTACTTGTTCTTCTTCTTTCGGAACAGGTTTCTTTACAGTTATTTCGGCAGCAGATTCCTCAACGATGGGCTTTTTCTTTGGCTTCTTTTTTAATGTGACTTCTTCTGTGATTTCTTTTACCTCTTCCTTTCCTTCTTCAACGATTGGTTTTTTAATCGTTACTTCATCCGCAGTTTCCTCTTTCATAGGTTCTTTTTTAGGTTTCTTTATTTCCACTTTCTCAGAGACTTCTTCTGGTACTTGTTCTTCTTCCTTCGGAACAGGTTTCTTTACAGTTATTTCGGCAGCAGATTCCTCAACGATGGGCTTTTTCTTTGGCTTCTTTTTTAATGTGACTTCTTCTGTGATTTCTTCTACCTCTTCCTTTCCTTCTTCAACGATTGGTTTTTTAATCGTCACTTCATCCGCAGTTTCCTCTTTAATAGGTTCTTTTTTAGGTTTCTTTATTGCCACTTTCTCAGAGACTTCTTCTGGTACTTGTTCTTCTTCCTTTGGAACGGATTTCTTTACAATTATTTCGGTAATAGTTTCCTCTGTAACAGGTTTTTTCTTTAGTTTCTTTTTTAATGTAATTTCTTCTGTAATTTCTTTTACCTCTTCTTTTTTTTCTTCAACAACTGGTTTTTTAATTGTTATTTCATCCGCAGTTTCCTCTTTTATAGGTTCCTTTTCAGGTTTTTTTATTGCAACTTTTTCAGAAACTTCTTCTGGTAGTTGTTCTTCCTCTTTTGAAATAGGTTTCTTTATAATAATTTGTGTAGCACTTTCTTCTTTAACTATCTTTTTCTTTGGTTTCTTTTTCAATGTAACTTCAGTATCTTCTTTAGGTATTGTTGGAATAGCATCTTTTTCTTTAGTTGGATATTCTTTTGTATCTTCTTCTTTGGGCTTATCTTTTTTCCAACCTTTTAGGGTTATCGTTTCAGGTTCATCTTCTGGTTTTTCTGAAGTTGGTATGCGGAATTTGACTTTGGGTTCTTCTTCGGGCTCTGGAGGTTTTGGTATTCCTTTTATTATTGGAATTTGTTCAATATCTTGTTCTGGTTCTTTTTTCTTAGATCTTTCATATGGTTTTGAAATAGGTTCAGGTTCTGGTTTTTTAGTTATTTCGACATCTTCTGGTATATATTTTTCAATTTCTGGTCTATCAAATTCTAATGGTTTGAATTCATCATGAGCGAATGTTTCTTTAGATTTTTCTTCTATTTTCTGCGGCACATCTTCTACAGATTTTTTCTTTTTAGGTTTCTCTTTAATTTCTATTAGTTCTTCCGGTTTCTTTTCTGGTATTTTCTTGAGCTTAATTTCTTCCGGAACAATTTTAGAATCTTCTTTTATTTCACCTTTTCCAATAATGATTTTTTGCGGTTCTTCTGGTACTTTTTCCGGTTGTTTAGGTGTTCTTTCGTAAATAGATCTATCATCTATTTTCTCTAATGGCACTTTCTTCAATTCTTCAAATTCTTTATCTAATTTTTCTAATTCAATTAATTCTTTTTCTGACATTTTCGGTTTTTTATATTTTTTCTTTAAAACTTGTAAAGCTTCTTCTGCATTTCGAGATAGAATGCCAGTTTGTACTGGATTCTTTTCTATATATGTAATTTTTGGTATTTGTATTTCTGATGGATAATCACCAACAAATGTGATTCTGCTACGTAACATAATTTTAGGAAATATTGGTTCGCTAATTTCTTTTTTCTTAACAACTGTTACTTTTTTCAATTTAATTGTACCAAATTGAACTGTTTCTTGTGGTTCACTATATTTTAATTTTGTAGGTTTCATTTCTTTTCTCTCAATTTTTTGCGGAATCAGTTTTTGCATAGATTCAGGTAATGTTTCCTTTTCTTTTTTCTTTTTTGTCGGTTCCCACTGAATTTTTTCAGGCATTGGTTCTAATACAGGCCTTTCATATTCGGGTTCTACCCAATCATCTATATCATCTTTTTTTGTAGGCTTCTTTTTCTTTTTCTTGATAACCTTTTTTTCTTTCACTTTCTCGATTATTTCAGGTTCAATAGATTTTTCCTCTGCAATTTCTTCTTTCAATTTCTTGACTTCCTTTATTTCTATGGGTTGCGTTATTTCTACTTCTAATTTGTCTTCAGGTTGTTTGTCCTTAGGAATATCTTTAATTTTAAGTTCTGGAATTATTTCTGCTACTTCTGTAATATCTACTTTATCTACTTTTGTTTCTTCCTCCTTAGGTTTCATTGGTATTATTTCTTCCACGAGTTTCTCCTCTTTCTTGTCTTCAACTATAGTAACCTTTGACTTTTTCTTCTTAATTGCTTCACCATTTGGCATAGAAACTTTAACTTCAGCAATTTCGATATTTTCGATAGGTATAATACTTGGTTTTGCTTTCTTTTCAGTGAATGTTTGTTCCGTGGCAAGTTCTTCAGGTATCATTTCTATCGTCACTTCCGAAATGTCGACACTCTCTTGTAAATCTATATTTTCTTTAGCTTCTTCCTTCTTAAGTTCTTTTAATTTTATTTCTTCCGTTGTTTCATCCGGGCGCTTTTCTTTCACTTCCTTGGCTTTTTTCTTAATAAGAGGTGCTCTTTTTATGGGTACTTCTATTACTTTTATATCTTCTTTTGTCTCTTCTATAGATATGGCTTGTTCTTCTTGCGGTCTTTTATCTTTATCAAGTTTGCTAGATGCAATTTCAGGAATAATTTCGATGGTCTCTATCTCTTCATTCGTAATTATTATCTTTTCTGCTTCTTCCTGTATTGGTTTTTCTGAAATAATTTCTTCCACAATTTCTTCTTTGATTTGTTCTTCATTTATTGGCTTAATCTTTTTAGGAGCTTTCTTTACTGTAACTTCTTTTATTTTGATTTGTGACTTTGCATCCTTAATTGGCATTGCTGTTTCTTCAATTGGTTTTAGTTTTTCGAGAAGTTCCTCAGTGGTTGAGCTTGAAATTGTTTCAGTCACTCTGAGTCCTTCTTCTGTTATAATAATTGACTGTAGTTGTTCTTCCTTTGGTTTTTCACTTGTTATATCTTTAGTAATCTCGACAGTTACTTCTTCTTGAATAGGAATCGTACTCGTTTCTTCTTTAGAAACTTTCTTCAAAACATCTTTTTCATCTTCATTTTTGCATATTACAGCTTCTTTTAGTTTAACTTTATCTTCTGTGATTTTGGAAATGGATGATTCGGTTAAGATCTGCGTCACTTCAATACTCTCTCTTGGAGAGAATGCAGTTCGAGCTTGTTCTTCCTTCGGTTTTTCTATAAGAATTTCTTCAACAATTTCTTCTGGAACATTATCATCAAAAGCTTTAGCCTTTTTCTTTTTAACGATTTTTTCTATTGGCATTTTAACTATTTCAACTATTTTGTCTTTCTCTATTATTTCAGCTTTCTCAGATGGTTTCTGCACAATTTCTTCAATAATTTGTTCACTGTCATCTTTTGTTGTCAGCTTTTTCTTCTTGACAATTTTTTTCGTAGGTGTTTCAACAGTTTCTATTATTTCTTCATTAATATCCATTTTTTCCTTTGGCATCTTAATAGCTGCTTTATGTTCTTTTACCTCTGTGATAATAGCTTCCTGTCTTTCTTCTATAATAGATTTTGCTTTTTCTTTCTTTGGCTTGTCAGTTATAATATCCTCTACAGTTTCTTCAAGAATATCTCCAGCTTGAGTCAAGTGCTTCTTCTTAATTATTTTTTTAATTGGTTTTTTATCGACATCAGTTACATCCATTTCAGTTACATCCATAGTTTTATCCTTCGACTTTACAGTCACTTTCTCAATTATGTCAACGCGTTCATCTTTTTTCTTTGGCTGTTTCTTTATTTTAGTGATTTTATGTGTTGGTGTCTCGACGGTTTTCTCTATTTCGGTAATAAATATTTCCTCTTTCTCTTCTGGTACTTCTCTGATGTCTGTTTCTGTAACTTTTACCGATTCCTCTTCTTCTAACAGAAGTAGAGCCTTTTGTGTCTCTTCTGTTTTTGTCACTATTTCTTCTACACTTTCATCCGGAATTTCATATTTTTCTTCTAGTTGCTGTAAAGATATAATAATATTATAACATATATTACAATGTATTTAAAACTTTATATTTTGACTTACCTGATACATCGGTTTTTTCAAAATATCTGTAAAATAAAAAATATATTAAATTTGACTATACTAGTTGTCCGAAAATAAACAATGTAAATACAATAACTATAATTTAACAAATATAAAGAAGATATGTTATGTGTTAATGTTATAATGTTAATGTACATCAACATAATTAATAACAGTTCTGTCTTTCTGTTCTATGTCAGTATAAGTTTTGTTCAAAAATCCTGCATAACAAATGAATAATTATATCCAACTAGATATAAGGATCAGTAATAGCAAAAAATAAGAAAAGCTTACCTTCTACCATTATTTCAGTATCTAAATGTTTAATCAAACTTTTATGTTTGAGTTTATCGTGTATTTCCGGTGTAGTGTCTGCGTGAAGATTGATTGTAGTTCCTACCGCTTCATGTTTCTTTAGAGAATCCTCTGTAAATGTTGTCTCAAGAGAAAGTCCTTTTTTATCTATATTGTCATCCATTACGTGTTCTTTCTGATCTTTATGTTTGACTATTTTTTTCTTTGGTTTCCTGTCTTCCAGAACTTCTTCGGTTAATGTAACTTGTTCCTTTAATTCCTCCTCCTGAATAGGTTTTGCAAATCCAAGCCGGGGTAGAGGCATTACTGTTTCTTCAACAATTTCCTCTAGAGGACCCTCAGTGATTGTTGTTATAGGAGACTGTCCTTTCTCTTCGACAGTAACTTCTTCCGTTACTTGCTGTTTCTTTCCTTTACGTTTGATAATTTTTTTCTTCGTAATTTTCTTCGGTTTCTTGCCTTGCACTACTTCCTCGGTTACAGTAATTTGTTCTCTTACTTCTTCCACTTCGATAGGTTTGGCAAATTCAAGCTGGGGCAAAGGCATTACAGTGTCTTCGACAATTTCTTCCAGAGGACCCTCCGTGATTGTTGTTACAGGAGACTGTCCTTTCTCTTCCACAGTAACTTCTTCCGTTACTTGCTGTTTCTTTCCTTTACGTTTGATAATTTTTTTCTTCGTAATTTTCTTTGGTTTCTTGCCTTCCACTACTTCTTCGGTTACAGTAATTTGTTCTCTTACTTCTTCCACTTCGATAGGTTTCGCAAATTCAAGTTGGGGCAAAGGCATTACAGTGTCTTCGACAATTTCTTCCAGAGGACCCTCTGTGATTGTTGTTACAGGAGACTGTCCTTTCTCTTCGACGGTAACTTCTTCCGTTACTTGCTGTTTCTTTCCTTTACGTTTGATAATTTTTTTCTTCGTAATTTTCTTTGGTTTCTTGCCTTCCACTACTTCCTCGGTTACAGTAATTTGTTCTCTTACTTCTTCCACTTCGACAGGTTTGGCAAATTCAAGCTGGGGCAAAGGCATTACAGTGTCTTCGACAATTTCTTCCAGAGGACCCTCCGTGATTGTTGTTACAGCAGACTGTCCTTTCTCTTCCACAGTAACTTCTTCCGTTACTTGCTGTTTCTTTCCTTTACGTTTGATAATTTTTTTCTTCGTAATTTTCTTTGGTTTCTTGCCTTCCACTACTTCCTCGGTTACAGTAATTTGTTCTCTTACTTCTTCCACTTCGATAGGTTTCGCAAATTCAAGTTGGGGCAAAGGCATTACAGTGTCTTCGACAATTTCTTCCAGAGGACCCTCTGTGATTGTTGTTACAGGAGACTGTCCTTTCTCTTCGACGGTAACTTCTTCCGTTACTTGCTGTTTCTTTCCTTTACGTTTGATAATTTTTTTCTTCGTAATTTTCTTTGGTTTCTTGCCTTCCACTACTTCTTCGGCTACAGTAATTTGTTCTCTTACTTCTTCCACTTCGATAGGTTTGGCAAATTCAAGCTGGAGCAAAGGCATTACAGTGTCATCGACAATTTCTTCCAGAGGACCCTCCGTGATTGTTGTTACAGGAGACTGTCCTTTCTCTTCGACAGTAACTTCTTCTGTTACTTGCTGTTTCATACCTTTACGTTTGGTAATTTTTTTCTTTGTAATTTTCTTTGGTTTCTTTCCTTCCACTACTTCCTCGGTTATAGTAACTTGTTCTCTTACTTCTTCCACTTCGATAGGTTTGGCAAATTCAAGCTGGGGTAAAGGTATTATAGTGTCTTCAACAATTTCCTCCAGAGGACCTTCCGTGATTGTTGTTACAGGAGACTGTCCTTTCTCTTCCACAGTAACTTCTTCCGTTACTTGCTGTTTCTTCCCTTTACATTTGATAATTTTTTTCTTCGTAATTTTCTTCGGTTTCTTGCCTTCCGCTACTTCCTCGGTTACAGTAATTTGTTCTCTTACTTCTTCCACTTCGATAGGTTTCGCAAATTCAAGCTGGGGCAAAGGCATTATAGTGTCTTCGACAATTTCTTCCAGAGGACCCTCTGTGATTGTTGTGACAGGAGACTGTCCTTTCTCTTCGACAGTAACTTCTTCTGTTACCTGCTGTTTCTTACCTTTACATTTGATAATTTTTTTCTTCGTAATTTTCTTTGGTTTCTTGCCTTCAACTACTTCCTCGGTTATTGTAATTTGTTCTCTTACCTCTTCCTTTTCGGTGGGCTTTGCAAATTCAAGCTGAGGTAGAGGTGTTAGAGTTTCTTCAACAATTTCTTCTAGAGGACCCTCTGTGATTGTTGTTATAGGAGACTGTCCTTTCTCTTCGATGGTAACTTCTTCCGTTACTTGCTGTTTCTTTCCTTTACGTTTGGTAATTTTTTTCTTTGTAATTTTCTTTGGTTTCTTTCCTTCCACTACTTCCTCGGTTACAGTAACTTGTTCTCTTACTTCTTCCACTTCGATAGGTTTGGCAAATTCAAGCTGGGGTAAAGGTATTATAGTGTCTTCAACAATTTCCTCTAGAGGACCCTCTGTGATTGTTGTTACAGGAGACTGTCCTTTCTCTTCGACAGTAACTTCTTCTGTTACTTGCTGTTTCTTACCTTTACGTTTGATAATTTTTTTCTTCGTAATTTTCTTTGGTTTCTTGCCTTCCACTACTTCCTCGGTTACAGTAATTTGTTCTCTTACTTCTTCCACTTCGACAGGTTTTGCAAATTCAACCTGGGGTAAAGATAATATAGTGTCTTCAACAATTTCCTCTAGAGGACCCTCTGTGATTGTTGTGACAGGAGATTTTCCTTTCTCTTCAACAGTAACTTCTTCTGTTACTTGCTGTTTCTTACCTTTACGTTTGATAATTTTTTTCTTGGTAATTTTCTTCGGTTTCTTGCCTTCCACTACTTCCTCGGATACTGTAACTTGTTCACTTACTTCTTCCACTTCGATAGGTTTAGCAAATTCAAGCTGGGGTAAAGGCATTATCGTTTCTTCAACAATTTCTTCTAGAGGACCCTCTGTGATTGTTGTTACAGGAGATTTTCCTTTCTCTTCGATAGTAACTTCTTCCGTTACTTGCTGTTTCTTTCCTTTACGTTTGGTAATTTTTTTCTTTGTAATTTTCTTTGGTTTCTTGCCTTCTGCTATTTCCTCAGTTACTGTAACTTCTTCTTTTATCTCTTCCTCTTCGGTGGGTTTTGCAAATTCAAGCTGAGGTAAAGGCATTATGGTGTCTTCAACAATTTCTTCTAGAGGACTCTCTGTGATTGTTGTTACAGGAGATTTTCCTTTCTCTTCGACAGTAACTTCTTCTGTTACTTGCTGTTTTTTACCTTTACGTTTGATAATTTTTTTCTTTGTAATTTTCTTCGGTTTCTTGCCTTCCATTACTTCCTCGGTTACTGTAACTTGTTCACTTACTTCTTCCACTTCGATAGGTTTGGCAAATTCAACCTGGGGTAAAGGCATTATCATTTCTTCAACAATTTCTTCTAGAGGACCCTCTGTGATTGTTGTTACAGGAGATTTTCCTTTCTCTTCGACAGTAACTTCTTCTGTTACTTGCTGTTTCTTACCTTTACGTTTGATAATTTTTTTCTTCGTAATTTTCTTTGGTTTCTTGCCTTCCACTACTTCCTCTGTTACAGTAACTTGTTCTCTTACTTCTTCCACTTCGACAGGTTTTGCAAATTCAACCTGGGGTAAAGATAATATAGTGTCTTCAACAATTTCCTCTAGAGGACCCTCTGTGATTGTTGTGACAGGAGATTTTCCTTTCTCTTCAACAGTAACTTCTTCTGTTACTTGCTGTTTCTTACCTTTACGTTTGATAATTTTTTTCTTGGTAATTTTCTTCGGTTTCTTGCCTTCCACTACTTCCTCTGTTACTGTAACTTGTTCTCTTACTTCTTCCACTTCGACAGGTTTTGCAAATTCAACCTGGGGTAAAGATATTATAGTGTCTTCAAAAATTTCCTCTAGAGGACCCTCTGTGATTGTTGTGACAGGAGATTTTCCTTTCTCTTCGACAGTAACTTCTTCTGTTACTTGCTGTTTCTTACCTTTACGTTTGATAATTTTTTTCTTCGTAATTTTCTTTGGTTTCTTGCCTTCCACTACTTCCTCTGTTACTGTAACTTGTTCTCTTACCTCTTCCACTTCGATAGGTTTTGCAAATTCAACTTGGGGTAAAGATATTATAGTGTCTTCAAAAATTTCCTCTAGAGGACCCTCTGTGATTGTTGTGACAGGAGATTTTCCTTTCTCTTCGACAGTAACTTCTTCTGTTACTTGCTGTTTCTTACCTTTACGTTTGATAATTTTTTTCTTCGTAATTTTCTTTGGTTTCTTGCCTTCCACTACTTCCTCTGTTACTGTAACTTGTTCTCTTACCTCTTCCACTTCGATAGGTTTTGCAAATTCAACTTGGGGTAAAGATATTATAGTGTCTTCAAAAATTTCCTCTAGAGGACCCTCTGTGATTGTTGTGACAGGAGATTTTCCTTTCTCTTCGACAGTAACTTCTTCTGTTACTTGCTGTTTCTTACCTTTACGTTTGATAATTTTTTTCTTCGTAATTTTCTTTGGTTTCTTGCCTTCCACTACTTCCTCTGTTACTGTAACTTGTTCTCTTACCTCTTCCACTTCGATAGGTTTTGCAAATTCAACCTGCGGTAAAGGTATTATAGTGTCTTCAACAATTTCCTCCAGAGGACCCTCTGTGATTGTTGTAACAGGAGACTCCCCTTTTTCTTCGACAGTAACTTCTTCCGTTACTTGTTGTTTCTTTCCTTTACGTTTGATAATTTTCTTCTTTGTAATTTTCTTTGGTTTCTTGCCTTCCACTTCTTCCTCTGTAACTGTAACTTGTTCTCTTACCTCTTCCACTTCGACAGGTTTTGCAAATTCAACCTGGGGTAAAGGTATTATAGTGTCTTCAACAATTTCTTCTAGAGGACCCTCTGTGATTGTTGTTACAGGAGATTTTCCTTTCTCTTCGACAGTAACTTCTTCTGTTACTTGCTGTTTCTTACCTTTACGTTTGATAATTTTTTTCTTCGTAATTTTCTTTGGTTTCTTGCCTTCCACTACTTCCTCTGTTACTGTAACTTGTTCTCTTACTTCTGCCACTTCGACAGGTTTTGCAAATTCAACTTGGGGTAAAGATATTATAGTGTCTTCAAAAATTTCCTCTAGAGGACCCTCTGTGATTGTTGTGACAGGAGATTTTCCTTTCTCTTCGACAGTAACTTCTTCTGTTACTTGCTGTTTCTTACCTTTACGTTTGATAATTTTTTTCTTGGTAATTTTCTTTGGTTTCTTGCCTTCCACTACTTCCTCTGTTACTGTAACTTGTTCTCTTACCTCTTCCACTTCGATAGGTTTTGCAAATTCAACCTGCGGTAAAGGTATTATAGTGTCTTCAACAATTTCCTCCAGAGGACCCTCTGTGATTGTTGTAACAGGAGACTCCCCTTTCTCTTCGACAGTAACTTCTTCCGTTACTTGTTGTTTCTTTCCTTTACGTTTGATAATTTTCTTCTTTGTAATTTTCTTTGGTTTCTTGCCTTCCACTTCTTCCTCTGTAACTGTAACTTGTTCTCTTACCTCTTCCACTTCGACAGGTTTTGCAAATTCAACCTGGGGTAAAGGTATTATAGTGTCTTCAACAATTTCTTCTAGAGGACCCTCTGTGATTGTTGTTACAGGAGATTTTCCTTTCTCTTCGACAGTAACTTCTTCTGTTACTTGCTGTTTCTTACCGTTACGTTTGATAATTTTTTTCTTCGTAATTTTCTTTGGTTTCTTGCCTTCCACTACTTCCTCTGTTACTGTAACTTGTTCTCTTACTTCTTCCACTTCGACAGGTTTTGCAAATTCAACCTGGGGTAAAGATATTATAGTGTCTTCAAAAATTTCCTCTAGAGGACCCTCTGTGATTGTTGTGACAGGAGATTTTCCTTTCTCTTCGACAGTAACTTCTTCTGTTACTTGCTGTTTCTTACCTTTACGTTTGATAATTTTTTTCTTCGTAATTTTCTTTGGTTTCTTGCCTTCCACTACTTCCTCTGTTACTGTAACTTGTTCTCTTACTTCTGCCACTTCGACAGGTTTTGCAAATTCAACTTGGGGTAAAGATATTATAGTGTCTTCAAAAATTTCCTCTAGAGGACCCTCTGTGATTGTTGTGACAGGAGATTTTCCTTTCTCTTCGACAGTAACTTCTTCTGTTACTTGCTGTTTCTTACCTTTACGTTTGATAATTTTTTTCTTCGTAATTTTCTTTGGTTTCTTGCCTTCCACTACTTCCTCTGTTACTGTAACTTGTTCTCTTACTTCTTCCACTTCGACAGGTTTTGCAAATTCAACCTGGGGTAAAGATATTATAGTGTCTTCAAAAATTTCCTCTAGAGGACCCTCTGTGATTGTTGTGACAGGAGATTTTCCTTTCTCTTCGACAGTAACTTCTTCTGTTATTTGCTGTTTCTTACCTTTACGTTTGATAATTTTTTTCTTCGTAATTTTCTTTGGTTTCTTGCCTTCCACTACTTCCTCTGTTACTGTAACTTGTTCTCTTACTTCTTCCACTTCGACAGGTTTTGCAAATTCAACCTGGGGTAAAGATATTATAGTGTCTTCAAAAATTTCCTCTAGAGGACCCTCTGTGATTGTTGTGACAGGAGATTTTCCTTTCTCTTCGACAGTAACTTCTTCTGTTACTTGCTGTTTCTTACCTTTACGTTTGATAATTTTTTTCTTCGTAATTTTCTTTGGTTTCTTGCCTTCCACTACTTCCTCTGTTACTGTAACTTGTTCTCTTACTTCTTCCACTTCGACAGGTTTTGCAAATTCAACCTGGGGTAAAGATATTATAGTGTCTTCAACAATTTCCTCTAGAGGACCCTCTGTGATTGTTGTGACAGGAGATTTTCCTTTCTCTTCAACAGTAACTTCTTCTGTTACTTGCTGTTTCTTACCTTTACGTTTGATAATTTTTTTCTTGGTAATTTTCTTCGGTTTCTTGCCTTCCACTACTTCCTCGGATACTGTAACTTGTTCACTTACTTCTTCCACTTCGATAGGTTTAGCAAATTCAAGCTGGGGTAAAGGCATTATCGTTTCTTCAACAATTTCTTCTAGAGGACCCTCTGTGATTGTTGTTACAGGAGATTTTCCTTTCTCTTCGACAGTAACTTCTTCTGTTACTTGCTGTTTCTTACCTTTACGTTTGATAATTTTTTTCTTCGTAATTTTCTTTGGTTTCTTGCCTTCCACTACTTCCTCTGTTACAGTAACTTGTTCTCTTACTTCTTCCACTTCGACAGGTTTTGCAAATTCAACCTGGGGTAAAGATAATATAGTGTCTTCAACAATTTCCTCTAGAGGACCCTCTGTGATTGTTGTGACAGGAGATTTTCCTTTCTCTTCAACAGTAACTTCTTCTGTTACTTGCTGTTTCTTACCTTTACGTTTGATAATTTTTTTCTTGGTAATTTTCTTCGGTTTCTTGCCTTCCACTACTTCCTCGGATACTGTAACTTGTTCACTTACTTCTTCCACTTCGATAGGTTTAGCAAATTCAAGCTGGGGTAAAGGCATTATCGTTTCTTCAACAATTTCTTCTAGAGGACCCTCTGTGATTGTTGTTACAGGAGATTTTCCTTTCTCTTCGACAATAACTTCTTCTGTTACTTGCTGTTTCTTACCTTTACGTTTGATAATTTTTTTCTTCGTAATTTTCTTTGGTTTCTTGCCTTCCACTACTTCCTCTGTTACTGTAACTTGTTCTCTTACTTCTTCCACTTCGACAGGTTTTGCAAATTCAACCTGGGGTAAAGATATAGTGTCTTCAACAATTTCCTCTAGAGGACCCTCTGTGATTGTTCTAACAGGAGACTCCCCTTTCTCTTCGACAGTAACTTCTTCCGTTATTTGCTGTTTCTTTCCTTTACGTTTGATAATTTTCTTCTTCGTAATTTTCTTTGGTTTCTTGCCTTCCACTACTTCCTCTGTTACTGTAACTTGTTCTCTTACTTCTTCCACTTCGACAGGTTTTGCAAATTTAACCTGGGGTAAAGATATTATAATGTCTTCAACAATTTCCTCTAGAGGACCCTCTGTGATTGTTGTGACAGGAGATTTTCCTTTCTCTTCAACAGTAACTTCTTCTGTTACTTGCTGTTTCTTACCTTTACGTTTGATAATTTTCTTCTTGGTAATTTTCTTCGGTTTCTTGCCTTCCACTACTTCCTCGGATACTGTAACTTGTTCACTTACTTCTTCCACTTCGATAGGTTTAGCAAATTCAAGCTGGGGTAAAGGCATTATCGTTTCTTCAACAATTTCTTCTAGAGGACCCTCTGTGATTGTTGTTACAGGAGATTTTCCTTTCTCTTCGACAATAACTTCTTCTGTTACTTGCTGTTTCTTACCTTTACGTTTGATAATTTTTTTCTTCGTAATTTTCTTTGGTTTCTTGCCTTCCACTACTTCCTCTGTTACTGTAACTTGTTCTCTTACTTCTTCCATTTCGACAGGTTTTGCAAATTCAACCTGGGGTAAAGATATTATAGTGTCTTCAACAATTTCCTCTAGAGGACCCTCTGTGATTGTTCTAACAGGAGACTCCCCTTTCTCTTCGACAGTAACTTCTTCCGTTATTTGCTGTTTCTTTCCTTTACGTTTGATAATTTTCTTCTTCGTAATTTTCTTTGGTTTCTTGCCTTCCACTTCTTCCTCAGTTACTGTAACTTGTTCTCTTACCTCTTCCACTTCGACAGGTTTTGCAAATTCAACCTGGGGTAAAGGTATTATAGTGTCTTCAACAATTTCTTCTAGAGGACCCTCTGTGATTGTTGTAACAGGAGACTCCCCTTTCTCTTCGACAGTAACTTCTTCCGTTACTTGTTGTTTCTTTCCTTTACGTTTGATAATTTTCTTCTTTGTAATTTTCTTTGGTTTCTTGCCTTCCACTTCTTCCTCAGTTACTGTAACTTGTTCTCTTACCTCTTCCACTTCGATAGATTTTGCAAATTCAACCTGGGGTAAAGGTATTATAGTGTCTTCAACAATTTCCTCCAGAGGACCCTCTGTGATTGTTGTAACAGGAGACTCCCCTTTCTCTTCGACAGTAACTTCTTCCGTTACTTGCTGTTTCTTACCTTTACGTTTGATAATTTTTTTCTTTGTAATTTTCTTTGGTTTCTTGCCTTCTACTATTTCCTCAGTTACTGTAACTTCTTCTCTTATCTCTTCCTCTTTGGTAGGTTTTGCAAATTCAAGCTGAAGTGTAGGAATTACAATTTCTTCTAGAGGACCTTCTGTGATCGTTGTTACAGGGGACTGTCTGTATTCTTCTGCAGTTATTTCTTCCGTTACTTGCTTTCCTTTAATAATTTTCTTCTTTGTGATTTTCTTTGGCTTCTTGCCTTCTGTTACTTCTTCGGTTATTTCTTCGGTAACTTGTTCTTTCAACTCTTTTTCCTCAGTTGGTTTTTTATATTCTGGTTGTGGTAGATGTAACACAATTTTTTCAATATTTTCCTGTAAGGGTTCCTTCGTAATTGTTGTCACAGGAATCTGTTTCATGTCTTTGTCTTGGTCTTTTATTAGTGTTTCATGCTTCTTTTCTGACTGTTCTGATTTTAATTCTTTAGTTTGTGGTATTTCTTCCCATTCTTCAATTTTTGTTGGACTTACTTCTTCTATTCCATACATTTCTGTTACTTCTTCAATTTGCATGAACTGCTTTTTTGGTATCGATGGTATTTTTGATTTTATGTTTTCAAGTTCTTCTTCTATTACAACAACTTTTTCTTCGGATTCGGTACTTGGTTTCTTTTTTCGAATTGTCGTTTTCTTTGTTTTCACTGCTGCAGTTTCATTGTCTTTACTGCCACGTCTAAATTTAGTGGTATATTCCTCAGTGATTTCAGTGTCAGAATCAATCGATGGTTGTGTTGTTTCGTGTTTTGTAATGTGTGGTGTAATAGTGATATGATGTTGTTGGGCTGTTGCTGCAGTGATTTCTGAAATGTATACAGAATAATTGTAACATGATTAAGCTGTTATGTATTTAGTGAATCCGTTTGCGTTATTTGCATCATGATGAATGGCTTCTACTCGGCATATTAGTAATTTGAATTCAAACATTTTTTAAACTATTTAATATTATTCATCACTCGAATGTCGAGGATTGTTTATCTTGTCTCAAGCGTGGTAGAATTGAACATGAGATGGAAAAATATATTTTTTCTTTAAATGTAAATGTGTATGTGGTCTAAATTGTATGTGATCTAATTTTGTTGTAAATATCGATTGTGTTTGACTTTGTGTGACTAATTGCATCTTGTACTTACCTGAGAAATTTTTATCATATTGTGATGTTCATTTTAAATTAACCTATGTTTAAATATTTACAAAATATCGATAATCAAAATTATTTTTAGAATGTTAATAAATCTAATCTAATCTGTCAGATTTGTTCGATTTGTTATTTTGTATCATGGTCGTCGTATCAAATTGAGTCGAGGGTTCCTAAAACGTCGCGTCTGATTTGTGTCAAAACAATTATGTTACCTTTAGAAGAATAATACTCACCCACAATTTTTTCCAAGTAGTCTGCTTCGATAGATGTGCTCGCTAATTTTGCTAATGGTATTACGGGTTCGGGCAGATTTGATTCAATTTCTGCAGCATGTTGTAATTCAGTAACAATCACACTCTGTTTCTCGTCTTTTATTCCGTGAGCCAATTTACTTTCTGGTTTTGTGATAATGAATTCAGATGCTATGTTTTCCGGAAGGATTTCGGTTTTTAAAGCAACTTTGCGCTCAATTATATCAGCTTGCGCACTTGCTTCTTTAGCCATACCTTTTACAATTTCTTTTGATTCTGTTTCTGTAGCGGTTACTTGAATAACTTCGACACCTTCGGAAATGCGGAATGAAATTTCGGCTGTTGTACTTGGTGCATCTTTGTCGAGAACAAGCGATTGTTCACTTTCATGAGGAATTGACTCTGTTTGTTGTATACTCTCAAACGGAATTTGTTCTGGTGTTATTTTCTTTATTTCTGGTTTAGTAGATTCTTTCATCTCTTCCGTTGTTGATGATGTAATTACTTGAGATTTTTCAGCAACGCGTATACCTAACATACTTTGCTCGGCTATTTGTTTTGTTAATTCCGTCAAATCTTTCACATCTTTTGTTTCCTTTTCAGTTGCAGTTATTTGAGTAACTTCAACAGCTTCGGAAACGCGGAATGAAATTTCAGCTATCGTACTTGGTGCTTCTTTGTCGAGAACAAGCGAGCGTTCGCTTTCATGAGGTATCGACTCTATTTGTTGTATACTCTCGAATGGTATTTGTTGTGGTATTATTTTCTTCATCTCAGGTTTAGTAAATTCTGTTATTTCCTCCGTTGTTGATGATGTAATTACTTGAGACTTTTCGGCAACACGCATACCAAACATACTCGATTCGGCTAATTGTTCAGTTAATTCTGCTGTACCTTTTACGACATCCTTTGTTTCTTTTTCTGTTGCGGTTACTTGTATAACTTCGACACCTTCGGAAACACGGAATGAAACGTCAGCCGCTATACTTGGTGTTTCTTTGTCGAGAATAAGCAATCGTTCACTGTCATGAGGAATCGACTCCATTTGTTGTATACTCTCAAATGGTATTTGTTCTGGTGTTATTTTCTTTACTTCCGGTTTGGCAGATTCTTTTATCTCTTCCGTTATTGATGACGCAATCACTTGAGACTTTTCGGCAACATGCATACCTAACATACTCGGTTCGGCTAATTGTTCAGTTAATTCTGCTGTACCTTTTACGACATCCTTTGTTTCTTTTTCTGTTGCGGTTACTTGTATAACTTCGACACCTTCGGAAACACGGAATGAAATTTCGGCTGTTGTACTTGGTGCTTCCTTGTCGAGAATAAGCAACCGTTCACTGTCATGAGGAATCGACTCCATTTGTTGTATACTCTCAAATGGTATTTGTTCTGGTGTTATTTTCTTTACTTCCGGTTTGGCAGATTCTTTTATCTCTTCCGTTATTGACGACGCAATCACTTGAGACTTTTCGGCAACATGCATACCTAACATACTCGGTTCGGCTAATTGTTCAGTTAATTCTGCTGTACCTTTTACGACATCCTTTGTTTCCTTTTCCGTTGCGGTTACTTGTATAACTTCGACACCTTCGGAAACACGGAATGAAATTTCGGCTGTTGTACTTGGTGCTTCCTTCTCGAGAATAAGCAATCGTTCACTGTCATGAGGAATCGACTCCATTTGTTGTATACTCTCAAATGGTATTTGTTCTGGTGTTATTTTCTTTACTTCCGGTTTGGCAGATTCTTTTATCTCTTCCGTTATTGACGACGCAATCACTTGAGACTTTTCGGCAACATGCATACCTAACATACTCGGTTCGGCTAATTGTTCAGTTAATTCTGCTGTACCTTTTACGACATCCTTTGTTTCCTTTTCCGTTGCGGTTACTTGTATAACTTCGACACCTTCGGAAACACGGAATGAAATTTCGGCTGTTGTACTTGGTGCTTCCTTCTCGAGAATAAGCAATCGTTCACTGTCATGAGGAATCGACTCCATTTGTTGTATACTCTCAAATGGTATTTGTTCTGGTGTTATTTTCTTTACTTCCGGTTTGGCAGATTCTTTTATCTCTTCCGTTATTGACGACGCAATCACTTGAGACTTTTCGGCAACATGCATACCTAACATACTCGGTTCGGCTAATTGTTCAGTTAATTCTGCTGTACCTTTTACGACATCCTTTGTTTCCTTTTCCGTTGCGGTTACTTGTATAACTTCGACACCTTCGGAAACGCGGAATGAAATTTCAGCAGTTGTACTTGGTGCGACTTCGTCAAGAACAAGCGACCGTTCGCTTTCATGAGGAATTGATTCTATTTGTTGTATACTCTCAAATGGAATCTGTTCCGGTGTTATTTTCTTCATTTCAGGTTTAATAGTTTCTATTATTTCCTCCGTTATTGACGATGTAACCACTTGGGACTTTTCGGCAACGCGCATACCCAGCATACTTGGTTCAGCTACTTGTTTAGTTAACTCCAAATTTTTCACAACATCTTTTGTTTCCTTCTCAGTCGCGGTTACTTGTATAACTTCAATACCCTCGGAAACACGAAATGAAACGTCAGCCGTTATACTTGGTGCTTCTTTATCGAGAATAAGTAAGCGTTCACTGTCATGAGGAATCGACTCTATTTGTTGTATACTCTCAAATGGTATTTGTTCTGGTGTTATTTTCTTTATTTCTGGTTTGGCAGATTCTTTTATCTCTTCCGTTATTGATGATGCAATCACTTGAGACTTTTCGGCAACATGCATACTTAACATGCTCTGTTCAGCTATTTGTTTGATTGGTTTTTCCGGAGTTAATAGTCTTTTTTCCGTTTCACTGTAAGCTACTTCGGAGATTGATAATGACATTAATTCTTCTAAATTCGGTCTACCCTTATGTTCCTCAGGAATTTCTGGTTTTGCAAATTCCTCGACATTACTCATTGTTAAAATTTCTGATGTTTCTGCGACTTCTATACTAGATACTTTTGGCAGAGCTATACGTTCTTTTGGAGTTTCTTGGCTTGGCAATTCTTGTTCTGCTTCCGTAGAAATTACTTCGGATACAGTAATGAAACTCATCTCTTCGATATTTGGTTTCCCTTTTTGACCGTCTTCCTTTTTTACTTCTGGTATTTGTTCGACGTTTGCGGCAGTTATAATTTCGATTTTCTGAGCTATCTCCCTTCCTGAAAGACACGGTGCGGCTTTTTTCTCATCTAACTTTTCCGGGCTCGGCAATTGCATCTCTGTCTCGGTAGATATTACTTCAGAAACCATTAGTGATGGAAATTCATCCAAGTGTGGTTTACCTTTTTGTTCTTCTGGACTTTTGGGTTTCGAAAATTCTTCAACATTTGTAACAGTGAGCACTTGAGAAGTTTCGGCAATTTCTCTACCGGACATCATAGGCATTGCTGTAAGTACAGTGGGTGTGGCAGAACTTTCAAAAATTCTTTCAGTTTCATGAGATAGTACCTGAGAGACAGTTAATGAGGATAATTCTTCCACTTTGAACTCCCCCTTACGTTCATCAGGTGTTACTTGTTTTAAAAGTTCTTCTGTATTCATCAGCGTTAAAATTTGACTTGTTTCAGCTGCATCTCTACCAAGTAAATTGGCTTGCGCAATCTTTTCTATAGGTACCTCCGGGCTAGGCAACAAAGCTTCCGTTTCATTAGAAACAGTTTGGATTATATTCAAGGATAATAACTCCTCGAGATTCGGTTTTCCCTTTTGTTTCTCAGGTTTCGGAATTTCAACAAATTCATCTACATTTGACATAGTTGTTATTTCCGTAGTCTCAGCTACATCTCGACCATGCATACTTGTTTGCGCCGTTTTTTCGGTTGGTACTGTAGGACTAGTGAGGACATTTTCACTTTCCTGTGATTCTATTTGCGAAATTGTTAAGGACGTAAGTTCTTCAATACTAGGCTTACCTCGCTGTTCTTCAGTTTCTTTTTTAGAAACAAATTCTTCGGTGCTGGCCATTGTCATGACTAATGTAGTTTCTGCGATATCTCTACCAATCACATTTGGATGAGCTGTTTTCTCTATAGGAAGCTCGGCACTAATTAACTTTTCTTCAATTTCATTAGAAATTACTTGTGAAATAGTCAACGAAGTTAATTCATCTACTTGTTGTTTACCTTTCTGTTTTTCTGGTGATTTTATAGCGAGCTCATCAGTCTCGGACAATGCTGTTACTTGAATTATTTCGGCGATTTCTCTGCCAGAAATACTGAAATCAGCCTTGTGATCTTTTGGAGTAGTTTTGCTAATTAGAACGTCTTCAACTTCATTGGAAATGATTTCAGAGACATTCACAGATACTAATTCTTCAAGTTCTGGTTTACCTTTTTCTTCGTTTAATTTAGCAGTTTTTACAAGATCTTCGGTCGTATTCGCTGTAACTATTTGAAGAGTTTCTGCAGCTTCTCTACCAGTTAAGTTTGGTTGTGCCTGTTGTAATTTTGGTGCAACGGTTTTAGGCAAAGTGTCCTCTATTTCATTAGAAGCTATCTCGGTAATTACAACTGTAGTAAGACCATCGAATTGCGGCTTCCCTTTTTGTTCTTCAGGTTTAAGTTTGCCATCAAATGTTTCCTCTTTTTCGACTGGTGTTGTTTCGGATCTCACTATCGTTTCCATCGTTGTTTGAATCAAGGTAGCTTGAGAGGGAAATGGTTTTTTCTCGCGAAGTTCTTGAGTACTTTGTATACTCTCTACGAAAGTACCTTCGACAGTTTGGAATAGATCAATGTCAGGCGTAGCTTTGACTTCATTTAGTTTTGAAATGACATCTAACGTTTCTTCTTTGTCTTCAGTAATTGTTTCTGAAATTTGCAACGATTTTACTTCTGATATATCAATGCTTGCTTTTTGCATTTCAGGTTTAAAAAGACCTTCGAAGATCTTCTCACTTTCTTCGACGAGATTTTCGTTAACAATGACACTTTCAAACATATCTCTGATTGGCGCAGCCACTTGAGGTATTAAAGTACGATCTGGAATTTGTTCAGGTACATCAACTCGTGATTCTACCATTACAGTTTCTATAGTATCGCGTTCAGTAACGATAGTGCGGACAGCTGTTTGAGACACTTCGTGTCTCTTCTCCTCCAGTGACTCTTCAACTTCGCCAGATGTTATTTCCGTGATAAATACGCTATGATCCTCTTCGAATGTTGGCACAGCTGTAGTGGATATTGTTTTCGGATATTTATCAAAGACTCCTTCACTTTCTACGCTGGGAATTTCTTCAATGACGATAGGTTGCAAGACATCTTGCTGTGAATGAGCTTCCGCTACAATCTTCTCGAAAGGTTTAACCAAACCGGTATTTTGCTCAATAAAAATTTGAGCTTTTTGTGCAATATCCATGCCAAGCTTTGTTAATTTTATATCAGCTGTACTCTCTTCATATTTCGGAATTTGTATCGTACCTTCTTTGTCCTGTGTTACGACATGAGCCACATTGATACTTTTTCCTTCTACAAAACTAATATCGGCACTACGTTTATCAGGTTTGAATTTGTCGATAAATATCGTACTTTGTTCCTGAGAAACCGTTTCGCTAATATCAATACTTTCTAAGATAGATTGTGTCTGACGTGCCTCATATGTAATTGGTTTTAATGCTGCAGGTAATTCTCCAAGTCCTTCGCGTAAATTAACTTCCATTAGTTCTGCTACTTCTTTGCCTTCCATCAAAAGATTAGCTGCCTCTTGACGTAATTTTTTCGTGGTAAATTCTGTTTCGACATCTTGAGTAGTAGTAGATTCCGTGATAGCGACAAATCTATTTTCATCTAAAACGACATGCGCGCTCGTTTTTGTCAATGGTGTTTCCTGAATTTTGTCTATTTCTTTCTCCACAGGAACTTGTTCAATCAGTTGCACCGTCTCAAAAGGTTTCTGTCCAATTTGTGCAATTGCTTTCGTCGGTGCTGCACTCTCGCTCATTTCACCTATACTCGAATTAAGAATTATTTCAGATCTCTCAGCGACTTCATAGCCAGGAATAATAATCGGCAACGCTGAATGAGATCTATCTTCTTGTATGGTTTCGAAGGGAATTTCTTTGTCAGCCATTTTAATTTCTGTAATAGAAGTCACGTGTTTACCCTCTTCCACAGACCATTCTACTTTATGTGAGTCTGGTATGAATTTTCCTTCAAAGGATTTTTCTTGATCCTGAATCGTGCTTTCGGTCACTAAGACACTTTGACATACTTCTTGCGTAGACGAGACCGTTTTAACATCTGGTTTTTTTATCATGATTTCTTCTACAGAATGTTCGATATCTATCGCGATTGTTTCGGCTATACCGTGAGTTGCATCAATTCCGAATGAAGCCGCATGTTTACGCGGTTGCTCTTCGACGATGTATGGCGATTCTTTATCCACAGTTGTTACATGCGCTATACTCACAATCGCTTTACCTTCTTCCATTTCAATATTTACAGTTTTATTTTCTGGTATTAATGCTGGGACAAATTGCTCTTCTCCCTCCTGAACAACAAGTTGTGATTCCATTAGTGGATTAAAAACTATGTGATCTGGAATTGCGACGGCAACTAACGGTGTTTCACTGGCAATTTCGCCAGTACTAAAATCAGGAACTTGCATCGTTGTTTCGGCAACGCCATAGGTTTCAATTAGAGTTTTTTCTGCTGTTTTCGGTTCCGGTGTTTCCTTCGGCTTATATTCGATTTCCTTGTCCTCCAAGATTACTGAAGATACTTGTAGACTTTGTTCTAATATCATAGAAGAGTCTGCTTGAAACATTGATGGTACTTTATCTTTTTCGAGTATAGCCTCTGCTTCTGTTAATTGCATTTCTGTTCGTACTACTGCCTCTAACGGAATGCTAGAGAGTACGGCTAAAACAGAAGTCGGTTTCGTGTCTGCCAATTCTCCCATACTAGAATCTGGAGTGACTTCGCTTTTCTCGGCAATTATGCGCCCAGTAAATTGAATATCAGCTCTTTTCTCTGCAGGCCTTTCGGGAATTCGAAGAACATCTTCCTTTTCGGCTAAAGTTTCGGTAGACATAGTAGCACTGATAATTTCGTCGATAGATATTTGAGCCGTATCGGTTTTTACAGGTTTATCCTTGAATTCTATCTCGGTTTCCGTTGCAACAGTTTCGCTTTGAACAATGCTTTCAAATGGCAAACGTTCTACTTTTGCCGCTGCGCTTGTTGGTGCTTTCACATCGAGACTTCCTAGATAAGTGGCTGGTGTAATTTCTGTAAGTTCGGCGATTTTATGTGCATCGAAACTTGTAGTGATTTTTTCACCTGGAATATCCGGTTTCTTCAAGTATTCTCGTTCCTTGTCAGATGGAATCGTTTCAATTACCATTACGCTCACTTCTTCTTCGAACGACACGTCGACTTTTTTCTTATCTGGCTTGACGAAATCAACCATCGGCTGTTCCGAATCTCCGATCGATGTCTCTGATGCTACAATGCTATGATGAGTGATGTGTTCGGTCGTAGCCATTGCAGAGATCGTTTCTTCGCGTTTTAATTCGCTGATATTATCAGTCGCAGTTACCTCGGCAGCTTGCGCCACTATATGAGTCGGAATATCAAATATAGCAGATTTAGATTCCGGTTTTTCCATTTCTGTGAGTGTACTTTCCTTATCCTCTGCTGTAATAGATGAAATAACGAGACTCTCGCCCATTATAAATTCAAGATTAGCTATTTTCTCTGGCGCTGGTATATAAGGAAGAAGTTTCTCAGTCTCCCTCGTTTGTACTTCTTCAGTGATAACTGTCTCAAATGGCAATAATGTCGTTTTAGGACGCACTTCCTGTGTAGAGACGGTAGATAATTCGGTTGGAGCGATATTGCTAATAATTTCATATTTTGATGCTATTTTTTGTGTTACCATATCAATTACAGCTTCAGCAGTCTTTGGCACCGGTTTCTCACCAAGTATATCTTCTTTGTCTTCGGGATGTGTGATCGCAATCATTATACCTTCTCCTTCTTGAAAAGTAATGCCGATCTTTTTGGCATCGGGTTTTACGTCTGCTGTTAAAGGTGATTCTTTCTCGGATACTGATACTTCCATTTGCTGTACAACATCTAATCCGCTCTGTAATTGATTGGCACTTTCCCGATTCGGCTTTTCTTCCTTCAAATCGCTTATATTGTTCGCAAGAATCATTTCCTGCGTCTCGGCTATTTCATGGCCTCCGGTTATGTCCAATACAACTTTCCGTTTGTCTGGTAATTTCTCCACTGACAATTCCTCCTCCTTCATTATCGTCGTTATTTCAGTGACAGTCAATTTTTCGGATTGGGCACATATTTCGACTGCAGCGTTCTGTTTAATAGGACATATATCTTCTTCTCTGATTCGTTCCGCTTCACTGATATTTGTCTCTGTTACTATCAATTCTTCCAGAGCTTCTTGCTGTAATATCGCTTTGCTTGATTTCGGTAGATCGCTCTTTATTTTTCCAGCGCTTTGTTCCACTAAGATTTCTGCCTTCGATGCGACAGTATGACCAGTTATAGATGATTCAATTGTATAAGTCTCCGGTCTAATATCTGGTGTGTAGATATTTTCGAAATCATGCGGAATTACTTCGAGAACACTAGCACCAGGTCTTGTTTCCGTAAGTTCGATATTCGCTATTTTTCCCTCAGGCCTCGCATCTGCTTTATAAATTTCTTCCTTCTCAGCAGTTTCTTGTACAGCGACACTGACAGTCTCTATAGGAACGTGAGATGTATATGCTTTTCCGCTCGTAGGTTTATGTTCCTCTAGATATTCTTCGGTCGGCGACTCTGTTCTCACTTGTTCACATACCGGAGCCATTTGTGTCATATATTCAGTACTCGCAAATGCACTTTTAACATCAGCTGTTTCAACATATTCAATTTCTTTCTCGCTAGCAACGATCATCGTGGTATGTAAGCCTTCGATCTGATCCATCGAAACTACGGCAGTTCTAGTATCGGGACTCTTATCTTCTTTTGCCGGAGTTACATTTTCTGCTGCGACAGTCTCGCCAACGATTGTCTCTTGTAAACTGACCGCTTCGATTTTAGCCGTAGCGATTGACAAAGCTTCTTTTGTAACGTCACCTAAATTGTTCTCTGGCTGAGTTTCTTGAACTTCAAGTGAGATCATTGGATGAGTAGGTACTGTTTTGCCGCGATGTGATTCAGGCATCTCGAAGATTTTCAATTCGGTCTCTTTCTCTATAGAAGTAGTTTGCGATATCTCAATACCTCTGATAGCATCATATACCATCTCGACCGTATGGGTTTCCGGTTTAGCATTTTCTTCCATAGTAGCCTCTCGATCGTGAGCAAGCGTTTCGAGTACAGTTTTCGCTTCCGTCAATTGAATAGATACAACACCACTCTCCGAAACATATTTGAGCGTATCTTTTAGATCTCCAGGATAATCCGCGGTTTGAACTTGAGATATTAAAACGTGTTCTTCCGGTCTAATCGATGTCTCTGCTAATGCTTCAAATGGTTTTTGATCAGCATTATAGAATCCTTCAGATTCTTGAACAATCGTGTCTGTTATAGAACCAATCTCCAATGGCGATATCGACGTGACAGCCAATTTACTAGCGGGCTTATCATCGGGACGATAATCTCGTTCTTTTTCAGAAGTTAATGTCTCTGCTGTTACGGCTGATATAATTTCGACGATATTAAAATCTGCCGTGACCTGTTTATTGTCTTCGATCGTTAAATCATCTTCTTTTTGTTGTGTATTGATTGTTGAAATTGTAACTCCTTCCAAAAGAATGACATTTGGCATAGCTTCAAAAGAATCTACTTTACGATCGGGAATATATTCACCTTCACGCTCTTGTACGAGATCGTGATGAATAACAGCAGTTTCGTTTCCATATGAGATTCCAATCTGGGCAGTTTGACTTGGCGGTAATCTACCTGGAATATATGTTCCTTCTTTTTCAGGCGCGTTCATTTCTTCAGTGACGCGTTGTTTCTGCGAAATCACCGTTTCGGTAGCCATTTCAGTGGGCACTATCAACTCTGGATAATATTTCCCTGGCTTATCTTCGGGACGAATTTCCTCTATCAATATCGGTTCCATCGCGTTAATATTAATTCGTGGTTTCGTAGGTATCGTTTTCTCAGGCTCCAACTTTTCTTCAGTCAAACCTTCCTGTATTTCATAAACTGAGAGTTCTATCTGTGGTAAAATAGTATCTTCTGCCTTAACGCCTAAAGGTGTCACGAAATCTTCAGTTGGTATTTCACTTTGATTGACTATAGTCTCACTAATAGTTGTAGCTTCCTGCATGGTGAATTGCACATCTGCTTTACGACTCTTTTCCGCTTGAGCCAGAGTTAAATTCAATACATCGTCATCGTGCGTTAATGTTTCGCTGACAAGAAGACTTTCTTTCGTTATTACAGAAGGCGTAGCTTCATAAGAAACGGCTTTGAAAGTGCCCGAAAATTCCTTGGTATATATCTGTGCGGTAGTTTCTGTAATAGAATATGGTTCAATCGACGAGATTGATATCGACGCTTTACGTTCGGCGGGCTTAATATTCATCACTTCATCAATTTCTCTTTCGTGTACTGACGTTGTTTCTCCTGTTAATGCAATAACAGTGTCTAAAGTATATTTTGCTTTTTCCGATTCAGGTTTACCAGGCGCTTGTTCGACCGTATGATCTAAAGGTATCACTTGATTACGTTGACTAGACACATTCAAAGCAATAGATGGCACTGATTTATCCTTTATTATTTCAAATTCTTCTATCTCTTCCAGTTGTATCTCATCTTTACTAATATCTGATTTCTTTGGCATTAATGTCTTTTTAACTTTTTTAATCATTTCTTCCTCCTCTTCTACATCTACCTGTTTTTCTACATCTTGTTTTTGCTTACGAATCAATCTGCCCTTTGTATCCCGTTCAAGTTCAATAATCTCTTCTTCGATTTCTTCTGCTTCCTTTTTTCTTTCCTTTTCAATCTCCTCGATTTCCTCAAATTTAACAATTTGAACCCCCTCTTCCCTATCTTGTGTTGTTTCTTCGATCTGATCTCTTGGTTTCCTATCTTTGCGTTTGCGCAGTGTTGTGTGTGCCTGCCGTGTGTCCTCGTATTCTGTGGAAAGTGTGAGAATTTTGTGTCAGACGTGAGTGTTGCGTGATGTTTTTCAATTTCTATTTGTTCTCTCTCTCTCTCTCTCTTTCTCTCATTCTCTTTCTATCATATCAATTAAAAAGATGTATACACACATGCATTCGTATCTTTTCACCTTTTACCTTTCTCTCTCTTCCTTTCTCTCTTTCTTTTTGAATCTTACATACTTCATGCCACGATTAAAGAGCGCGTGTTTGGCTACGATATGAATGAGCTTAATAAACAAAAAAGTGACAATTGTTTGAGTTTTCAGTTATGTGTAAAATAAATGATGATGATTTAATAAAATGTATAACATTATTAATATTTTGATTTTGCTATATTTTTATGTCTCATATCGCTTTGGATCAAATGAAGCATCGGTAAAATATATAACTTACATTCCATCAGCGCTAGTGAGCATTGCGAAGCGTTGATTTCGAAACTGATATGGAAAATAGCTGATTAAAATGTAAAGGAAATTATTATAAAAGTTAAAGAAATAGGATTTATAGCGTGTGGAAAGCATAGCGGCATAAGCGAATAAATCGTACAATATCTCTAATCTATTAATCGATCAAGTAAAGCTTCATGCATCTGAAAGCATAAAAATAATGATCGTTAAAAATAATAATCATAAATATCATATTTCACAGTTATAGTATGTAATTCTTTGCTTTTTTTATAAATATTCTTATATTTTATAGATAAAAAAGTATTTTAGAAATATAATAATATTGCCCAAATTATATAATCCAAAATTTAATTCAATCTCCATAAAATTTATAATTTTGACTTGAAAAATAAATTTAAGTGTATTATTTGATGAAATACTATTAATGGAATCTCTCTTAAATAAGTGTTTATCTAAAGTCAAATTAATTAAAATTACAAATATATAATGTAGCATTAAGTTTGCGCTAATAGAAAAAAAATAGAAATTATGGCAGAAGCACTGCTCATTATTGCGAACGCTAATTCATCAGAATGAGTAGATTATATGACGACTAAATATCTCATGCATCGAAACTTATTGTTTCGAACCTTTAATTTCTCGAATATCCTGTGCGTGAGTGGCTTTCCTTTCGTCTCTCCTCTCTGCAATTAAAAGATTCTTATTTTGTTGAAAAAGTTAAGACGATTTATATGTATACACGAAAAAAAGTAATGACACATGGATAAAATTTGTCAATTATTATTATTGCATAATAAAACTAATGCACACAAACATATTTAAAAAATAATTGTTAATTTGTCGAAAGAAGTTTTAAATAAATCTAAATTTCATGAAAAGAATTTACGTGTAAAGGATTTACGAAACTTTAAAAAAAAAACCACATAACTTGTAATTTTGGCTTACCCATAAAATGAACCTCTGTTTTGCGAACGATATCCACTCTTTCTGTAGCATGTTGTTCGGTCTCAATCTAAATGAAGAAAAACAAACATAAAAGTATGATTTGTGCATTACTAAAATAAGGAAAGAGAAAAATCTTTGAAATTATAAATTCAAATAACAATTGTGCTATATCCATACCTCAGAAACTTCCGTAACTTCCCAAGCACGTGGTCTGAAATCTTCTGGAGCAAAGTGCGTAATGACTTCTTCTACAGTAGCATGCTGAAGCTCGACCATTCTCATGAAAGCACGAAAACCAACTGTCGCCGCGACAAAGCTCTCATCAGTCGTCGTCTCTTCAGTAAGCACTTGAGTGATCAAGGGCCCGTGACCTTTTCTTTCCACCAGTTGAACCAAAGCATTTTGAGCATCGGGTGTTTTTAAAGCGGGAAAGATTTCAGTCCTGTAAAGACATTCATTGATTTCATTTACAGATACACCTTGTCGAACCAAATAACCAATCGTAGCGAGCTCTCGAAGAGGAGACTCTCCTGGGCCAAACTCCTTCGCGTCAAGTATTTCCATTATTTCATCAACTTCGCGAGCTATGTTTTCCTTTTGTCGTTCCACAATTTCTTTTATTGTAATATCTTCTTTAATTTTTTCTCCTTTTATTTTCTTCGCCTTTTTCTGTTTCGTTTCTATACGTTTCGTTTCTTGTACACCTGCTTCTACATGCGTTTCCGAGACCGATACTTTCTGCAAAGTTTCCGAAGTAATTTCAGCATGATCGAGTTTTGTTTCGACAGTGAAATCGGGGGCAGTATCTTCGCTCGTGATTTCTGATATAATGACACTTTCCCGTTCCTCAACAATTCTTTTAGCACGTTCTTCGATTTTAGGTATATCCTCTTGCAATTTTTGATCAATTTTCTTCAAAGAAGCTGTTGCTTCAGTCATAATCGGTTCTTGGATGGGTACTATTCTTCGTGCTCTAGAAATCTAAAATAAGAAAAATAAAATAGTAGTTGCATAAAATTGTACAAGAAATATAGCTCTAATTAGAAAAAATTATAAAAGTTGCATATTATAATACCTCCTCGGGCTTCTCTTTTATAATTTCTGTAGTTTCTAATAGTTGAGTTTCTTCTACATCGACAATTCTCCTAAAAATACAGAAAACACATACCATAATTTGTAAATCAAATAAATTAAAAAATTATATGAAATGTATTGTGAATAACTCGTAATATATAATAATATACTAACTTTTCTTCTGTTTGTTCCTTCGGTATAAGTTTTTCTTCATGGATTTCTTCCTTCTCGATCTTGATACGTTCGGCCTTTACTTTTTCTTTGATTTCTTTTGCTTTCTTTAGTTCGGTCTTTTTCTTTTTGTGCGGTTTCTCTTCTTGTTTTTTCGGCTTTTCTTCCTCTTTGATTACGTCGTCCGGCATTAATCCCGAATCGCTTATAGTATCGACATGTAATTTGGCTTTAGTTGTTATCATGCCAATTTCACTAGTAGCTTTACAAACATATGTAGCATCATCATCTTTGGTGGCTCGCTTGATTGTTAAAGTGGTCTTATTTTCTTGATCAAGTAATCGTATTTTTACATTTTCCGTGTTCATTAAAAGCTTATCATTTTTATACCAAACAATATCTAGAAATTGAGAAAATAGTCAATTAAAAATTTCATAATCGAACTTTGCAACATTTGCGCATTTGTATGACAATTACCTGGTTTGGGATTACCAGAGTAGATACATTCAAACACGGCAACATTTCCTTCTTTTGTATAGATGTCCGTTATCTCTTGTATAAATCGTGGAACAGCTTGCGTGGCTGAAACATATGTGGCTAATGTTAAATTTAAAACATCTCAGAAAGAAAATTTGCTCAATATAATCCCACGATTATCTTACCTAATTTGATGTTTGATATCAAGATTACTCGTACAAGCCTCATGTCAGTAGTCTAGTTAGACAAAAACACACAAAAAATCATGCACGGTTATTTTGTAAACGATACATTTCTATCATTAGTTTTAAATAAAGTTCTACCTGACATCGTACTTCTTTCATCATCGGTATATTCGTTATAAAATACTTCAGATGTGAATGTATTGCTCGCCAATCCAAGATTACCGCTGCATTGGCTTTCAAGCAGCAAGAATTCTTGCAATTCTTCTTGACTATCCGCTGTATGCAATTGCTGGAAAGAATCTAGATCGATTTCTCTCGGTTCTAATGGAAACATTCGCGGGTCTATGGTATAATTTTCAAGTCGTCGTTTCCTGGCGCATTTTAAAACTGGAATCCTGGACTTGGGATATGTATGATATTTTCTTTTATAATCATAAGTCGGATTAAGGGCGAATTCTTCAGAAATGGTTTTATTTATTTTAGCATTCAAATTATTTGGATTTCTCATACTCGATGTTTCGCATTTTTCTTTAATCGATGATAAATGAAATGGTGATCTTGAACTCTCTGTAGAAGTGATCACTCCAGCATCTGAATGTTCTTGAATTTTTCTCTCGTATTTTAAGGGCGGAAACTCATTAAAGTCAAGAGCAATTTTATTTCTTTTAGATTCTGACGATTTGTCTACATTCTGTTTTTTAAATATATCTTCGTAGCTAAAAGAGTCGGAAGTTGGGAGCAATTCGTTGATTATTTTTTTCTGTGCAATATATTTTGTTTCGATTGAAGAAGGCTGATTTGATATGTTAGAAGATATTTTTAATATATTTTGCTTATTTTCTTGAGGTTTCACTTTTGAAGCTACCTCATTTTGCATATCTAAAATCGAAGAAATATTTTTGTTTTTCTCTGCTAATAAATGAGATGCTATCGGAGCTTGCTCTTTATGAGAAACATCGATTTGCCAAGAATACTGTATCGAAATAATATTTTCTTTAGTCCCGAGAGAATCTGAATATCTTCTTGATAAGAATTTTTTTGAAGTAACTTCATTCTCGTCAAAAGGCAATCTAATATCGTCATCACCAATATTCATTAACGTTTTTGTTGATGAAAATTCGCTGATCACAGTCGAGCTATCTCTTTGAGAACTTTCGTCTCTTAATGCACGGTCATCCAGACTGTCGCTTGAAAAACTGCATTCTGTATCACTCGGCATGCAATCAATCACGTTCGGATGAACGCGATTCTTACCTTTTAAAATTTCTTGCATTTTTTCCATCTGTGTGACCCATTCTGGTTTCCGGTATTCTTTTGTGCCCAGTATACCTAGCCAATAGAATGACAAATAAGAATTGTATAGCGAATGTGTAATGAATCCCTCTGGTCAACATTAAGAATATGAATAAGACCAAAGACATTCGTAGACTTGCATAGAATATACAATGAATAAAATAGAAGACAGTGTAAATTGAGGATGTTGCGAGTGTTTTTGGTGTGGATAATGTGGGATAAAATGTAGGATAATCAATAGGTTTTTACCAGGATGCTATAGGACTTCGATGATGTTTCTCCATTCGAAGAGCACAACTGAAAAGAACTTGACTTAAGTAGATTAGTGAAATTTTTAGAATCTATAGAGAAGGGGATATTACCTTCTACTGATAAATATGTCGTCGTGGTCGACACGCCGAGTGGATTGTGAGCTTCGAATACAATTTCACCAGTATCATCGGGAAAAGTTTCAGCGATCGTCAGCACCGACGTACCATCTTCAAATTCTTCAATTTGGAATTCTTGTGATGAGACAATTTCCACACCTTGTTTATACCATTTTCCTTCCGGTTTTGGTTTACCTTTCACTTTCACTTCCAATCTATAAAAGAAGAAATAATTATGCATAAAAATATATACATGTATGTGTTGATTTATATATATATATATATAGGGTTCAATACATATATACCAACATTTCAAATTAATTATTATTTGTCAAATATATCTTAAACGTACCTAGTTAATTCCCCATCTTTGATAGGAATTAACTGAGGAAGCTGTTTAATTATTTCCGGTGAGGATTCTTCTGTGTCAATGTCAAATATTGGAGTTTCCTGGAAACAAAATAAATTTTAATATCTAACATTGCATCAAATACAATTCTATATGGTTGGCTGTAGTACTTACTTTCGGAGATAAAAGATCTTCTTCCGATCCTGTGGTTAGAGATGTTGCGACTATCGAAGATGCAATTTCCGAGTCAGGAACGTACTCGTAAGCTATAATTAAATTAATCGTGATACAAATAGTAAAACAGATCGCTTGTAAATTATTCTATATATATTATTTGACGAATATACCTTCAACGACAAGTGATGACATGCAGACAGCCTCGCCAACAGGATTTATAGCGCGACAGGTATATTCTCCAGCATCCTCCGGGAATACCTCGGTAATGGCTAGGCTACAGACACCTTCCATATCCTGGATAATTGTTATTTCTTTGCCTTCTTTAATTGGCATGTCATTATGGTACCATTCTACCCTAGGTATCGGTTTCCCTTCAACGACACAGGTTAAATTAACACTCTCGCCATCCATAACTCTTACAGGTGAGAGTCTTTTAACAAATGTCGGCGAAATCAATTCAATTGCTTCTTCCCATATTGTTTCTGTAATGTTAACGCTGGCTGTACAAGTGACCGAGCCACCGACATTTTCAGCACGACAGGTGTAGCTACCGACAAGTTCCGGTGTAACTTGTTTCACCATTAAAATTGATCGATTCTCTTGAGTCACGATTCTCACCTGCGGCGTCGACTGCAACAAAAAAATTATATCCTTCATTAATCTTTTATTTTTATGAAATTCTCAATGTTATGTCTCTTTTTCTTTTTGTTTCTTTCTCTTTATATATACATACATACGTACATGCATCCTTTATTAATTCTTTATATTTATGATATCCATCTCTTTTTCTCTCTTTATACATACATACATACTTATATATATAATGAGAATCAAGTGATACAAATTCGAAAAACAAAAATTTTTATTATATTTATTATATATTTTATTATTTTTATCATATATCTATTTATTTATTTATTTATATTTATTTTTATAAAATTCTAGATGATATGTCTCTCTCTCCTTCTCTCTCTCTTTCTCTCTTTACACACACACACACACACATATATATATAATGATATATATATAATGATGAGTCAAGTGATACAAATTCGAAAAACAAAAATTTTAAGAAATAAAGATTGCATTTTCTTCTCAAATCTAATAACTTAAAATCGAGTTTGGCAGTACCACTTGACATCTGAGAATCATTTACATATATACGTGCATATAAAAAGAAAGAGAAAATTATTTTTTAAATAGACACAAGACGACAAGAAAATACTTAGAAAAATACCTCAAGAGGTTTGCTTTCGTGGAACCATTGGAAAGATGCTGTCGGATATGATTCTACTTTTGTTTCCATGATAACAACTTCTCCTTCTGCAACGAGTTGAGGTTGAATCGGCTTTACAAACATCGGTGCTTTCACTTCGCTTGTAGTATCTTCACGATCCTTGACAGTAACAGAACTTGAACTTCTTGCTTCGCCGGCTTCATTCTGAACTCTAATCTCATATTTGCCGCTATCTTTTTTCGTCACATCAGATATAATTAATTCAGCTGTACTCTCGTAAATGTTTATCACGCATCTGTCAGTTGGCGCAATTTCAATACCATTGCGGAACCATTTAACTTCGGGTTTTGGTGCGCTCTCAAAATCAGCCGAAAGTTTCAGAGGCTTGCTACGCTCTGCTACAAGAGCTGGTAGAGGTCGTGTAATACGTGGTGCTCTGAGAACAATCGGTTTGCTTACTTTAACAATGTTACTGATCACCAAATTAGCTCTGCATTCAGCACGACCATATTTATTTACAGCGCGAACGCGATATATTGTTTCATCTTGCGGTGTTGGCTCTAAAATTTTCAGTTTAGCTTCTCCAGTTGTTGGATTAAAAGTAATCTCGGTTTTTTCGTTTGGTTTTACTTCTCTTTCACCGCGATACCATTTCACTTCCGGTACTGGTGTGCCAGTGACAACACATTCTAATAAAGCAGGTGTATGCTCTTGGACCATTAGCGGTTTGATTGGTGTCGAGAAATGCGGCGCTACGCCTTCCTCTTCTTTTTCTGAAAAAATAAATATCGTGTTATATATATAAATATAAAAAAATACGAATACCCACTCAAGTGCGTTATTTAAAAAAGAGAAGGAAATTTTGGAAAATAATATTTTAATAAAGGAAAAAACAAATAGGGGACATACAATAAGTTTTTTTTATTACGTGTACAATGTCATGTAATTACTAGAAGATAAAATGTTATATCCAATGCATTAGGAAGTGCATTAGGCACACATTTGCATTTCGCAAATTACTATTTATTTATATATATATTTATTGAAGAGGATATATTACATTAATTATATTAATTAAGAGGATATATTATATTAATTAATTAATTATTATATTAAGAGGATATATTATATTAATTTGAAGAATTTAATATCGTCAGGATATAAAGACATACAATTATTTGAAAAGTATGTATTTTATTTGTGGCAGTTATAAGACGAAAAAGAATTATTAATATTATTTCGCAGTGTTTTTATTAGTAGAGATTTAGTAAGGAAAGATTAAGACATTGACAAATTAATTAAATTTTTAAATCCAAATCATGAAAATAAAAAAACACACTTTATATTCGATAATATTACTACCGAATATCACAAGATTGACAGTAGATGTTGCAACCCCAGCTGGATTAGATGCTCTGCAAGAATACATTCCAGCATCTTCTTCTTTAACTTTTGTAATTTCTAAAGTTGCTGTTGTTTCGAATATAGTCATTGTATATTTTTCGCTCGCATGGAGTTCTTGTTGATTTTTATACCATGAAATTTCAGGGAAGGGATTTCCTATGACAGTACATGTAAATTTAGTAGGTTTCTCTAGCTCAGCGATAACAGGCTGTAATTTTTGAATAAATCGTGGAGCAACAGTTTTGTCCTTATCTATAATAGATATATCGACTTGAGTACGTTGTCTACGTTTCCTTTTACGGTCTTCTATTTGCGTAACATCTGTCTTAATTTGTAATTTAACATCTTCAACAGTTTCTTGGATTTCTTCAATTTTAGTAGTAATTTCATCCTTCTTTTCCTCAATAATAGGAACGATTTCTTCGGGCACTTTTTCTATTTTCTTAGATGGTATTTTAACCATTTTAATAATGGCTTCATCTTTTTCCTCCGATACCTTTGCTATTTCTTTCTCAAATGTTATAGGCTTCAATTCAATAATTTCCTCTTCCTTAGGTTTGTCTTCTATTATTTTTTCTTTACTAACTTGTTTTAATTTAATTTCTTCTACTACTTCTTCTTTCTTTATTTTCTTTTTAGGTGTCGGTTTTAGTTGAATTACATCTTTTTCAACTTCCTCAGGTAATTTCTCATCTTTAACTGGAATTAATACATGCTCTTCAATTTGTTTAACTTCCGGTTTTGAATCTTTAACTTCTTCGATAGGCTTTAAAACAACTATTTCTTTCTCTTCTTCCATTTTGATTTGCTCTTGTTTCTTTTTTCTCCATGAAATTTCGCTTGTTGCAATTATCTGTTCAGTTCTCTCTTCTTCCCGAGATGGTACAGATTCTACTTTAATTTCAACTTGTTTTTGAGTACCTTCTGTAATTATTGTTGTTTTTCTTTCCTCAGATATCTCTGTAACCGATTCTTCTTGATCAATTGGCACTATTGTAACTTCCTCTTTGAAATCAACTACTTTCTTCGTTCGTTTACCACGCCGCCAAGGAGCTGCCATTATATCTGTTGGTTTGTCTTCCTCAGGTTTCGGTTCTTCCGGTTTCTCGAACTTTTTCACTGGTTTTAATCGAACTTCTTCGGGTTTCTCCTCGGGCTTTTCTTTTTCTACCGGTTTCAAAATAATTGATTCCTTCGTTTCCTCCTCTTTAGGAAGCTTCTTAACAGGCTTTAATACGACTTCCTCAGGTTTCGGTTCTTCCGGTTTCTCTAACTTTTTCACTGGTTTTAAGCGAACTTCCTCGGGTTTCTCCTCCGGTTTTTCTTTTTCTACCGGTTTTAAAACAATAGATTCTTTTGTTTCCTCCTCTTTAGGAAGCTTCTTAACAGGCTTTAATACGACTTCCTCAGGTTTCGGTTCTTCTGGTTTCTCTAACATTTTCACTGGTTTTAAGCGAACTTCCTCGGGTTTCTCCTCCGGTTTTTCTTTTTCTACCGGTTTTAAAACAATAGATTCTTTTGTTTCCTCCTCTTTAGGAAGCTTCTTAACAGGCTTTAATACGACTTCCTCAGGTTTCGGTTCTTCCGGTTTCCCTAACTTTTTCACTGGTTTTAAGCGAACTTCCTCGGGTTTCTCCTCCGGTTTTTCTTTTTCTATTGGTTTCAAAATAATTGATTCTTTCGTTTCCTCCTCTTTAGGAAGCTTCTTAACAGGCTTTAATGCGACTTCCTCAGGTTTCGGTTCTTCCGGTTTCTCTAACTTTTTCACTGGTTTTAAGCGAACTTCCTCGGGTTTCTCCTCCGGTTTTTCTTTTTCTACCGGTTTCAAAATAATTGTTTCTTTTGTTTCCTCCTCTTTAGGAAGCTTCTTAACAGGCTTTAATACGACTTCCTCAGGTTTCGGTTCTTCCGGTTTCTCTAACTTTTTCACTGGTTTTAAGCGAACTTCCTCGGGTTTCTCCTCCGGTTTTTCTTTTTCTACTGGTTTTAAAACAATAGATTCTTTTGTTTCCTCTTCTTTAGGAAGCTTCTTAACAGGCTTTAATACGACTTCCTCAGGTTTCGGTTCTTCCGGTTTCTCTAACTTTTTTACTGGTTTTAAGCGGACTTCCTCGGGTTTTTCCTCCGGTTTTTCTTTTTCTACCGGTTTCAAAATAATTGTTTCTTTTGTTTCCTCCTCTTTAAGAAGCTTCTTAACAGGCTTTAATGCAACTTCCTCAGGTTTCGGTTCTTCTGGTTTTTCTAATCTTTTTACTGGTTTTAAGCGAACTTCCTCGGGTTTCTCCTTCGGTTTTTCTTTTTCTACCGGTTTCAAAACAATAGATTCTTTTGTCTCCTCCTCTTTAGGAAGCTTCTTAACAGGCTTTAATGCGACTTCCTCAGGTTTCGGTTCTTCCGGTTTCTGTAACTTTTTCACTGGTTTTAAGCGAACTTCCTCAGGTTTCTCCTCCGGTTTCTCTTTTTCTACCGGTTTCAAAATAATTGTTTCTTTTATTTCCTCCTCTTTAGGAAGCTTCTTAACAGGCTTTAATACGACTTCCTCAGGTTTTGGTTCCTCCGGTTTCTCGAACTTTCTCACTGGTTTTAAGCGGATTTCCTCGGGTTTCTCCTCCGGCTTTTCTTGTTCTACTGGTTTCAAAATAATTGATTCTTTTGTTTCTTCCTCTTTAGGAAGCTTCTTAACAGGTTTTAATACGATTTCCTCAGGTTTCGGTTCTTCCGGCTTCTCTACTTTTTTCACTGGCTTTAAGCGGACTTCCTCGGGTCTCTCCTCTGGCTTTTCTTTTTCTACTGGTTTCAAAATAATAGATTCTTTTGTTTCTTCCTCTTTAGGAAGCTTCTTAACAGGCTTTAATACAACTTCCTCAGGTTTCGGTTCTTCTGGTTTCTCTAATCTTTTCACTGGTTTTAAGCGGACTTCCTCGGGTTTCTCCTCCGGTTTTTCTTTTTCTACCGGTTTTAAAACAATAGATTCTTTTGTTTCCTCTTCTTTAGGAAGCTTCTTAACAGGCTTTAATACGACTTCCTCAGGTTTCGGTTCTTCTGGTTTCTCTATTCTTCTCACTGGCTTCAATCGAACTTGTTCGGGTTTCTCCTCGGGTTTTTCTTTTTCTACTGGTTTCAAAATAACTGATTCTTTTGTTTCTTCTTCTTTAGGAAGCTTCTTAACAGGCTTTAATACGATTTCCACAGGTTTCGGTTCTTCCGGCTTCTCTACTTTTTTCACTGGCTTTAAGCGGACTTCCTCGGGTCTCTCCTCCGGCTTTTCTTTTTCTACTGGTTTCAAAATAATAGATTCCTTTGTTTCTTCCTCTTTAGGAAGCTTCTTAACAGGCTTTAATACAACTTCCTCAGGTTTCGGTTCTTCTGGTTTCTCTAATCTTTTCACTGGTTTTAAGCGGACTTCCTCGGGTTTCTCCTCCGGTTTTTCTTTTTCTACCGGTTTTAAAACAATAGATTCTTTTGTTTCCTCCTCTTTAGGAAGCTTCTTAACAGGCTTTAATACGACTTCCTCAGGTTTCGGTTCTTCTGGTTTCTCTATTCTTCTCACTGGCTTCAATCGAACTTGTTCGGGTTTCTCCTCGGGTTTTTCTTTTTCTACTGGTTTCAAAATAACTGATTCTTTTGTTTCTTCTTCTTTAGGAAGCTTCTTAACAGGCTTTAATACGATTTCCTCAGGTTTCGGTTCTTCCGGCTTCTCTACTTTTTTCACTGGCTTTAAGCGGACTTCCTCGGGTCTCTCCTCCGGCTTTTCTTTTTCTACTGGTTTCAAAATAATAGATTCTTTTGTTTCTTCCTCTTTAGGAAGCTTCTTAACAGGCTTTAATACAACTTCCTCAGGTTTCGGTTCTTCTGGTTTCTCTATTCTTCTCACTGGCTTCAATCGAACTTGTTCGGGTTTCTCCTCGGGTTTTTCTTTTTCTACTGGTTTCAAAATAATAGATTCTTTTGTTTCTTCTTCTTTAGGAAGCTTCTTAACAGGCTTTAATATGACTTCTTCAGGTTTTGGTTCTTCTGGTTTCTCTATTCTTCTCACTGGCTTCAATCGAACTTGTTCGGGTTTCTCCTCGGGTTTTTCTTTTTCTACTGGTTTCAAAATAACTGATTCTTTTGTTTCTTCTTCTTTAGGAAGTTTCTTAACAGACTTCAATACGATTTCCTCAGGTTTCGGTTCTTCTGGTTTTTCTAATCTTTTTACTGGTTTTAAGCGAACTTCCTCGGGTTTCTCTTCGGGTTTTTCTTTTTCTACTGGTTTCAAAATAATTGATTCCTTTGTTTCTTTCTCTTTAGGAAGTTTCTTAACAGGCTTTAATACAATTTCTTCAGGTTTTGGTTCTTCTGGTTTCTCTATTCTTCTCACTGGTTTCAATCGAACCTGTTCGGGTTTCTCCTCGGGTTTTTCTTTTTCTACTGGTTTTAAAATAATTGATTCTTTTATTTCTTTCTCTTTAGGAAGCTTTTTAATTTGTTTCGATACAACTTCTTCTGGTTTCGGTTCTTCTGGTTTCTCCGGTTGCTGTATATCCTCGGCTTTCTCCTGAATTTGTATTGGTTTCTTTCCACGTCTCCATGGTAAATCTATCTTTTCAGTGGATACATCTCCGTTAACTATTTTTTCAGGTAATGCTTTTGTCTCTGGTTTTTCCTTTATAACCGGTTTAAGAGTGATTTTTTCTGATATTTCTTCTTCTTCTTTGAGTACTTGTTTTACTGGTTTTAGAACAATTTCTTCTGTTGATTTCTGTTCTTCAGGTTTTTCAGGACGTCTTGTCGGTTTCAATACCACGGATGTAAAATCTTCAACCTGTGGTTCTTCTTTAACGATTTGTATCGTTTTATCTTTTTTAGGTTTTCGCCAAGTTATTTCAGATACTTCTTTAGTATCATCTTTTGTTGATTCTTCTGAAATTTTTTGAATCATTGATGGTTTTGATGTACGACGCCATGGAGCTTCTGATGTCTTTATTGATTTATCTTCCTCCGAATCTGTTTCGGGTTTAATTATTTGTAATGGTTTTATTTCTTCAACTTCTTTTCTTTCTTTTGCTTTTTTCCCTCTAATCCATGGCACTGGTATTTCTTCTTTCATAGATTTTTCGATTGTTTCGTCAGTTCTCTCGATGGCGAGCATGCTAGTATCTTCCTCTTCCGTGTATGGTACACTTTCATCGGTTTTCTTTTTACTTCTTACTTTCTTAATTGACTCGATATTTTTATCCGTTTCAATAATAATTTTATCTTCTTCTTCGTGATATGGTACTTTTTCTTGTTGCTTTTTAATATCCGTAGTTTCTTTTTTAACATGTTTCAAATCTACTTTTTCTGTTATTTCTTCATTCGTTATTATTTCTTTGATTTTTACTGGTTTTAATGATATTTCTTCTAAAGTTTCTTTGCGTATTTCTTTTTGCTCTGGTTTTGTTTTCTTCAGGATTACTTTTTCTTCTGTCCATGACTTTGATTGTGGCTTTTCTTGTAGCGTTTGTTCTTTTCTTTTTATTTTTTTGTCGACGCTTGTAGTTTCCGACATTGTGCGTTCTGATGTAAGTAAAGTATCTTCTTCTTCAGTATATGTTCCCATAACTTTTACGTCATCTTTTTCTTTTTGTATTGGCTTTTCGCTTATATGCGGTTTTGATGGTTTTAATTTGGCAATGTCATATGTTTCAGTTGAAACCTGAAGTAATGTAGTATCTTCCTGTTCAATAACGTCGATTTTTTTAGCGGTCTCTACAATACTTGTCTTTTCTTTCGTGACAGGTTTTAAATCTATTTTCTCTAAGCTCGGTTTTCTATATGGCAGCTTAGTAAGTTTAGATGGTTTTAATTCCACCGTTTCTACCATCTCTTTTTCCATTTCTTTTTGGATAGTTTTAGACTTCTTTAAAGTAATTTTTTCTTCTGTCCATGGTTTTATTTTATCCGTTTTATCTGTATCTGTCACATCTTTACTCGCCCTTCTCGCTTCTTTGACTGTAGAAACATCGATGGACGTAGTTTCTAATGAAATTATTTCAGGTTCTTCCTTTGAAATCGGCTTAAAGTCTGCTTTTTCTAAAATTGGCTTTACAAGATCTTTTTGTATTGTTTGCGAAGGTTTCAGTGTAACACTTTCGAGGGTTTCTTTAGGTATTTCTTTTTTTTCTAATTTCGCCTTTTTCAGAGCAATTCTTTCCTCCGTCCAAGGTTTGAATTGTTCTGGTTTGCTTTCGATAGGCTTTTCTTTCTTAGTTTTTTGTGTTTCCTCATCTTTTGAAATTTTAAGCAAAGAACTGTCTTCTTGTTCGATATAATCAATTTTTTCTTCAATGTCTATTTCTGAAATTTCTTTTGTCTTTGGTTTCGTTTTCTTTAAAGTAATTTGTTCTTCTGTCCATGGTTTTGCTTCGCTTTTTTCTTTTCTTGATACAATTTCGTCTAAACGACGCGATGTTTTTAGCAGAGTAGCATCTGTTTCCTCTTTGTAAAGTTCAAGCTTAGTATCATCATCACGAGTAACTCTCTTTTCGGTTACTGTAATATTTGTTACATCTTTAGGCACGGATTTTAGTTGAATCGTTTCGAGATCAGATTTTTCAATTTCTTTCTTTTTGATCTTTGTTGGCTTTAATTCAACCTCTTCCAATTTTTCTTTGGTTACATCTTTGGTAATTTGAGGAGCTTTTTTCAAAACCACTTCTTCTTCAGTCCATGGTTTTATTTGACTTTCGAAAGCTCGAAGCTTATCCAAAGAGGAATCTCTTGATTTTGTTTTCACTTTCCTCCATGGAAGTGATTCGCTAATTTGAGGTCGATGCTGAACACGCTCTTTTCTCCAGGGTAATGATTCATCACCCGGTCGAAGCTGTACTTCAAGGGGTAAGCCATTCTCATCGAGAGCTAAAGATTTTAAATTTATATCTTCTCTCAAGTCTTGCTGAAGTTTTGCATCTATTTCTATACTGGCACCCGTTTCTGCGGGAACCGCGTAATAGGCTTCTTTTCTTTCTGTAAGTTATGAAAAGTTATTTTAAATAGACTTGAACATTTTCGATTGTTTGTTTCACACCACATCACACATATGAAGCCAAGCGGAAGCCTTGTTGTTGATATTATATCGAATTTATGCAATACATGCATGTCACACTGAAATACATTTTTGCAATATATTATTTATATTAATGTCGTGAAATTAATTATATATCGTCTTTAATTGTACATTTGTATATTTGTAATCATCATTTGAAAATTTATTTCGTAATTGCAAAATAAAGAAAATAAATTCTAACTGAATTAACTTTGCTGGGTAGAAATCAGGCAATTCGCCAAGTATCTGTCGACCTTGAAAGAGTAAATTGTTTGAGTTATTAATAATAATTTGTAAAAGATTATATTTAACTGAACATCTGTCTTTGCTTGATTATATTATAGCAATAAAACGACTAATTATTGGGGTGTGTAAATATTTATATTTATCATTCATTAATAGACAAAATTAACAAATTAAAGTACTTATACATAGGATATAGAATATGGGATATAAGATATAGAATATATACATAAATATCAAACGATATAATAAAGTGGCAGTCAAACATGTGGCAGTCATCAATTTATACACGAGATATTAAAGAATATGTAATAAAAACGTATGAATCTTTCGATCTTTTGTATCATTTTTAAATGAATAAGAATTTGATATCTGGATTAGGAACTTCTTCTTTTTCGTTTTTCGTCTTTTTTCGGAAAGACAATAAAATGTCATAAGGTGACAATAATGTGCAATGACAACTATATCATTATTAATTTTAACAAGACACGAGATGAAGAAGAATTATATTAAATGTGATCGCGTAAGTCATGTGACGTTCACTTATAGTGGAGTGAGTTTCCCTCAAGTAATAGTCTCCCGCGGAGTAACTCGGTGGGGATTCTTGACGTACAAGACGCACACGCCCCTACTTCGTGCTGCATCTAGTCGTAATAGTAATCAGTTGGAAGTCGAAGACGGAAGTCGAAGAAGGAACGAGGGAAAACTGTGATCGTGTTTCTTACTAAGTGATATCGTTACGTAGTGATTGTATCATTCAGTGAAACAGTGACACTTTAAAGGAAATTTAAAAGTGACATTTAAAAGGAAGAAATGTGACATCTCTGATAGATTTTGCTGCCTTCGGTCAAGGAGATACATTCCTTGCACTAGTTATTCATAGCAAGGTTTAATTCCAAGTTCTCGACCGAAGTGCAGCTGTATTTGAACTGGACACATTCGAATTCATTTTAGCGCAATGTCGTAAAGGTGGTGCATTTGAAATATTCGTTTATATATCATCATTTGGAGTGGTGAATTATTCAACAATTTACATGTATATACCTGTTTATAAATATTGTTTATTTTTTCATCCTTCTTATATTTTTGTATTCTTCTAATCAGATTTTATTTTCATCTCGAGGCGCTTTTTTTTTTTTTTTTTTTTTTTTTTTTATATATCATATTTTTTATTATGTATATCAAATTATTCTTAAGTCTTTTAGATTTATATAAAAGCGATATATTATTTAATTATTGATGTAATGATGCGAAAGATTATTTAAGTCACGAGAAGACAATGTGTCTACAATTGAATGTTGGAAGCTCAAGAGATTGTGTTTATGTGTTTCAATATAGGGATAGTGATCACTACTTTCTACACGATATGATATACACTTTATTCGATGATTCACGAAAAATTGAATCTTCAGTATGATTATAAACAGAATTAAAAATAAAGATAGCGATAAACGCATATAAACATGTATTCGTTTAATTCCTTATCCCATTAAATAAATTTATATGAGAAAGATTAATTTAATTCGTAAATCAACATCATATTAATACATAATGCAATGCAAGTGATATTGTTTATCAGTAACGTTATATTACATTTTTAAATACAAATTTTATTTTTAATTCTAATTTAAAAATTGAAAAAGAATGTAAAGCAATGATGAAAAGTTATTCTTCAAGTAAATAGTAAATAATCTTAATTTAGATTTAACTTTTGGTTTGTTATACTCTCATCGAGCAATATAAATCAAATAAAATTAAACAAGAGCACTTGAAGAATTTAGTTAATTATTGATTCACATTCTTTCTGTGAAATATTCTTTAACGGTTATGAATACAATCACATCATAATTAGATATTGCCAAGTTTCTAACTGCAATGGATGATTAAAACGTAGTCATATATCTTGTAAACTCCTGAGTTGCTGGTTTACCAAAAATAATTTTCTCTCATTTTGCAGAGTGCGCTGACACGCTCTTCCCTGTATTATTTCTGGCATGGCTGAATCACTGGCAGCTGGCTCGAGACGGAGCCAAAATAGTTAACTACTTCGACCAGCTTCTTCTCTTGAAATCATCATGCTGACGAAGCATCGAATGAAGGTGATAGTTCGGGATCAAAGACAGAAAGCTGGACCACGGAAAAGAATATTTTCTTGATGAATCAGCATCCATTTGTTCTCTTGAAAAGTGTATTATCGTGCGATCTTCAAGGTCGCTCGAAGCGACTTGTACTTTTTTTTATTTATAGCATTCATAATTCGCGAAGAATTGAATTTAATTCTTGAGAATTCTTCTCTCCAGCAGTTAGATATTTAGAAATAATTAAAGAAGAAGATTGATGTGTATTCTTTGAACATACATTCATTTGATTGTGATCTTTTTCATTCGATGTCTGAAATTTCTGACAATCGGTATTCCAAATTTTTGAGTTCACGTCGAATTTATATTTCACATAAATTTGTGATGAATAGAAGATATTCTTAACAATATATGTAACACGCTTGAATACTCTCCAGATAAATATCTTATCCGTGCAATACATTTTGAAATATGAAAAAACGTATAATAAACTTACAAACTATTAATTTTAACGAATAATAATAAAGCGTAAAAATGTTTAAAATGTAAATATAAAGATGATAAATTAATGTGAAGTATAAGTCAGTTTTGAATAATTCTTTAGAATGTATGTAAGCGAGAACAACCCACGATTGGTTGTAGTCGACGAATCTTCGCGGAGTTCCAAGCCGGCAGCCAAATATAGTTAGGTAATGTAATACACATCACGTGTTCAAAAATAGCTTAAGAAAAGGGCCTAGCCGAGTGTGCACACGACACCGCATCTGCTTTTCCGCTCGGAACGTGTGCCGCATAACAGAAACGATTTACATAAATATACATGCACAGCTCTGCGGACTTGTTATTTATAAAAATATTTACTATGCAAACGCAAGGCATACCGTTTATGTACTTCCGTAATAATTTTTCGATCAAAGAAAAATAAATTAAAAAAATCTTCATTTCTGTTATAGCAGCTTTTTATATAAACTTTACGTTCCGCGCCAGTTATGTATTTTCCCTCTCGCGCATGATACACCTCAGAGAATTCAACGGAAGCACGTTGTTCGTTACAAAGATCCAACGGTATACAGGTATAGTTTTACTTCATCATAGAAAGAGTATCGAGTGTAACGATCTTGACTAATTTATCGCAATAGCATGGAATTTATAGACATTAAATTAATAATCATGCAGTTCTTATATATGTTTTACGCTATGTTGATCTGAATCTTCCATTGCTACAAAGATTCTTCTATCGGATGGTTACGATAAAATCATCATTTTATATTAATCATTAGGCGACGGTCATCGAAACGGCAACAAACGAGACTTGGACGTACTTACAACATTCGGTTTTATTGCGACTTTCATTGTACAATAATAAATATTCGATTAGTAAATTGTTAGATCGGGTATCTTTATCCGTGTATGTATGTGCTGTGTGATTTCTTTAGTAAATGAATATTTATAATTGTAATGAGCGTACAAATATATAGAATGATATGATGTGTATATATATATATATATATTTTTTTTTTTTTTTCTATTTCACGATGCATTTTTGATAATAAATATCGAGACTACAGCGAACGAGTAAACGAGTTACGTATTCAACGCAGTCCATCGCTACTGATCCTTTCTCATTTTTATCTCATGATATATTCACTAATATCGCGCAGGATTCCGTATTACTATAACACTTATTTACAAAGAATTGATAGTGCTCGTATAAGGCGAATTCACACTTTCGTCCTGAGATAAGAACTAAAATATCGAGGACACGGAGAGAACACTTGATTCGCTCTGCATCAGGCATCTGATCTCAAATAATTTGCGCTTGTCCCGATCGGTTACACTTACAAACATTTTCAATTTTCATTATATGAAATCTTGCTTTTACAGCACTTCAATTTCAGCACCACCTTTGCGACCTTTGTATACATTTCATGGATAATATGTACGGTATTTTTCATCGAAGATCATGATTCATGGTATTTCATCGAGGATCATAATTTTGCAATACAGTCTCTCACAGTCTGTTAATTAATTACTCCTCGTTTCACTCGCTCAACTATTTTCAAAACATGACGAGTTAGTACAAACTCCCCGGACGCGCATAATACTTTTGATTAGAGAATGTGATCGAGGTGAGGAAATCTAGGGCGATATGTCGATGGGTTACGTTTTTTAAAAGAGGCAACAACAAAGCACAAAAATAAAATACGAGTGGATATTTACGCGGAAAATCGCGCTGCGCGGAGACGGCCGTACTTGAGACGATGTAAAGATGTTAGAGTCGGAATGAAAATAGGCGACAATTGGTGTACATTAATAACTAACTAATTAAATGTATATTAGAAAAATCTATTAATTCTTTCGATGTGACTAATTGATGCACAACATCTTCTTGTTATTGAGAACTAGTCAACCATTTCAAAATCGTATATTGCGTATACATATCGAAAGAAAAAAGGTTTTGCACGATGTTGAAATTTAATCGATGCGAGAAACATACATATATAGGCTAATCGAGTTAATAAATTCATCTCTTTCAAGATCGAAAACGGTATTAGTTTTCCAAATTGAATTGCTAATGTTATTGACTTGTCATGCTACTGTCTCGAGTATAGTATTCGTCTCCGGCAGTTGTTGGAGATGTATTTATAATAATAAATCCAATCGCGTATCATGTTAGCAATCGAATCTGTATTTTTGATTCAGTTCTTACTTTTGACGATGAGTTTGGCGGATGTTTCTACGGTACCGGCTGAAGTTGTAGCACGGCAGGTGAAAGTGCCAGTGTCCTCCTCGTACGTGGTTGCTATGAGTAGCACCGCATTGTTGCCTTCGTGAATCATCTGAAAATGTGTGACACACCATGTTTTTTTGAATATTATAAAAGCTCCAATGGAATTTCTCTCTCGATACTTCATGGAAGAACAACAGGACGAAACTTATCTTACCTGGAAGTCTGGCGATTGTGGGATCAAGGCACCTTCTCGATACCATTGAATCGTCGGTTTAGGCTTTGTCGGACTCACTTGAGTCTTGAATTGAGCCGGCTGTCCTTCAACGACTATCTGATCCTTAAGAGGTGTCAATTTTGGCAGAACGTCAGCTGTATCGGGTGCTAGTCAAAAATAATATAAAGCAATGATTTTTTCATTGTTTAATATATTAAAATAAAAAAAGACATAAAAATAAATTCGATTTTTTCTTTTCTCTTACCGAGAACTCTGAGATTGGCAGATGTCGTAACATCACCAGCGGGATTTTTAGCGATGCATTTATAAACCCCTTCGTCTTCGGGGAACGCTTCAGAAATTCTCAGAGTACACAAATCGCCTTCCTTCTGCATTTGGAAGTACTTGGACGGTTTGATTATCTACGCAAATGCGATAAATATTTAAATTAAATTTTCTATTAGAAAAATTTGCAATATTATAATCATTATATCACAATGCTCTGGATACCTTATCGGCTTTCTTCCATTGCACAGTCGGAACAGGCTTTCCTGTAATTCTGCAAGCGAAAGCAACAGACGTTCCCTCTTTGATAGTTTGATCTCTTAGTGGTTCCAAAACGGTTGGTGCTTTTTCCACCGTCGGGGTCGTGGGTTTCGCGACTTTTGTCGGCGATTGAGGCCCGCGAACGGTACATTCAGCTTCGCAACGCGCTTCTCCAGCGTTGTTAATTGCAACACATTCATATTTGCCAATATCTTCCGGTATCGTCTCTAAGATCAGAAGTGTGTAAATGTTGTCTTCTTCCAAAGTTTTGTAACGGATATCTGCCGTTATCTTCTTGCCATTCTATAATAAAGAAGTATTCGAATTTAAATTCAAGTTTAAATTTCTTGCTTTCTGTGCGCTACGTCTGATTGCACGTGTAAAATTATAGTGAATATATGTATATCGCATCTCTTACCTTAAGCCAATAAACATCTAAAGGCTTGGTGCCAGTAATTTTGGCATCAAATCTGGCGAGCTGTCCAGTGGCTACAGAAGTAGATTGAATTGTAGTCAAGAAACTAGGTGGCACCGCGCCACCTCGTCCAGGATGTCTTCTACGTTCTTCCACAACCAAATTGGCGCTGCACTTGGCTTTTCCTCCTCTATTCTCAGCAATGACGGAAAAGACGCCGGAGTCTTCCATAAAAACTTGTCTGATAATTAATATCGATTTCGTGCTGAAGGTGTAAATTTGAAGGTCGGCCGAATTTTGTATAGGAAAATCTTCGCGATACCATTTGATGGTCGGCAATGGATCACCATCGAATTCTACTTCAAATTTGGCCTGTTCTTGCTCAAATGCTCTGCACGGTTGAATTTTTTTCGTGAAGACAGGCGGTTTCGCAGGTTTTACTTGTCCTTGAACTACACGTTCCTGTGTCTTCGCTTTATGTTCAACCTCTGTAGTCTCCGTTGCCGTGATCTTTCTCGTTATTTCCAAGTCACCCTTGACTTCCTTTTGCGTTTGTTTCTGTTTAGCTACGTGAACTTCGCGACCATGAATTGTGGATTCAGACGGTCCTGGGGGATACTTTCCAGTGACTTTAACGTGTTCCGTGTCTATGTCCACTTCGGTAACAAACGGCTTCTTCACATATTTTGGAGGTGGTTCCACGGATTGTTGAGGTTGTTCCTCCCTAGTTATGACAAATCAATGATTATTATCACCATTCGTCAAATATGTTGATAATACATTTTTTATCTAAAATAATTTTATTGCATTACTTACAAATTCTCTTCGTACTTTTGAGCCATTCCCTTTGCTAGAGAATGTGCAACGACTTTGTCGCCAGGAATAGCAAACTGATGCGAGGCCTCCCTCAATCTAGTTTCTTTAAGCACTTGTTCCTCTTCAAGGTTCATCAACTTATTATAATAGTCCTCGTTCTTCTTGCTCTTGACAGATTTTTGCCATTCAGTCTCAGGCTCTTTAATGACTTTATGACCAAGATGCTCTGTTGCAATTTCGATGCCTTGGGAAACACTTTGGTGGCGTTCATCGAATATGCGCTCCAATTCTGTGTTCTGTCGCTCGGTCTGGTACTGTGTTAGCCCATAATCGTACCAGGCTAGAGAAATAATATGTTATACCTGTGTGTCCTGTGTGTATGTGTGTGTCTCGATAAAAACGAGACGTGCATACTTTGAGCGGATATATCGATTTATTGATATCGACAAATACAATACAACGTCCTTCGATAAGATATTTGTGCAAGTATTAGTGTTTGCATACATCTTTGCTAAAAAATGTAGCATCACTTATTATGATTTATTGAAAAATCGAAATCCATAAAGTAAAACGTCGCATTTTTTTTAAACCAACGAATAAAGTCTAACCGAAAATCCCACGATATTTAAGACACAGTACGTGAATGACGATGCAACACATATCGACGACACCTAAATAATGGGGATCGAGCTGGATTTGGAAAATTCAAGTGGTTAACACATATCTGAAATTATTTTGCTGCGAACATATTATCGAAAACACTGTTGGGTTAAATATGTTTTTTTATGAACGTGCTTTCCTTCGTGTTATAAGAAGGCTTTGTTTCAGATTTAAAAGGAATAAAAAAATCTGCTGCAAAGTTATTCTAATTATAATTATATAAATTTGCATAACTTGAACTTTGCTTTGATGAATTAGTTTTAATATATCAATCGCTTTTTATTTTTCGTGCGAGATGTCAAAGGATGGTAAATGAAACGCGATAAGGAAATGCATATCCCAAAACAGAAAAAGAAAAAAAACAGCACATTAAATAGAGATTAAATCAAGATGATTAGGATTAAATTATATTGATTGCGCAATACCGAGAAATAGGGAAATCTGCTCATCTGTTTACTTTCTACAGACAATATCTTAAACAAATTAATAGCAATAAAGTGATACGTTTTATGCAACGTGAATAAGCAAGTATTAATAAATTATCTTCAATAGATAAAAATAATGTGAGGAATATATACGAGCTCGTATATAATAAATAAAATAAATAGATAAAATATTGTATAATGATCTTACAACACATTAGTGAGCAATAAACCCGTTTTCCCGAGCGCAACAATATCACATTTATGAAATAAAAAAACATTAATAAAATATAAAACAATATGAATGTTCTTCCGACGATTATTTTCCATACCTGAATGTCGATGTGAAAAATCAAGTATACGATACCTTTGATTTTTCGCCCTAATATTTCCGTCGATATTCCCAATCACGATGAAGAAGAAGGAGAAGCAGAAGAAGCTGGCGAACTCAGGATCATTTTCAATAGCTTTGGAATGCCAAGTGGAAAACGGGAAAGGAAGGGATTATGTTTGAACGGTTTTAGAGTGTTTTTTTTGTATTCGAATCGAATGCATGTGTCGTATCGATATATATTATATGTACTGTGTTTCGGTTGTTCGATATTTTCCAATTCACGCTCGCATCTTGCGAATCGTCATTGGAGGTTTTAACCGCTTCGTTCATTTTGTAGTCTTTTTTTGTATCATTGTAATTCGTTCAAAATTGTTGTTCTTCTGCGCATGAATTCTTCGCGATGCAGCTTTTTTTCCGTTTAATGTAGAAAATTATTAATTAATCAAATTTGCATTTGCCATAAATTTATATTTCATATACTTGGTGCTCTGTCGAATGCATTTATACTATATATACTCTTATACTCTGTAAGATTTAACTTTTCATTTTGACACGAAGAATTCATGGCCGAATGTGTGTATGATAGTCGGAATGTAAACTTACGTCTTGGAGAATTTTTCAATACACCACGGTAGTCGTCACTTCGTTGCTTAACCGTTAGAGTTGTTTCTGTATGTGTTTCGCCAACGGAGCTTCTTGCAATCACTTCCACCTTGCCGTGATCGTATTGTCTGGTCTTTGGGATATCAAGATGATACATACCATCGTACGTTAATTTATAGCGGGATCCCTGTGGGAAAAAAAGAAATAAGTTCGATATAATAATATTATAAACGTATTTTCTTGGAGAATTGTCGACATCTTAGTTATTTAGCGTAATTAATTTTAGCGTAATTAATTTCAGGATATTCCTGAGGGAAACTCACATTAACTACTGTGTGACCATTGATGATCCACATAACTCGAGGCTTCGGATATCCAGTAACTCGACAGCAAAATCTGGACCAGTCGCCTTCTTCAACGGTTACCGCTTCTGGTTTGCTCACGAAAACAGGCGCCGAACGTACTTTCTCTTCTTCACCTTCCTCTTCAGGTACACTGCAAAATCCGAGTAATTTTTTAAACAGTGCTCGTTTCGTGTTGCCGTAACAATTTTCAAATCAATTATAGGCAAATATATCTCTTTAACTTTTATTCGGGAAACAATTTATCTTATCTTTCTTGAATATAAATAATAATTCAAAATATACATAAAAATAAATGCTACGCATCTTACTATGCATGTATTCTTTTATCCTTATTGTTAGAAGAAATTATCTTATATATACGAATAATATGCAAAATAAAATCTTACATTTGCCATGCTGCTTCCATTTCTCTGATCTTCTCAATGCTCTTCATGCCTTTTGGAAGCTGAGATTCGTAGATAATTCCAGGTTTTCCCGCGGTTCTAATTATAGCTCTGGTCTCGTCCATTCCATAAAGATTCGTAGCTCTGCACAAATACTCGCCACTGTCTTCTGGATAGACCCAACCAAAGTTCATCGCTACATAGCCAAAGTCATAGATAGGTGTGAATCTATTCTTGTGAGGTAATGGTTTTCCATTGAAGAACCATTCGACCTTCATATTTGGATCGCCCACGGGTGCTAATTGGCATTCGAATTTGGTGCTATTCATTTCAACGAGCTCGGTCTGATCTTGAATCTGCGTGACGAAGCGAGGCGGCTGTTTTTTGTCCGCGTCATATAAATCGTCCTCGGTTAAATGAATTTCCGACGTATATTTTTTAATTGTCGCTTCCATCTGCATCAAGGCCTCGGATTTTTTCATACCCTTAGGTACTTGATTTTGCAAAATAATGCTTGGTAATTCTGTGAAATAGAAATTTAATATGAATCCATTTTAATAAATTAATCTTTAATAAATTAATCTGGGTAAAATAGAAAATGTACAGAAATAAAAATCGTACTTTTGCAAGATATGGCAGCTCGAGTAGTGTCTTCTCCGAGATCGTTGACGGCCTTGCAAACGTATTCACCGGAATCCTCGGGATAGACGTACAAGATATCCATCGATACGAATCCCATATCGTATACTGTTCTGTATCTATGCCCAGCGGGTATCAATTTACTATTTCTATACCATTCGATGCGTAAATTAGGATCGTCCTTGGGCTCCACACGGCATTCGAATCTGACCGGTTCACCCTCATCGATGGTTGCTGATTGAATTTGCGTGATGAAATGGGGTGGTTGTCGCGGTGCTTCTTCCGCGGGAGCTTGAGATACTGGACCTCGCTCGAGTTCTTTCAGCTTCTCGCCGCTCATTCCCGATGGCAATTGAGAATCGAAATCTATCGTTTTCTTGGCTGCAAAAAAATTATTATTATATATTATAATAATATAAAGCGAGTTTTAAAATATGAAAATATATTAATTTAGAAATGTCTTAAAAATCTGGTAATTGCATAACTTACATTTGCAAGTGATGGTGGCCTTAGTGGTAGCGGACCCCCATTTATTGGTGGCTCTGCAAACGTATTCGCCGCTGTCTCGCGCGTATGTATACGACATATCCAACGATATAAACCCGAAATCATTAATCTGATGAACTCGAGAGCCGGTCGCGAAAGGCCGGCCGTTGTGGAACCAATCGATGCGCATACTAGAATCACCTACAGGCTCGACTCTGCAATCGAAGTGACTCGGTCCAGCTTCTTCAACTTCGATGTCTTTAAGTTCGACGGTGAATCTTGGTGGATTCGGTGCTTCTTCCTCCGCTAGAATCTCATCTCTCTTATATAAAGACTCCTCCAATTTCTGAATGCTTTCCGTACCGCTCTTGAAATTGCTCGGCAACTGAGGCTCCAAGATAATACCTTGACGTCCGCGAACTTGAAGTTTACACGATACCGTGGCTTCCCCGTGGCGATTGGTGGCTTTACAAGTGTATAGACCGGAATCACGTTGATAACAATTTGCAACTTCCAGAATAACGAAACCAAAGTCGTGAATCGTCTTGATTCTAGTACCAGCGAGAAGAGGCTTGCCGTTGTGAAACCATTCGACTCTCATACTAGAATCATTAATCGGTTGCAGTCGACATTCAAAGTGAGCAAGAGAATTTTCAGTTAAAGTCAGATCTGAAGGGGTCGTAATAAATTCTGGCGGTCTCCCGGTGTCATCCTCAGGACTAACTTGACCCGGAACGGTTCCGAGGCCTTCTAATTCAGCGATCTTATCAATCGTACTTTCCATTCCTTTGGGTAGCTGAGACTCCAAAATAATACTACGTTTGCCCGTACATTTCATAGTGCACGTTGTCACTGCCTCACCGTAATCATTTGTCGCTCTACAACTATATTCGCCCGAGTCCTCAGGATAGATGGGAGAAATTTCCAAAATGACGAAACCAAAATCGCAGAAAGTGCGGAAACGAGATCCCGTTCGCAATGGTTTACCGTTCCAGAACCATTCGACCTGTGTATAAAAAATCAATAAAATATAATATAATAATGATAAAATATATATATAATGTGTAATGCATATATGTACACAGCCATAATATATAAACCAGAATTAAAATAATTTTAACACTCGCCTTTAATTTTGGATCGTCTGTAGGTATTAATCGTGCCTCGAAATGCGCGCTCTCCCCCTCACGTAGACCATCGATATTACTTAAAGGTACAGTGAACATTGGAGCCTTGCCACGTTCTTCTACAGTTTTTTCGTCTCTCGTACGTATCATCGAATCTTCGAGATTTTGAATTTTCTCTAGACCGCCTTCCATGCCTTTCGGAAGTTGTGACTCCAAAATAAGATTAGCCTTGGAGAAGCATTTGAGTGATGCTTTCGTAGAATCTTCGCCGTATTTGTTGACGGCTCTGCACTCGTAAACTCCAGAATTCTCTTCGTAACAATAAAGTATGTCCAGGATAACGATACCAAAATCGTGGAAGGTACGATATCGATGGCCGTGAGGAAGTTTTTTGCCATTATAATACCACTCGACCTTTAAATCGGGATCATTTATCGGAGTTAGTCTAGCCTCGAAATGTGCGGACTGTCCCTCTACAAGTTTCGTAATATCAACGATTTGCGTGATGAATTTCGGTGGCTCGGCGACGGGAGTTGTAGGAGTAGTCGCTTGTTCTCCGGTAAAACTCTCGAGTTCCCGTATTCTAGCGAGTGAATCTGGCTGTAGAGAATCCAAATAAACTCCGCTTTTACCGAAGCACTTGATCGTAGCTTTTGTATAATCCTCGCCGTACTTGTTGCTAGCTTTGCAAACGTATTCACCAGTGTCATGAGACATCACTCCGGCGATATCCATAACTACAAAGCCAAAATCAGAAACCATCTTGAAACGCGAGGAATGCCGTAGTGGTTTTCCATTGTGGAACCATTCAACTTTCATGTGAGGATCTCCAACCGGGATGAGAGTACATTCAAAGTGAGCCGATTGACCATCTTTCAGACCCTCCAAAGACTGTATATGCGTTGTGAATTTAGGTTTCTGTCCTTTAGACTTGTCGATGCACTCGAGCTCTACGCTAATCTCTGCTTTACCCCATTTGTTGGTGGCTCTACAGGTATAAGTGCCCGAATCTTCTATTTTCGTTCCAAGAACTTCAAGAACAACCATGCCGAAAGCGTAAACGGTCCTCGTGCGATGACTGGCTTCTAACGCTTTGCCATTATAAAACCATTCGACTACCATGGTTTGATCACCAGTAGGAATGAGAGATGCTTCAAAGTGAGCGATCTCTCCTTCCGATAGATTAGTTAGATTCTCAAATTGTGATGTAAACATTGGCGGTTGACCTTCCTCTTCTCCTGCTGGAATTCCTTCTTGTCGTTTCAAAGATTCCTCCAGATCTTGGATCGCTTCAAGACCTTCTTTACCTTTGGGATGTTGCGATTTTTCAATGATATTTTCCTTTGTGGAGCAATAAATCGTCGTTGATGTAAAAGCTTCGCCTGCTTTATTATAAGCCTTGCAAGTGTAAATGCCGGAATCGCGCTCGTAAACATCCGTTAAATCTAAAGTAACAAATCCAAAATCGCTAGTCATTTTAAAGCGCGAACCATGTTCTAAAGGTTTCCCGTTAAAGTACCATTCGATTTTTAAATTGGGATCATCTTTCGGTTCGACTTGCCCTTCCAAATGTAATGGTTCAGATTCTCCCAATTTAAATTCAGGCATAAGTGGTACCGTCCAGATCGGTTTAGGATATTCGTGTTCAGGACCTTCCTCCGGTCTCCTATATTTCGACTGATAAGCATCTTCTGCTTCTTTCACCTTCTCAAATCCGGCTTCCCCTTGCGGATGTTGCGTCTGCAGATAGATATTTTGCTTGCTGGTGCATTTCAAAGTACCTGATGTCTGCGCGCTTCCTTTCGAATTTGTAGCTTTTACGGTGATTACGCCAGAATCTTCTTCATAAGCGTGAGTCAAATCTAGAGCCACGTAGCCGAAGTCATAAGTGCTCTTAAATCTTGCACCGGTCGGTAAAGGTTTACTGTTCAAGAACCATTCAATTTTCATAGTAGGATCCTTCGATGGTTCTACATTGCATTCAAAGTGAGCGTTATCGCCTTCGAAGCATTCTACGTTATTCAAATGAGTGATAAAGACGGGTTCTTCGTAAATCGGTTCCGGTTGTTCAGTAGAAATTATCTGAGGCTGTTCCAAGGCATCAATTTTCGGCAAAGCATCCGGATGTAAAGTATCTCCCAATAACCAGTGACGATCGGCAATTTTCAAGCTACAAGTTGATACAGCCTCTCCCAGAAGATTAGTCGCTTTGCAAGTATAAATTGCGGAGTCATCGGGTCTCAAGCCGTTGATCGATAATGTTACCAGACCGAAGTCGAACGTACTACGAAGTCTAGTTCCAGTCTGTAAAGGTATTCCATTTTTAAACCATTCTACTCTCAAGTTTGGATCCGCTCGCGGCTCCACTTGAGCTTCTAAATAAACACGTTGACCCTCTACTAGTTTATCGAAGCTTTCAAGATGCTTGGTGAAAACTGGTGCCTGTTGTGGTGTCGTATCGATAAACATTTCTGGCACTTTATTCATTTCCGCTTCCTTCAATTGAATCTTCTGCCATGCGTCCGCTTGTATGCTCTCGGAAGCGATAGCTGAACGCGCTTTTACTTTCAGGGAAATCGACGAAACCGCCTCACCTGCGTTGTTGATCGCTTTGCAGGTGTAAACGCCAGAATCTTCGGGGATAACTTTCAAAATGTCTAGCGTTACGTATCCAAAGTCGTGATTTACGTGAAAGCGTGAACCTAAATAATGATAGCCAATAATTTTATTAAATATTTAAATATCAGATATTTGTATTAATCATATTATAATATATTAGAATATTAATAATAATTTATTATAAAATAATTTATTATTTTCTTACCCATTTTTAATTCGACTCCATTCATGTACCATTCGAATTTTAAACTCGCATCGCCGACAGGAACGACTCTGCATTCATATCTAGCCAATTGTCCTTCCCAAAGTTCTGTTGGTCCGGTTAATAATTGCGTGAAAATCGGTTTATCGAAGACCTTTTCCGGCTCCTCCGGTCGTCCGACTTCCTTGGCTTCCAACTGAGCGATTCTACGTTGTGCCTCCGGATGCTGAGTATCCAATTGTATACTGGCCTTGGCTGTAAATGGATAAATTAAATTTACATAATTATATCAAATTTATCTTGATATATTAAATAACGAAATAAAATCAGACACTCACTTTTAATCTTCATCGAAGCCGTTGTAACCGCTTCACCCAACGGATTAGAGGCGCGACACATGTAAACGCCTTCGTCTTCGTCACGTACGTGAGAGATGTCCAGGGATACGTAGCCGAAATCATGTACTTTCGTAATTCGCGAACCTACAAAAAATATCATGGGAAATATTAATCTTGAGTGGTAAAAAAACAAATGTGTTATACGCATAATATATTCATGCAATCAACAATGTTTTGCATTAAAAGTCTCTGATTCTTACTTGTCTCTAGAGGCACTTCGTTTCTAAACCATTCCACTTTGAGCATGGGATCACCCACGGGTATAAGTCTGCATTCGAAGTGCGCAGTGTGACCTTCGGAGATACCATCGATATTTTGCAACGGTTGAGTGAAGACAGGCCGCTGCCGAGTTTGAGGCTCCGGAACATCCGGTCGTTTCCACGGTTGTTGAGCTTCAAGCTCCCGGATCTTGTCCATTCCCTCGGGTCGTTGAGAATCCAAAATAATACTGTCTCGTGGGATTACCTTGAGCTCGATGGACGATACGCATTGTCCTAGCGCGTTGATCGCACGAACAGAGTATTGCCCTGCGTCTTCGGGTACGGCGTGACCGATATCTAATGCCACGTATCCGAAATCGAAGGTCACGTGGAAACGCGCCGCTGATGGTAAAGGTTTGCCATTGTGGAAGAATTCAATTCTCAGATTAGCGTCGTGCAGAGGTTCCACTTGGCATTCGAAATGAGCGGTTTGCCCTTCGTATACTTCAGTCGTGCCCTATAAAAAATATTTTATTTATTATATTTTTTTAATTATTAGTCTCTAACAACTATTCACACACTGACTATTATATTTAAGAAACATTATATATACATATAATTGCATTATATTAATATAATTAGTACTAACTCTAAGTTCGGTGACAAATCTCGGCGGTGTCACGGGCGGTTCCTCAATTTCCAATCGTGCGGGATGACCCTGGGCTTCTAATTCTCGAATCTTTTCTAAACCATCCGGATGTTGAGTGTCCAGAAGAATACTTCGTCGTGCTAAAATAAAAAAGATTCGTATCTAGTTTGTTGTTTCTCTCTATAATTATATTTTTAGTATTAGCAATTTTTTATGTGTACGCTTTTTAGAATAAAATAAATTCAATTCTATAATAAATATGGATACTGCAAGATTTAATATTTCTTGAGTCCTCCTGCGTTTTTTTCGAAGCATAATATAATATTTTCCATGAAAGAATTCGTCCAAGCTTGTCCAAGAATTAATGATCATTTTAACAAAACTTTTCTTTATAAAAGTGGTATCATCTATTTAATAAATAGCCTCTTTTTCGTTGATTAATTTGATTAACGCCGACGCATGTTTTCAAATTTTTCATGGATACGAATTTAGACTTCGGATATTGTATGTTTCTTGCTGATAATTAACACAAAATCAATATCTTAAATTAACATGAGACTTTATACTTACAGCTGACTTTAATAGTACAGGTATTAACGGCTTCGCCGGCCAAATTGGTTGCTTTGCACATATAAGTACCGGAATCTTCGGGATAGATATACAAAATATCGAGAGCCACGTAACCAAAATCGTGTGTAGTGCGGAAGCGATGACCAGTTTTAATTGCGACTCCATTGACGAACCTGTTAAATGTCAAGAACATTTAATGAATTAATCAATTGAATTGATCCCTTAATATATTTTAAATTTTTATGCTTTTTCTTATTCATGAATATACCATTCAATTTTCAAATTCGGATCGTTAATTGGCTCCACGCGACATTCCAAATGAGCGTGCTCGCCTTCCTTGAGATGATCCAGATTGTTTAGCGGTGTTAAGAAGACAGGTTTTTGATGAATAACCTCTTTTTCAACTTCTTCTTTGATTTCGACACTTTCCAACTCTCGAATCTTTTGCAAACGTTGAACATCCAACGTGTCAAGATATAAGCCTTGTTTTGCTATTTGCATAAATCAAAATAATTGATAATTATACCATCATTTTTTTATATTAATTAAATTAATAATTTATTTAAAAATTTGTTTACACACTTATCAATTTTGAGAAAGAGAAAGATTGTTTCGCACTTTTTTCTCTCATTTGTTTAAAAAATTTATATCAAATATTTATATTATATAACGGGCGCATTCGCTAAAATAATAGTTCTTTTATAAAAATGGATAAAATATCACTTACAATCTACGCTGATCACACACGTAGTAACAGCCTCGCCGACCGCATTCCTCGCTTTACACATGTAAGTACCCGAGTCTTCGGGATAAGCGTAAAGAATATCGAGAGCGACATATCCAAAGTCGTAGGTCGTTTTAAATTTATGTCCCTGAGGAATCGGACGTCCGTCTCTGAACCATTCAACGACCATCGTTGGATCATTTACGGGAGTCAATGTAGCTTCGAGATGAGCGTTTTTGCCTTCCGGTAAATGTTCAATATTTTTCAAAGGTCGTCCGAAAGCAGGCTTCTCGGCGATAATTGTATCTTCTTCGATTATGCGCTTATATCTCGAATCGTCCTCAAGATATTGTATCTTCTTCAATGCGGTCTCATGCTGTGTGTCGCGAATAATCGATGCTCGAGCTAAAAGGTGATTTTTATTCGATGTAACAAAACGAAGAAGGAAACAAAATGCGAAATATAAATGAAGCAAAGAATTACGGCTTTCTAATGTGAAAATTATAATTTTTAAATTGTGATGATTGTAGATAAAATGATAAATTTAAAGTGTTTATAAATTATGTAAGAAAAAATGATAAATGTAAGAAAGTTAATGCTCTGTTGTATGTACGTGTATGTAAAGCAGGGGAAATATCATGAAATGGACAACTACGAAATACTTGACACGCAAAAAACGCGTTTTTGTACTCACATTTCACGTCGAGATTAATCGAACTTCTTGCCGATCCCAATTTATTGGTGGCCTGGCAAGTATACGTGCCCGAATCCTCGGCATATACGGTCAACACATCCAACGATGCAAATCCAAAGTCGCAGGTAGTTCTATACCTGTGACCGGTGGATAATGGTTTACCATTATGGAACCACTCCACCTTCATGTTGGGATCAGGATAAGGTTCTATGCGACACTCATAGTGTGCGCTTTGACCTTCGACTAGACTGGTAGGTCCATTCAACTGGACCGTAAAGGACGGCTTTTCTTTTACTATGATCTCTTCTTCTTCTCGACGTTGATATTTCGAGGTATCTTCCAAGGCTTGGAGTTTCGATAAAGCGCTTTCGTGTTGTGATTCAAACTGCAAGGCTGCCTTGGCTGCATTTTAGAAGAATTCGTGTAGTTGTGTACGAGTCGTGTATAAAGGGAAATTGCATATAATTCAATGTTTTTGTAAAACAACAAAAATTCTCAGTCAAATTGCGATATATTGCATACGAGTAGATACTTATTTGCAAATAGTAACAAATAAGTTTAGCGAAATAAAACATCAAAGCAATAATAAAATATAAAAATATACAATCAGCAGTGTTATATAGCGGTTTGTTATATATCTCAAACACCATTTTAGTTTAATAGCAAAATTATAGCGTGTAATTAATAATTAATGTCGAGAAAATTTGCGTAATTTGTATAAGTACTGTCAATTATATTTCGTAATTAATTTGCATATTGTGTAAAATATATATATATATATATATATATATATATATATATATATCATATGTTGTACTGAATTGTAATTGAGTTTATATTAAGTTTATACTTACATTGAACAAATAGTGTTGCTGAAGTAACCGCTTCCCCGAGCTCGTTTGTCGCACGACACGTATAAGTGCCTGAATCTTCGGGATTGACGTATTTCATGTTTAAGGCAACGTATCCAAAGTCATGCATAGTCGTTACACGATTTGCTTTAAAAGTAAAAAATAATAAAGAATATATTTTTAAGGAATTTCATTATATATAGATTAACATTTTTTAATATTACAAGACGTTGGATATTTACAGGCTGAAATAGGAACTCCATTACGCAGCCACTCCACTTTGAGTTTGGGATCTCCAACCGGGATGACACGTGCTTCGAAATGCGCTGCCTGATTTTCAGCAACACGGAGATCTTTTATCGGTAACGTGAAGACAGGAGCTTGCGTAATAATTTCCTCGGTTGTTGTTTTGCGTTGATGACGAGACGTGTCCTCCAAAGTGCGAAGACGTTGAAGTGTTTCCTCATTTTGAGTCTCTGTATAGATTGACTTTTTGGCTGTGGATAACAGATAATGAATTAATTTCATTATTGGTGTTGAAATTAATTATTGATTGAATAAATTTGAAAATAATCAAGAGCTTACAGTGAACGATAGCAGTTGCAGAAGTGATAGCTTCGCCAATAATATTCTTAGCTCTGCAAGTATATGTTCCAGAATCTTCGGGATATGCATACATAATATCGAGAGCGACGAAACCAAAGCTGTTCGTTTCGATAAATCTCGAGCCCGCTTTCACCGGTTTATTATTGTGGAACCATTCAATTTTCATCGTTGTATCGGACACTGGAATTAATCTGCACTCGAAATGCGCTCGTTGACCTTCTTTTATCTCGACATTGTTTAACGAAGTCGTGAAAATGGGCGCCTGAGTAGTGGTTTCTTCAATAACCTCTTGTCTTTGATATTTGGATCTATCTTCGAGATAATGAATCTGTTCAAGTCCAAGCTCATTTTGCGTGTCCGTCAAGATTTGTGCGCCCGAGCGACATGTTAAGATGCAGCTTACTTCGTCGCTGCCTACCAGATTAACGGCACGACACGTGTAAGTTCCAGAATCCTCAGCAATCAGATCAATTACGTCCAATGCAACGTAACCAAAGTCATGAATCGGACGGAAACGATGTCCTGTAAATTTATTTGCACAAGATATTAAATATAATATATTTATTAAATATAATATATTCAACGGATGAACTTTCTGTTGATAAAATTAAGAAACACAATTGGATAATGATGTGAACATGTATTTGTTGCTATTGTAAATTAAAGCGATAAGAATAATAAATTACCTATCGTTACTGGACGGCCATTCTTGAACCATTCGACCTTTAAATTCGAATCCGTTACCGGCTCCAATTTACACTCGAAATGAGCGTGATGCCCTTCTCGAAGATTTTCCTGGTTCTTCGGTTTCGTAATAAATTTCGGCTTCACATTTACAACCTCGTCGACGAGTTCGTGTCTCTTATATCGCGAAGCATCCTCCAAATATTGTATCCTTTCCAATCCCTCGGGATGTTGAGATTCCAAAAGTAAATCCTTCTTTGCGTGTACTCTTACGGAACACGAAGTAACTGCTTCGCCGAGCTGATTTCTAGCCTGGCAAGTGTATACGCCAGAATCTTCAGGATAAACGCCGAGAATATCTAAAGCCACGTAATCAAATTCGTAAGATGGTCTAAATCGATGGCCAGTTTTAACCGGTCGACCGTTGACGAACCACTCGACTTTCATGGTCACGTCACCGACCGGCTGTAGACGACATTCGAGATGAACATTGGTCAGTTCTACTGTTTCGATGTTGTGCAAAGGTCGAGTAAACTGAGGTGCTTGCATCACAGTAACTTCTTCTTGTTGAGTTTTGCGATATCTATATGAGAAAAATAAAACAAAAAATAAGGATAATAATACACACACAAGTAAATTGCATGATTTACAATATACTAAATAAAAGCGAACCTCGATGAATCCTCCAACATTTGTATCTGTTCGAGAGATTGTTCGTTCTGCGTTTCGGTGACAACATCAGATCTTCCGATGACCCTCACGCAAGCAGAGGTATGCGCGGTACCCAGATGATTGGTAGCTCTGACAGTATATTCGCCGGAATCGTAAACAGTGGCGTGCACTATGTCGAGGGCGACGAATCCGAAATCGTAATAAGTCCTGAATCTGGAGCCAACCGTGACCGGCCGTCCGTTTTGGAACCATTCGACTCTCATCGTTGGATCGCCCATCGGTTCCAAACGACACTCCAAATGAATATTCTTGCCCTCGCTAACCGGTTTAGGATCACTCAACGGTTGGATAAATATCGGTTTTGATTTGGAGATTTCTTCGATATGATAATGCGGCTCGATGAACTTGGATTCTTCTAAGCGTTGAGTCTTCTCATAGGTGCCGCGATGCATGCTGCTAGTATCTATGCTAGAACGCGCTGCAAAAATTAATAAAATTTATTAATTTATTATTTTTGCAACTTTTATCCGAGCTTTCAGCTGTATAAATAATATTAGTTGTATATCTTACTTTCTACGGTCATGGTGGCAGATAAACGAGCTTCTCCGCTAGAGTTTCTAGCCACAACGGTATACGTGCCAGCGTCTTCGGATCGAACCTGAAGAATGTCAATGGCGACGTATCCAAAATCGTGATACGTCTGAATTCTATTAGCAGCAGTGATAGGTTTGCCGTTGTGATACCACTCGATCTTCATGCTTAGATCGCTTTGAGGTTCCACGCGCGCCTCAAAGTGCGCTCGTTGACCCTCCACGATCTTATTCGTGCCTTTAAGAGTGCCTAAGAATCGTGGTGTCTGCGTAATCTGCGTTTCTTCCTGAATCTGTCGCGAGTATCTGCTCGAATCCTCGAGAGATTGAATTTTTTGAAGACCGGTAGGATGCTGGCTATCGTAAATAATATCATTCTTACTAATTACGCTTAATTGAGCGGTAGTATGAGCCTCGCCAGCCCTGTTGTAAGCTCGGCAAGTGTATACGCCGACATCGTGTATCGTTACATATTTTATAGTCAGCGCCACGTAACCGAAATTGAAGAAGGTTGTAATTCGAGAACCTAATTTCGAGAACGTCTCATGAATATATTATAGACTTAATGACTTAATGTACGTTTACGCGAATCGAATTACGTTACTCACTAGCTTCTACAGGTCGTCCATCCTTGAGCCACTCGACACGAAGATCGGCGTCACCGACTGGTTCGAGGCGCGCTTCAAAATGAGCAAATCCGCCTTCTCGTATGCTGCTCTGATCTTTAATAGGCGATTTAAATTCCGGTGGGCTGCTCGGTTCAGGCTGTTCCTGCACATATTTTTGATGCATCGCCTGTTGATACGCTTCCAATTCCTCGGCAGCCTCGATGTATCTCAGTTGCTCGGGGATACCCAAGTCTGTTGTTACGCTTGTTCGCGCTATGCAATCATTTCAAAATTAATTTTCATATCTGGGAATAATAATGAAGAAATACCGCTAAACATAATTATTTGTCATAATTATAACTCACCAAAGACACGGAGAGACGCGGAGCCGATGGCCTCTCCCAAGCGGTTCACAGCTCTAACGGTATAAGAACCTGCATCTTCAGCCCGTAGGTGCATTATATTGAGTGAGACGTAACCGAAGTTGAAGATGCTAGTGATTCTCGAACCTAAACAACGATAATAATATTAATACTTTAATATAAAAATTTTAATATTAAAATATCTTTCTCAATTTTATTTTTAATAGTTTCATCGTGTTTCTCCGGATGTCGATACTCACTGGCTGTGATTGGTTTTCCATCCTTGTACCACTCCACTTTCATGGTGGGGTCGCTAACAGGCGTCAATTGCGCCTCGAAATGGGCGTTTCGACCTTCCTGTAGCTCACCAAGATCCTGGAGCGGGCGGATGAAAACCGGCCGCTGTGAAGAGGTCTCCTCCACGCTCTCCTGCCTTTGGTACTTGCTGTAATCCTCGAGCTGCTGGATGTACTGGAGACTGTCGGGGTATTGGCTCGCTTGTTCAATTGTTGCGCGTGCTAATAAACGAGAATTTAAGACTTAAAAAATTAGCTTATAACGCGAATAACAATTGCAAATAAAGTACTTTTTACACTTACGGGTTACGCTGAGGGTGGCTCGAGAATCGGCGACTCCGGTAGAGCTCACGACACGGCACAAATATTCGCCGCTATCTTGAAGAACGATGCTAATGAGATCGAGTGAGATAAAACCGAATCGGAAGATGGAAGTCGCCCGGGAACCTGCAAATGCATCATGAATTAAATTGATTCGACACTCTAATCGATGATATAAATGTTATACTTACTCGCATCGAGTGCTTTGCCATTGACATACCACTCCACCCTCATCGTGGGATCGCCCACCGGTTCGATTCTGGCCTCGAAGTGAATTCGTCCACCTTCGATTTGATGAACATCCTTTAAGGGTATAATGAAACGTGGCGGCGGATAAATTTTATCTTCTTCAGGAGGTGGCAAGTAAGGCTTGGCACGTTCCACGTGTCTTAAATAAATCACTTCGGGGCCAGGCGCTGGTCTACAAACGTTTATTCACGTCATTTTATTTTCTTATTATAAGCGCATTATGTATAAGTCACACATAATGAAAGAATTTAAAGAAAACAATGGAAAATATCGATTAATTTGTTAATCCCGAAGAGTCTCTTACTCTGGTTCGATGACTTTCGTTGGTCGGGGTAAGTTCAGGCGTCTTGGTTCCGGGGCCGTTCCTTTTGGCGTCTCGACGAAGAGCCGCGCTCGTGTCGCGGTGGAACCGGCTATGTTTTGAGCGGTGCATTGGTACCAGGCTGCATCGGAGAACTTGGCGCATGGAATATCCAAGGTCGAGGTTCCGCTGCCATCGCTCGATAGACGAATTTCGGGGCTAGGCGTTATCGGTACGCCGTCCTATCGAAAGTCATCGGTGTCAGAATAATTTGTAATTAATACAATGAATAATAGAACTTGAAAATAATACCTTTTGCCACGTGATGCGTGGAATCGGCGTGCCGACTGCGCGTGCCATAAAGACAACGGGTTCTCCTTCCTTCACGCTTGTCGTAACGAAACGTTCGACAAATTTCGGGGCGATTACCTGCTCCTTCTCGATAACATTCAAATTGCATTGACAGGAAGTTTCGCCAGCTTTATTCCGAGCAATGCATGTTACTATTCCGGCATCGGTACGACTCACATTCGTAATCATCAATGAATTGTTACCGGATTCATTTACAAGGATTTTATGAGTCATGTCATTGACGACTTGTTGACCATTTATATACCAAGTGACTTCGGGATACGGACGACCAGTTACGCGACAGTCAAATCTGAAAGTAATACATAACTCGTTAATATTTCTGGCTAAAAGAAAAATTAAAAAGATAAAAAGTCGAGACATACCGCGTCATCTTGCCTTCGGTAGCTTCTCTGTCCGTGATGGTGCGAACAAAATTCGGTGGCAGAACCTTGCTAGAATCAATAGATTCGGTCGATTCCACTTGTTGAGTCTTAATAAATTCTCTTTGATGCGCTTGATAGGGAACTTGATCTACTTGATCGCTGGATTCAATTGCCAGGTAAGCGGAGCTAACGGTGCAACCTTGAGGATTTTCAGACAGTAATGTATAATGACCGCTATCTTCCGGCAGGGCGACTCGGATGCGTAAGGTAGCCTGTTGATTCGAATAACTCGTCTCCACGCGTTGGGAATCTCGGATTCTCTGGCCGTTCTTGAACCATGTTAACTGCAGCAACATATGAGCATAAGTAATTTTTAATTTAACGTTGTATTAAATAGTAGTTATAAAAAATATCGAAGAGAGAAATAATTATAGAATTAAATAATAAAATAGTAAAATTGAATAGTAAAATTAAATATAATATATAATACTTATGTAATGCTCTTTCGAGATAAACTCACTCTCGGTTTAGGATTGCCGGTTATTTTTGCAGTGAAGACAGCATCCGATCCTTCGATGAGTTTTGAATTTCTCGGTTTCTGAGTGATTTGCGGAGGGGCAACTGGTCCTAAGGTACGATCAACTGTCGTAGAAATTTGCAAATCAATTTCACCCACAAAACGGCGAGTAATCGATTCGCGAAACTCCGATTCGCGCAATAATCTGTATTCGAAGGTATCAACCTATGCATTGAAAGAGTACAAAGTGTTAGTTTAAACATCGTTATTCTATCAAAGAAAGCAAAGAATCTAATTATAACACCTTAAAATCTTCGATGCTCGTAGTTGTGCCATTGACGTAACTTCGTTTATCCATTGTTTGTTGATAACTGCGTTGTTGGAAGACTTGACTGCCGGTTTGCATTTTCTGCTCGCTCAGCTGAGTGCTTTGCGTAAATTCCTTTTTATAACTATCCGCCAGCTGTTGCGCTGGAGGACCGAATCCTTCTGGTTGTATGTAAACTGAGCAAATTGCTTCGCCTGGAAAATGAAGAAAACGATTGTCTCATCGTTTTATTTTAATATCGATTTATTCTATTAAAATGTTCAGAGAAAAATAAAAAGAAAAAATATATCTAAGAATGAAAATTAAATTTTCGGACGAAAGAAATCTCACCATATTGATTCTTTGCACTACACGTGTACTCGCCCTCGTCCCCTGGACCAATCTGATTAATTTGGAGGGTGACAATTCCAGTATATTCGTCATAGGACATACGAATCTTTCGTGATTCTAGCAACGGTATTCCTTTATGCGTCCAAGAAACCGTTGGTTTTGGATTACCTCGGACGCAGCCTTCGAAGATCGCGTTGCCACCCTGCGCGAATCTCGCATTTTTAAAGATTCGCTCGAAAATTGGCGGTGATGGATCGCCAGGTTTACCGGTAAATCTGCACCAAAAAATCACATTAAAATAACAATTATATTTCCGTTAAAAATATAATGATTAAGTATATCATGATGACTTACACTGGTACCGTTGGCATCGTTTGCGTTACGATCTCCCCTTGAACTGCGGAAAAAATAAAAAGTTTCAATTTTAACCCAGTTTTAAGTAAATAAGGCGAATATTAAAATTATCAAAATAATAAAACAAATTTATGTAAAATTGTGTATGTATTCGATTCGATTGTTTTCGGGTCACAGAACTATATAAACTCCTTTATGCTATTTGTAATGGGCTGCTTTCGGACTAATGAGTAAATTGGTTTAAATTACGGTGCGTCCTGATGTAGACATAACTTAATGAAAAAGTACGGCGTCGTCATCGCGCGTAACGGCGACAGGAAAAAAAACGGCGTCAACGGTTCGTTTCCTCGATTCGTTCTACCCTAATTGGAAAGTACGACAGAAGAATTATACATCAACAAGGAAGATATGCGTATACGCATAAAAACCGAATATATAGAACGATTTCAATACGACGAGCATACATATACTTTCGTTTGATGAATGGGAGATTTTTCAAAGATGACTAATAGTTACATATTTTTTCCTGAGTGATAAAAAAATATAAGAGTGAAATTAAATTTATTAATATAATTTATTAATATAAAAATATCATTTCATGTGTGTGTGTGATTTTAATGGATACTGCTCTCTAAATGGCTTGCGTCTCTACAAATCACAGAGATTACCTCTAAAGCAAAATTTATCATATAGAGGGAGAGAGAGAGAGAGAGAGAGAGAGAGCCTTCTGAATTCACATTTAATTTTAATTAATTTATTAGGCTAATGAATTAATGCCTTCATGATTAAAACTCATCATTTTTGTTATGTGCAGCTACGCATCGTTCGCTTCGCGATCCACGAAAGCCGCGAAGGGGCCGCGAAGGAGGCGAACGAGACGTAAGGTAACGTACACTCTTACGTTACGAACACAGAATCGTATTTTTGCATTCGGATGGGGATCACGTTACCGTGAGCCATTTTAGGCGCAACTATCTTTGCTCGACGCTGAGCGCCGCGACGTGCGGCGTCGCGACGCGTATACGCCTCGTGCCCGGACCAATCTCGTTTCCCGTTACGCAAAGGTAGTCACTGACCAAAATAAAATCCGAGTCTAACGCTCTCTCTCCTCTTCATCTCGCGTCTCTGCATCCACTTTACGCGAGTGTTAATACGTTTTATATATTTTTGCATATCAAAACTTCGAACTTGAAACAACCGTGTTGTCTCCTTCCCCTCTCTCTGTTATTATTCCTTTTTTACTCTTCTTCTTCGTCCCCTACTGTCATTTTCTTTTTGGATTGTAAGTTTTGTTATCCGTCACACACTTTGCTGATGACGACGATGACAGCGATCAGCTGTTCCGAATGAAGTGTCCAAGTTTTGAAAAACTGGCAAATATTAATCGATTCTGCAGAATCTTTTGCACAAGTGAACAGATACATGAGAGATGCAAAGAAAGATCATCGTATGATATTTACTCCATTTAATTTATAAATATATATATGTATATTTTTTTATTAATTAAAATGTGATGCAATATATTTGTATCACAATAGTAGGATTTGTATAAATATTTTTAATGAAGCTTTTTCACACGTGAATATATTTAATCTTGCATTGCGCAACCAAAGGAAGATAGTTTAACGCTACTAGCGTAACGGAGTCGCTTACTGTACTTCATTGTCTTTTAGTTTTACGCATGTTGAAATATAATCCTATTCATTTCGATGCACATCGATGCAAATAAAATTCATAAATTTGTCAATGTTTATATCATTTGGCAGCCAACAATACGCCAACGCATCCATTATCTTCATTCTTTAACGTATAACGCAGTTGGCAAGTACTGTAGCGAAACTATCATCGATAAAATGGAGATCTAAATCTGTAATCGCGCTATCTTGTATATATCAGAATATTAATTCGCAAACCGAAATATGCGCAAAAACATCATTCCTTAGATTTCTGTAAGAATTTCTAGAAACTATCTGTGTGACATCATTTATATTTTATTTGTCGTAAAAAACTGGAGCTTTTGATAAATTAGTATAAATATTATAGTATCGAGAAAAATAAATAAATAAAGAGAACATTATCAAATAAATATAATTCATATGATTTCGTTTCTTGTTCATCACACACATAATAAACATATAAATAAAAAGGCCATAATATGGCCTTTTTATCTTGATCTCTTTTGAAAATTTGGCATCATGCCTATATCGCAACAAGATCATAATAAACGTCTTTCTAAAGAAAATTTTACTTTGAAAATTTTCCAATTACTTTCATCGGCATGATTAAGATAATGCCACCTTTAATTTTTAATTGCGAAATAATAATTTTTTTTATTATTTTAATTGGATAATCAAAAATTAATTTTTGTTGCGATATTTATTAGCACATTAAAATTGCATTTACGTTTTAATATCCAACATTTTGATTCTTTAACCTTTTGTATAAATTTTCTGATTAATTTTTGTGTAAACAAAGATTTTAAAAAAATACCTCAATATAAACAAAATTATAGATTTTATATTATTTCTGTTTAATAATTAAGCATTATAATATATTCAAAATATAATAAGATTTTGATAATATATATTGAGCTGAATATAAAAATTATCTTAATTTCTCTTTAATTGTTTCCGAAATAATAATAAAATCTTTTTCATTCCTTGGAATTAGAGAAGATTACTCCAAAATTGTTAACAGGTAACGAATTGTTAACAGAAGAAAATTGTAGAAATTACGTTCAAGACATATGTTTTCTCTTGATGGCGGTCGCGTAACGCAAAGTCACCCCTCTTCGGGGGCGCGTGAAAGAATTTTATGAGACGGTCACGTCGAAGTGCGCGAGAACTATCTTTAGAGCTCTCGCACGAACGGTGCTCCTTGTTCAGAAATAGAATATGAGTATATGTTGATGGGATACTCGCCAAAAGTATATCAAAATTTCATCTCATTTCGATAAAAAAAAATGATAACATATCGCTAATCTATGAATAAACATTTTTGCAAAGCAAAAATTGCAATATATAAAACTTAGTTTCATAAATTCACGTGGCATATTTTATGATATGCTTTTTTCTCTCGAGCTCTTCTTGGTCAATAGATCGTGTTATTCGAGAGTATGATCATCACACATCGCAACTGACCTCTCTGCTGACTGGTAATCTGTTGCCGCGTAATTTGTCTTTCTGTCCGTTGCTGGATGTATTGTTGCTGTTGTTGTTCCTGCATGATTTGTTGCTGCTGTAGCTTTTGCTGTTCTTGTGACTGTTGTCGCTTCATCTTGGAAAATCCGACAAAGTCACGAGTCGTTCGAACGGCAGAATCGTGGCTTAATGAACTGCTAACTATAATCTAGAAGAATCTACAGAGATCTTCGTATTTATCTCTTTCTTTTTTTCAAAACGTCGCGTTTGTCACTCGCCGAGATTTAACGAACAAACTCTCGACGCACAACGACGGGCAAATCACTCGCACTTATCTCTTTTTCGCCCCGCAATACGCGCAGTATTCTGCTGGTAACCGCGGCTCAGTCCAATCAGTCGGCAGAAATCAAGTCATCGTCAAAAGTCTTGTCCCCGTGATTCTTTAAACCAAGACGTCGGTCGAATGCGAATTGAACGGGTTACGACTTGACGCTTGGCTAAAGCGCGAGGAGATGGAGAGGGTGTTACATGCTTTAGGGTGGGGACGTTCAAAGATACCTACTGCTGAGGAACAAGAGAAATATAGCGTATATGCTACAGTTAGTGTGACATATTGCAAAAGATTTCAACAATTTTTATATATCACGATGTTTAAGAATACGAAGTGAGTAAGACAATACATTAGTGCTATATGCAACATATCATAAAAATATGTGACAGGAAACAGAGAGATTTTTACTCCAAAAATTGCGATTTTAATATTTTTCTGATGACGACTGGCTTTAAAATCGGCTGACACGAAAATAATATTAAATGCAAAATCCAAATAATGCTCGCTAAAGATACATTTTACAAAGAATCCGTTTGTATATCACCGATTGGAGGAGCGGTAAAAGTCTCACGCAGCGTCCTAGCGCTCACTGACAGCCGCCCACGCATCTGCACATTATTGCCCCCTCCGTGCTTACATCTCTCTTTCGTCGTTCCTCTCCGTGAAGCCGAACACTTCTTAAGCTTGAATGCGCACTCGTAAGTATATTTCTTTCTATGTTTTTCTCTTTTCACCTTCTTCGCGTGTCTTTAGCGTTTCTTCTCTTTATCGAATCTTTATCTATAAACATTCAGATTTTTTTTTAATTCGCAAGTATGCGTTGGTCTGCGATTTTTGCTTCCTTTTTCTCTTTTTTCTATCTTTCTCATAATTAGCCTCGATCTGTTCTCTTGCTTTTTTTTCTCGGTGTAAAATTTGGTAACAAAAAATATATATACCCGTTGTATAGGCTCGACCAAGTTTAGCCGCGTGAGCAACCCTTGATCGCGACTCTGAAAACGCATCGTCCAGCCATTACGAACCACATTCTAAATTCGTATGCGCTATCAGTGAGTCTAACAACGCGGGGGATTGCCTCCGTAATACGTAAATAACGACTCGCATTCTTTAAGACACTTTTAACACCGCTCGAGATACTATATAGGGAGCATCTTTTATTAAAATTTCATCGAGATCATCTATTTTTCGCACAACTACAAACTCAATAGAATTCAGAATTTCTCATGCATTTAAATAAAAAAAGATATTCTCTTTTTTCCAAATAATAATAGGCTTTTGTATAAGCAATGGAAATGATCCTGCCATTTTGACGAATCGAAGAGAAACATGCTGTTTAGTGCACTCGAGCAATTCATATCCATTAACGATAATCATCTCTTCACGTAATGCATACTTTGCATCGCAATTAATTCGCAACATCAGTCTTTTGTATCGCCAATATCGAAAAAAGCGAACGTTAACAGTCATGATGCATGCGATGAAGGAAGTACCTTCGCGCCAGAAACATTGGTACGATCATCAAGAAGGTGGGTCACGCGTGAATCACCACGTTTCGTCCAAGATGCCGCATAGCGACGTATCTATTTTGAGATTTTGTGAAATCGGTCGAGATGACGAGGAGTCTTTGCGCATTTCTATGATTCAAATCCCGAACGCGAATGTTTTGAAACCATTAAAAGTAATGCAATCTTTATGTACTTCAGAGACTTATTGTCATCTATTTTGATCGACCATGGTGAGCAAAATTGTCATTAAGAATCGACGCAATCTAATTGAAAATTGTACGTGTGCTTGTTGTGAAGATATTAAATAAAATAGAAGAATAGCCTAGATCAATGTTATTACCTTATATTAGATGAACTTTCCGATTTCAAGTACTTACCGTTGTGCACTCCATCATGACTGTACAAAGGGGGCTTGATATCCAAACATAAATCATCGATGTCAGTTTTATTCTTCGCGTAGATGGTACCTAATTCATGTCCAATATAATTTGTCTCCTTTATTGCATCGAAATCTCTAGTCGTATTCTCGCGATTGTTTCCTTCTATGAAACTGTTACATAATTTAACGATAGTTTGATAATGAGTGATATTGAATTGGACGGATTATATTGAGTAATCGATGCAAGTACCTGTAATCTATAGCGAATCCGAAATCGTAAAGAGATTCGTACGGTTGTTTATAATCCGTAGTAGATGTAATGTCTTTATCTTGCGATAGGAATAAATCTCTTAAAGCTACGTATTTTGGCGTATCCTGCGGAAATCGTTCGATTATGTATTCCCTCGGATTACGATAAATACCGTATATTGATGACGTTGCGCCTGTAAAAGTAGCAATGGTGTTTGGAAAAATAGAATGATGATCGTTAGTTGCGCAATCGTATCATAAAAAAATGGATTAACACTCTTTCTTGCTCTCTTTATATACATATATAACATCGCTTGTTTTTCTTTCGTATATTTTTGGATCACCGACTCACATTTTCCTCCACATTCCGCGAGATTATTTTACCACCTATTTTCATACCAGATCATCCGTTTTTCATGCAAGAGATGAATCCCCCCCACAAGTTTTGTAATTTCTAGAAACTGTCGAGAAACATTCTCATAAAACTCGATCATTTATATCCTGAACATGATGTAATATTTTAATCGTTTTCTAGTTTTTTAACTTTAAACTTACAAGTGTTTTAAGTAAAAAAAATACTAAATAAAATTACAATATTAGCAATATATAATTTAATTATAAGGTACAATTAGAAAATTATAAGATTTTTTAAAAACGCTTAAATTATAAAAGAGCTGCAACAGATTGTTCAGACCCCATGAGACAAACTTCAAAGCTTGACAGGTCTCTTTAAGAGATTCAATTTTGGTAAAGAACTCGTATAAGCAGTCGCGCAACATTGCGTAAGATGTAAATAAAATTTAAAAAAACAATAAAAAAAATAAAAATAAAATCAAGGGATTCTCAAAATATGTATGTAAAAGATCGAGATATATGATTAATTATTAATAGCCATATTATTAATGCTATGTATAAAAGAGAATTGTTTTTAATAAATAAAAAATTTCGTAATCTTTATTAGTATTAAAAATTCTCTATTAATATTTATGAGGAACTTATAAAAATTGATAAGGAATGAGGATGACTTTTGTCATACTGATATTTGTTCTCTATTCGCGTAGACAAGTAATATAGAATGTTCCTTCATATTAACATTACATTAGTTACTTTATAAATGATTAGACGCTTTTATTAAATTTCCGTTCACCAATGCTACCTCACAATATGCTACACAATATGCTACATCACAATATTTTAAGTAATGTCAAAAGGGAGGCTGTTACGAAGACAGAGTAGAAAAGGAAGGTGGAACACAGGCAAGAATGATGAAATAATTCATTACCCATAAACCATAGCCAAGTTTATATTGTGTAGAGAAAGCACACTTTTTTTATTTACATAGTATATAAGTATTCATATGCGATCATGTATGTGAACAGCAATATTAATAAGTAGTTAACTCCTTGCGAGATATGAAAACATGTTAAAATCTTATTTTGAAAGTGTCTTTTTATCGATTCGATATTGATAATTAATCGTTTAATTAATTTGCAGAAACTGTTGCTTGAAACTTTTATGAAATATCTCAAAAAATATTGCTTTGCATAACTGTACCATTATTGTACCATTATTGTACATCTAAATATATGAATTATATCTCCACTATCAATTATCGATGCAAAGAGTTAACAGCATAGTGATTCAAAGCATAGCCGTTCATGTCCCATAGTAAATTCCCATATTTCATCTAGCTGTAAAACATTAATTTCTCATGTTTCAAGCATAGACAATTAATATGGAAATGTGTAAAACTACAAAATAAAAAGCCATTTAGGACGATCGAATACTCCTACTGCATTTATATTTAATGCTTATAAATAAACAATATAATCTTATTATTTTGTTTTTAAATAATTTGACTAGTCCCAATAAAGTATATCACGATGCATAAATAGAGAGACAATGATTTAAAATAATATCATAAATCTTTGAATTAAAATATGAACTTCTTTTTTACCTTTTACTAAAAGTTTTATTTTTATTTACTAGCTTCTATAAAGCTAACTTTAAAAAAGGAGTATTTCTAGCTTGTAACAACGTTGGCAAAAAATAATCAATATATGCTTAGAAAGAAAAATCGAAAATATAACGTTTTAATTGGAGGAAAAAATAGTTGAAACGGAGATGAGACGTAAACAAGAAATAAAGTATAATATGCGAGGAATCAAAAGCTTTCCTTAACTTGTCCAATGGCATGACATTATTCAATGATGTTCTTCTCTTTTAGATTTTTTGTCCTTCTCATTTTGATTTGTTTATTATTAATTCGCTCCAGTTTAATTGACTAGTTTCCATATTATAACGTTAGATCGTACATATATACAACTATATAAAAAAACGAAATAATTATGCGCATTGAGACAAAGCTAGTTTGCTTTTGTCCTGTTACTTTATAACACCTTAATTCGTATTTTCATATCGCGATAAATCATTATTCATCTCCAAGAGAAAGCAAGCTAGAAAAAGCACTTTGACATTTGAATATTCGCTTATTTTTAAGTGTTTAAAGGAATTTTTCTCGCATAAAGAAATATCCCGAGCATTGTATATCGTTATTTCCTCCACCACATTAACCTGCGAACTGCATAGATAATAATTAAATATGGTACGATGCACAAATCCGAAACCAACACAAACCGAAGTTAAGAAACTGACTTTTCCACCACCTTTATCTCGATTTATCTCGATTATATCATCTCTCCTCGCATTCAGTCCTTTCAGATCTTTACGAAATAGGGGTGTATATAGATCGTCTGTTACCTGGCACCTCCAAATGAGCAGAAGTTACGGTAGAACCTAGGCTGTTTGTTGCCGTGCACGCATAAGTTCCAGCATCCTCTGTAAAAAGACATACATGTAAGGATTTTATCCAAGTAAAATATAAAAATAAATAAATTGAGGTAATGCCTATTAAAAAATTGTGGAGAAAAGATAAATACAAAATATAATCACTCTTATATCGTACCGGGAAAAGCTTTCATTATGGTAAGACGACAAACGCCATTTCTGTATTGAATCTCGTGGCTCGCAGAATTTTCGACGATCCTACGATCCTTGGACCAAAGGATATTAGGCTGCGGTTCAGCCTGAACGATACATTCGAATCTAGCCGGTTGTCCGCTCACTACCGCGATATCCTTCAATGGCTGAAATATAATTATAAGTATTTCTATTATTGATACAAACAATTATCCACGATGATTATCAAAAAGCTGTTAACATTACCGTGATGAACGTGGGAGCCTTTTTCGGTAATATGTCAAGATAAGGCTGAATTACTTCTTTGGCCGATGATACGCCATTGCTCGTTGGCCACGGTGAGCCTACGATGTTTGATGAAATTTAATGAAAAAATATTATATAATAAGAATGAACAATATCAGATGATTTAGAGCGATTTGTATAATAGAATCCGGCACGAGTAGCCTATTGTTAAATACTAAAAAGATGATTGATTAACATGCATAGAAATAAGAAGCATCTGGCATCGATGTTAAATAAGACTACCTCTTCTATGTAATCTCTTCTATATAATCATATTCCTAAATTGCATTTTGCGATGCAGTAAATATAAGAATCTCGAGAAGAGAGAATCCGAATGCAATCAGAAAAGCAAGAGCATAAGAATTCTAATGAAAACTACAGAAGTTATCGCATAATCTAGAATCAACGAGAGAAATAAGATAGAAAAAGAAATAATACAACGAATGATCGAAGCGAGAAAAGTGCTGGAAACAATTAATGAAGGCAACAACATGTATTCTCGCGATGGCAGGCTTATACCTGCAGAGTCCACATTGCTAGATGGTCCGGTAGCGCTACTATGTCTGGGAGATAGGCTCGGCAAACTTGGACTAAGAGAAAGCGGGCTAGGTGTAATGCGATCCCATCTTGACGGTGACACGGAGCTAGGTATGATGAGGCTCGGAGGTGCCATCATTGAGCTTTCCACACTCGATTGCTTTTTATTGAGATGTCTCGCGTCCTCGGCTTCGGAAAACTCGCTTTCCGACGTCGGTTCCCACTTGACAGTCTTCGAGCTGCTAAATTTGCTTCCTGGCTTGCTCTGGCGGTTCAAGAACGTGCCCTTTTTCGCGAAGCCATTCGCTTTCTTCTCGGTAAATTCATGTGTTATAGGTACATCTACGTCACTGGGACGTCTCTGTCCTTGAATGCTCTTCTGACTGCTTTCAACCGTTTTCTTGCCCTCACCAGGCAAAATGATACCGAATTCGTAACCAAAGTCATACTTGAAATATATGAGCCCAGTGTCCGGATCGATTTGTTTTGTTCCTGTTTGCGCCAATGAGCATTACACGCTTATTATCTCTCAAATGTAATATACATATTTATAAATCTATTCATGCACATGCGCGCAGACAGAATGTCTTACTGCTATGTATGTTTTAAAATTATGTATTAAGGGTGAATGTATGTGTGTATGTTATACTTTTATACTATTTCTCTATTTACTATCTATATATCTGTCTTTTAGATTAAGATAAGGCAATATTATTATATTACCGTGTTCGGAGACTCGCGATTCTTCTCTATAAGTTCTCGGCTCCTCACCGTCATCCGTCGTCCTCGAATCGACAGGATGCTTCAGAATCGGCTTGCTCTGCCTCAAGTCCGACTGGATATCACTCACGAATTTCTCGGTTTTCGTTTTGAAGCTGCTTGTCATGTCACTCATGTGACGTGACGCGATGTCTGCGAACGTTTCAGAGCTTTGTATTACGGAAAAAAAAGGATTTATTCACTTTCCGCATATAGACGAAAGAGAAATTGTGACCAAATAAAAAACCCAATAAGGTGAAAAAAAAGTAACATATACAACGAAAAGAATTACAGAATTATTACAAGAAGAAAGATAACTGAAAATCGACCCAAAGATTAATTAAAGCCAAATGAAGAGATGTAAAGTGCTAATGAAAATCTATGTGTAATTATCCGCCATTGTCGAGAATGAAAAATAAACTTCTACCATCTGCGCTTCTACGATCGTCTACGTGAAAGCATTACGTGACATATTAAGATTTTTCTTACGATCCGCAGCTTTTTTTACGTCGCTCCTCGAAATAAATCCGTATTCGGGTGGCGAACCAGGCTGCAAAGCGCCATCGCTCTTTCCTGAAGCTGTTCGTTGCTGCTGATATCTCTGATGACTAATCGTTCCGTCTACATCCTCTTTGCGAATCTGCGACGTCAACGATGTTGTTGGAGGACCGCTGTCAAATTCCATCGGCGACACGACGCGTGTCTGCCTAACCGGGGTGCTCGATAATCTCGGGCTCTTCGACGCGGGTGGTTGAACCCTTCGGTAATACGGCTCCTCCGTATCACTATCAGCCGGGGTCCATTTTGCCCGAATTCTGCCGGAGTCTGCGTCGCTCTCGTAATCAGATTCACGAAATTGTCCCTGCACAAATTTTTTCGGTACAGGCACGCGATAATTCGTTTGATGTTTCTGGATCGACGCGGGGTCCCCGAATTTGATGACGCGGCTCGTTTGCTCGACAGTGACGATTCTCCTGGTGTTCTCCGTCGACTCGTCCATCTTAACTGTTTTCTTGGTTTCCGTGCCCACCGCGTTTGTAAACGGCACGCTTGTATGCGCCTCGTAAAACTGTTGTTGCGGTTGCTGCGGTGGCGCATACGCGATTTCCGGCGGAGAACCGGGTAAGAGAACTGTCTTCGGCTTTGTCGGTGTTGCTGCTACTGTAGGATACTTGCTCAGCTTCGCTGGCTTTCCTATGTGGAAAAGTTTGTCCAAAAGTTCGAAACAAATTTTCGAGACAAATGTTCGAGGAAAGAGCGAAACGAGAAGAGAGAGCCACACCTCAGAGGAGCGCATACATCGTATTTCTAGATTAATAGAGTAGAGCGGCGTTCGGTTTCACAGATCTCGTTAGGACCGAGCAGTCAAGATTCAAAGTTTCGAGTTCAATATGTACTAAACATTACGTCCATCAATTAAATATCGATGACATCTCGGAATTTTCTCGACCTCACGATGATGAAACCGGTTATAAAGCAAGAGTGGAAGGCGCATTTCATAGAAAGCCGATTCATGTTTTGCAGAAATAAATGCGATGATTGAAGATAAAAATTTAATAATTATTTCACAAAGAAACGCTGAAGAAAAAAAACATGCAAATAAAACAGAAAATTAGGGAAAAAAACTTGTGTCTTGGATGTAAAATTCTCCTTCTCATCGAGAGAATTATACATTATTAGCTGGAAAATGAAGCAAAAGTTAAATTGTAACGGTTACTTTCTATTTAAAAATATGTAAAATTAATAATGTAATTGGGATTAAACAGTGGTTAAGTACGTGAACTCTATATTGTTCACTTTTCTGTTCTTTTCAGTCTATTACTATAATAACATAATTATAATAAAACGATTTTTAACATGATACACATATAAATAACTCTATAAAAACCAATGTATTAAATATTTATAATTCTTTCAAATTAATGTAATAAAATGAAAACTGCAAATATAACAAATATACTAAAATCTCGCAATACTGGACATTTCAGTTCAAACGTCAAACTTAATAAAAGGTAGTAGCATAATACCTGAATCAATGACACTAAGTTTCGTAAAGCTTGGCGATGTTCTGCGATCGTAGTCGCTTTCATAGTCGCTCTCGCGGAAATCGCCCTTCACAAACTTCGAAGGACTCGGAGAGATTGGTAGGACCTTTTCCACTGGTTCCAATTTTTTGTACGACTGATCCATGGAATGCCCAGTTTCCTGTTAAACATTATTTCATTAAGAGACTTATTTTCTGTATATAAAGTTTTTGTGCTACAAAAAATATTAAACACACAATTTTTAATACATTCCGGTTGTTAATGTGCACACATATTAAAGTCTACGGCTGCAAAATATTTCATAGCAATTTGTCGCTCTATTTATTATGTTTGAACTTTCTAGGCAAGCATAAAATAACAACATTCGAAGTGACACACGCATCTCGAAAATGTCGAACCTTCAAGGATTCGAATCTGCGTAAACCGCTGCTAGTCGTCGAGGAATAACTCTTCTCGAGCGAACTGTGTTGTTGTTGAACAACTTTGGGAGGCGTTGGTGTACAAACGGGTGACGAAACGAAAGAAGATTCTTCTTTTTGTAAATGATCAGATTTGTAACTGTGACTCTCGAAGGATTTCGTCCTACTTTCCGTGGTACGAGTCTCCGTGTGAACCATCGTTGAAGTACCATCACGTTTGCCAAAAGATTTCTGCGTCGTAGTTGTCGTAGACGAAGCCTTCTGTTGGAATGGCTCATCTGTGTCCGCCATGTAACCGCTTTCCTGCTGAAAAACTTTTGTCTTGAATTTCGGAGATTCCGGTTTCTTGGTGGAGGGAGATTTCGGAACGTTATTCTTTGCTGTCGCTTGCACATAAATCGGTGGAGAGCCGGGTTTCAAAGGAATCGAGGTTTGCTGCTGCTGCTTGGATTCTCTCTCGTGTCGTTTAAATGTCGTCTTTTTCATCGTCTTTTCGGAAGATTCTGTAGTGATGAGCGATTTGGACGGTCCCGTGAATAGCGCGGGGGACTCGAATTTTGAGGGCGGAAGTGGCTCGGGTTCGGTAGATCTCGGTCTCGTCGGTTCTTTCGAAACAGGTGCCCTGACTCTTCGATAATGCGGCTCCTCATTATCGCTTTCGTATGGCCTCCACTTTGCTTTCGGACGACCTTCGAAATCAGACTCGTAATCGCTCTCATGGCTATACGAACCTTTGATGAATTTCGACGGAGCCGGCGACGAGGGCTTGACCGATTTTTTGGCTGGAATAGGTGGCGGCGTGATACGTGCATCTTTCGGTGGGAGTACAGGTGGAAGTACAGGTGGTTCTTCTTTCTTTTCTATCTTATGCTCCAATGGAGCTTCTACAAAGGGTGGTGGAATATATCCAATTTCCGGAGGTGACCCTGGTTCAAGGATGATCGAATCGATTCCTGTTTCCGTGAGATGCGATGTCGCGAGCGATTTTATGACTGGTTCGACTTTCTTTACCAAGCCCGGTGCCTTTAACTCTTTATCTTCTGTCAAGCGTTTCGAGGTAAATTCTTCAAATTTCTGTATCGTTTCCGCCTTTTCTACATTGCGCTGACTCATGTATTTCTCGAGCAGAGCCTTCTCCTGTGCAGGATTCACAGTATGATCGACTTTAATCGTCTCGGCATTATAAATTATCGGACCAAGTTTTGACGTAGGCAGAGATCCCTCCGCTATCTTTTCCGTAAATTCTTCTTTACTGCTCCACGAGCGTTTCTCCACGTTAGCGGATGATTCCGTGCTAATCTTCTTTATTTCACCTTGCGACGTCTCCTCGACCTTCCGCGTAAATTCCCTCGAGGAGCTCTTACATTCGTCAACGGGAATATTCCATTCGCGTTTCTGAGCGGATTCGACCTGGGGTGGCCACGATTTTCTATTCGAATCCGCGTATTTCTTCGCCCAGGATTTTTCCATCGCCAGTGCGTCCGCGGATGGTTTGGGCGACGTTGCCCTCAGGACTTCTTGACTAGAGGCGGCCGAGTGGCATCTGTATTCCGACAAGTCCGTAGATACATGCGACTTAGTTTCCACATCCGATGATGACGACCATGGTCTGCTAGGGGAAGTACTTCTCAAGACAGACGTTGAGGATACAGATGCGTATTTCGATGGTTCCAGCTTTTCCTCCTTCAAATATTTGCTTTCCTTCTTTCCTTGCAGAAGTGCATCTCTCTTTATACATGTCTCCTCGAATATTTCTTTTTTCTCAAATTCGAACGGTGGTGGTATCGTAAATGTGGGCTCCACAGGTTTAGTAGGCTCCGGTATTTTCGGAGTGGGTGTAGGAAAGATCTTCACGCCTCCGATAGGAGCGTCTATTGGGGAAAGTGTCTTGTCAAAGGATTCTTGTAGCTGCTTTGCCTTGACGAATACATCAGGGTGTTTTTTTTTTGCTTCCCCCGGCTTTGGCATGTAACATATCTCGGGAGGTGGTTCCGGTACCAGATTGAAACTTTTCATCATCGTTTCGGAGCTTTCCGTTTGCGAAATGAACGAATCAGAGATTATGCTTTCCTCCACCGCCGTTTTTTTTAATTCCGTTGGCTTAAAACTTTCGTACGGAAACTCAAACAGCTTATTTTCTACTCCGCGTGACGGTCCTTGTTCCAATTTAGTGAAAATATCCTGAACGGCTTTCTTTGTTGCTTGAAACTCTGACGGTCTTGCTTCTGTCGATTTCTTTACCTCTTGAAAGGTTGCTTGCTCATAATTTTTCGTTAATTTTCCAACTTTAGCTTCTTGAACTTGCCCCTCCTCTGTTAGTTTAATCATTTCCTTTGGTCCTTTTGCCACAGCCTCGCTTTCTTTCGTAATAGATTCGAAAAAGCTCAATGCATCTTTCTTTGCAATCGTAGACGTCTCTATGTTTTCATTTTCGATCGTTGATTTCTCTTCCGTTGTTATCAATGGCTTCGAAACGTCTTTTCTTTCGTCAGCTTCCTTTATCGCGATTTGCTCGGTTCGAAACTTGGACTCCATGATCGATGGAGTTTTATGTTCTAGTTTCATATGAAACTTCTGTTCCGTTTTCATTTCGGATTCGTGAGATTCGATAATAGACGAGATCGTTTCCGATTTACTAGCCTTCATTTCCGGTCCATCGATTTTTTGTATAGTGTCGATTTTGTATGGTGTGATTGGCTTGAATAATAGGCTCGGTTGGATCGCAGGTATCTGTTCGCTCGTCAAAATACTCGATGATATTTCTTCTTCCTTCCCCTTGGACTAAGCGCAAATAAATTATAATTTCACAAACATTTCTTAACGATTAAACATCATCTCTTTTTAATGTGGAGAACATTAAACTTTATATCTATTATTTCTCATATCATAGAACATATTGTAAATAATTTTCTACAAGAGAGAAACATAATAAAATACCTGAACAGCACTTTTATCCTGAATGTTTTCGTAGATGACAGTTTTATGCACCTCGACCATAGTATCGGGCTTTGGTTCAAAAACTGCAACATCAGCGATGCTCTGCGCTTCTCCACCGGCGTTTGTCGCACGTACCATGTATTTGCCAGCGTCATCTTCTTTAACTGTATAATGTAAAATCAACAATAAATTCCAAATATGCGGAACTATAAAATAGAAAGAAAATAGCGGATAAAAATTGAATCAACTATCTAATAATTCCGTACCTTTGTCTATGAATAATGTATAACAATTTCCTTGTTGAGTAATTCTTAATTCTGGTGGTCGTTCATTGATCGGCACGTCATTTTTATACCAACCGACCGTCGGCTCGGGTATACCTGTGATTTCTACTTCCATAATAACTCGATCGCCTTTCTTCGCTACTTGAGCCTTGAGACGTTTACCGAAAACCGGGGGAAATATTGTCTCTAAAATAAAGAATAAATTCTTTTACATTACATAATTCTATATATGTATGTATAATCTTTCTCAATCAATTCATACACGTATCACTTACTTTTGACAACGAGATCGGCTGTACTACTAGCATTTCCAACATCGTTGCTCACTGTACAAGTATAACGTCCAGCGTCTTTCACATTGACATTTTTTAGTTCCAATTTCACGTGATTATGAGCATAACTAATTTTTACATTATCCATTATTGTCAATTCTTGACCATTCTTTGACCATAGAACCGTCGGTTGCGGAAAACCTGAAATAAACCGATAGTAATAGTAATGATAAAAGAAATAATCATAAATATATTAATAATAAAAAAATCGCAATTTTTAAATTTTACACAATTAGAATGTTTTACTTGCACTCACCATCGATAATACCCTCGAAAACAATGTCTTCTCCTTGATCGACAATCATTCCTGTAAGCGGCGAGACGAATCTAGGTGCTACTGGTTTCCGAGATGGCTTCTGAATTTGATTCGCCTTGATGTCACGTTTCATGCCTTCCATCTCTTCAGAAACGAGAACAGTTTTCTCTTGTCGCATTTCACCAGGCCGATCCTGTATTATTTTTTCGTATTCCTCGATTTTGTGAGACTATTGAAGAGAATAGTCTCAATTAATAAATGCCACACGAGGTTTATATCACGAATATTTGATATAATAAGATGAAAAGGAACACAACTACTTTCGCCAAAAAATACTGCCTAGTATAATATAATACAAATGTAATACAAATGTATTGAATATATTTACCTGTACGACAGGTGGTGCTCCGTTTTCCGAAGTAGACTGCTCCGAACTTTGTACAGTTGTTTTTGTGCAAACACTGGTAGGTTCTTGTCCGGATTGCGATAAAGAGGAAGTCATAGTTGACGATAGGAATTCCTTCTTCGTGGTCGTTGACGAGGAATGCGTGACGGTTGATGACATTTTCGTTAGCACTTGACTATCGCTACCGCCCTCATGATACGTTTTCTCGCTTGCGAAGTGCTTATCGCTACTGCTTGCAGGATGCATAATGTCTGCAGGAAAATGTGGAACCAACTCGAGTACTTCTTCGATCTCACCTGCAATCTGTCTCACTGATCCGCTATCTAGAATTTAATCCAGTTATGTCAATAAAGTTAATTACATTCTTCTGATGCGCGATTAATGATAAAATACACTTTGGCAGATATTAAAAACCGACCGACAATTAAAATAAAATAGTATATATTCGATTCATGTTAAAGACTGTTAAATCAATATTTTTATAATTCTTATCATTTTATTTTTATTTCAATATTTTATCTATATTTTAATTCCAAATAATAATTAATAAAATTAACAGATAAATAAAAAGATAGGAACACAACCGAATCACTTCCACGAAATTAATTATATCTTATTTTAATTGTCGCATACAACGTGTGTACTTTGTGTATATAAATTTAAAATATTGAAGATAAAAAGTGCTGGAACCTACTAAACGCAGAGCCAAAGTGCTCCCAGAGAAGTAACGAAATACTTTGCCTACGATCCGCGACAGAAATAGTATCGTTCACCTAGTAATAGGTGAATCGAGCACTCGGCTGCGATATATAACCCCGGACGATCGTCCCAATTTATCGTTGTCACTCTGCGTTCTTTATTGATGTGCGCATAATATGCATGACATCCAATAAGCGATGTTACTTTATACTCGCTTGTGTATATATGTTTATCTCGAGTCTCTTCTTCTCATGAATCGGAAAAACTAATAAATTTATAGAGCATGCACTACGGGATATTAACGTAATCTTTCTTAAATTTGAACATATTTTTAGATATTTAATTATATATAACTAAATGAAATATTTTAATATTATATTGATAAATCGACATTCTTTAAGGAATTTGCTAACTAAATTTATTAATTTAGTCTTTCTATCAGTATCCAAGAATATTTTTATAAGTTATAAAGACAATATGCCTGTATGCATCGCGCAAAATTATCCGATGAAACGAACATTGAGCAGAGAACGATGCTCTCTGCGAAAATGCAATTCTTTAAAGTTAGCGACTCAGGAGCAGACTATGCGCCGAGAATTCGCATCGATAAAAATAACACATGTTTCTGCGTATACATGACGAGGGGAAGAGAAACAGTTGAGGGGAAGAAGTGCTGAGTGACTTTGTTGTTTTCTTAATATTTTTCCATTTTTTTTTGCCTCGAAATATGATCCCAGTTTTCTCTCTTAAGATTCTCATATCTATACTCGCGATGCTCTAATATTCTGCGCGCAAGAGCGAAGGGAAGCGTAAATTTATATATTCAGGTCACGCTATAAATGCAATATATATGAAGGTGATCACCAAGCATATACATGCTTAGCAATGTCAAAGCAAAAACACGTAACATTTTAAAAAGACACGCAACACTATTGAATTTCTAAATAAAGGTATTTCTAATTAAAGGCATACAATTGGCGTTACACATACATTACAGGTACATTTGACTGGGTAAAGAGTATTAATAACTTGTGGCATCGTTGTGCATTCTTTGCGACATTATCTCCAACATTATGGTAGAAAAAAATGGAGTAACTGATTATTACACGCAATTTTCTTATATAAAATAATTAGTAAAAAAAAAAATTAATAAAATACAAAATAAAAGTGTACGTCACTTACCAATTTCCACTTTAGCGCTACAAGTCGCTTTACCAGCTGCGTTTTCCGCTACACAAGAAATCGTGCCAACGTGCGCATCTCCGACTTCAGGAATCGTTAAAACTTGCCGATCTCCGCTAACGGAAACTAGGAAATCTTTTCCATGAACCGGCCGATCATTAAACAACCACTGAATCTGTAAAGAAAAATCTCACTAATCAAATTTATCAACTGCGATAGAAGGCATAATGAATAAGTGCGCGCAAGAACAAATTTCCACGTCCTCGCTATATTCGACAATTTACAATTTTTTTTCATGGGGCGACTGAATGCTGGCAAAGTTCATGGTACCTGACAAGATCACGGCGCTTCGCACCGCGTCGAAAGTTCCACCTTACGCTTCGTGGCGCGACTGCAATCGTGGCTTTGAGATATATATTGTTCACGTTTAAATATAACTCGTCGGGGGTAGCGAAATTATTCTTACTCCGTCCTGACAGGCTGGCCAACCTCTTACATCTAGATTGTTTACACGGTCCATGCAAATTTCAAATGACTACCATTTCAGGAGTCGCGTGTCAAATGATTTCTCTTACTCACGTTTATTGTACGAGGTCTGGAGTAAGTTTACACGCAATATAAATACGAATTTGTTAAATTTATTTATATATTAATGTTATGTGTTTTGATATCACTTACGTTATTAACAATCTGTCTCGATTATAATTACAGAAAAATCAATTGATCTTATGAAATCTGATAAAATTCTATTCTAATGTCTCATTATTATCTGTACATTTATAAAAGTAATTACAAAGTGTGTTGTTATGTCAAAAAATCAGACATATAATAATATATAATAATGCTTGTAAATTTGTAATTTTTAGATTAACAGATTATGCTCTGTAATTTTTCTTACCCATCTGTCTTAAAAAAAATTTGTAATATAACTGATTAATCAAAATGTACAGATATTTTTGTTGCATGTGAAATTTTTTCGATAAGTTCAATAAGAAATGGTATTTTTGAGGAAAAAATATTTTATCGTATATAAGATTTATATACCTTGGGAGAAGGTTTACCGATGACGATGCATTCAAATTTTGTCGAGATGCCTTCGGGTATTCTTCGGTCTTCGAATACTTCTTTGAACGCCGGTCGAATCAATTTTTCTTCCATTTGAATAAACTCTTCGTTTCTTTTAAAATCACCGAGCGTTTTCACAACCAGCCTGGCGAAAGCTTTCGCTTCGCCATGTATATTTATGGCTTTTGCCACATAATTGCCTTTATCTTCCGGTATCGTTGACAAAATTTTCAAAAGCCCTGTTCCATCTTCCTTTTTCTCAATCTGCGACAATTATATACATATTATATTTATTGATTAAACGCACGTTAAATATAAAATATTGTGCGATCTATCCCGAATAATACTCGCCAGAATTCTTTCGCTATGAGTGACTTCACCGTCGTCCGAATACCATCTCAGATCAGGTTTAGGTTCTCCAGTCACGGCACATTCGAAAATAGCATCTTCACCCTCAGCCACAAGCAAATCTGTCGGAAGTCTGGCGAACTTTGGCGCGGAACCTTCAACGAGGACTTTTTCCTTTTCTTGTACTCGATCGATTACATCCGCGATGTGAGATGTAGCTGTAAATAAAAATAAAAATATTTATATAAAATAAATTAAACTTCTAATTATTTTAAAAGAGTACGTACGTGTAACTGTTAATGTACACTGACTAGAAGCTTCACCGCCAGTATTGATGGCGACTACTTTGTATACTCCAGCGTCATCCAGAAAAGCTTCATGAATAACTAGCGAGCATCTGTCACCTTGGAAGAGTAGCTGAAAGTCTGACGACTCCTTCACGGGTTGTTCATCGTGATACCATATCACCTGCAAGATAATTGAATTGATTGAAAAAGAATTAAATTGCCAGATGATTAATTTTGCGAGTAAACAAGTTTACCTCTGGTTCAGGCTGACCTATAATCACACAATCTAATCTAGCCGATCGTCCCTCTTGTATCTTGAGATCCTGCAGAGGTAATTGAATTTTCGGAATTATCAGTTCCGTATCGCTGCAAATGATATCGGACTCGCTGGTTTCGTGAAGCAAACGTCCTTTTACGGAAACGATGCAAGACGCGGTAGCCTCTCCGACCTCGTTCTTGGCAATCACCGTGTAACACCCGGCATCCTTTAGAAATGCTTCCGTGATGACTAGGCTTGTTCGTGCACCGTCCGTTTGAATCTGAGAAAAAAAGTTAAATAATTTCTGCCAAATCAATGCTTTATATCTTATAATTTACCCTATGATATTTAGTTTCCTCAATCGGTTTTCCGTCATGAGCCCAACTTAATTCGGGAATTGGTTCTCCTTTAGCTTCGCATTCCAATTTTACCCTTTGTCCTGTCCTGACCATAACGTTTGATAACGGTGTCACAAAATATGGTTTCTTGGTGGAAATTTGCGCGGCTGAAATCAATGTCTATAAATAACAAGAAAAACGCGCAATTCTCTCTTTCTCTTTCTTAATAAAACAAAGTGATAATCTTACGTTCTACGTCTAAAGAAGCAGTAGTAGACGACTGCCCCCATCTATTCGTTGCTTTACAGGTATACAAGGCTTTATCCTCCAAGAAAATTTCATCAAACTTCAAAACAGCTTCCCCATTATTAAAAGTGATGACGTAATCCGGAGAATTATCAATGTTGGTGTCGTTCTTATACCATTGCACTGTCGGAAGAGGATTTCCCTCAACGGTGCATTCTAATCTATGTGAATTTCCCTCTCTCGCAGAAGAGGGTAACAATTCTTTCACGAAAACGGGAGCGCTCGGTTGCTCTTCAGTGATAGTTTCTAAAATTGAGAATTTTAAATTATTAGTACATATCGAATAAAACAATATACATCTGGAACAGTAAATCAAACCTATGACAGTGAGAGTGGCTGATGTTTCGACAGAGTCGCGAATATTAAATGCGCGGCAAGTGTATCTTGCAGAATCCTCAGCGAATGTCTCTTCTATTTTCAAAGTACAAATGCCGTCCGTATAAGTCGTTACGTAGTCTGGATTATTCAAAATCGATATTCCGTCTTTGTACCAGACTATTTCTGGCGTCGGTTGGCCAATCAAGCGACACTCGAAACTGAATTCCTTGCCTTCTTGAATCGTCGCATCGCTTAAAGGAACTGTGAATTCTGGAGCCAATGAAACTATTTTGTCTGCTTCTGCGTCTTCAACGTGATCGCGCATTTCAGTGGGATGTGTTTCCTCGGACACAAGATTTCTCGACGGACTAGCTTCCTTTTGAATAATCGGAACATTTTTCTCGATTTCCATCTATTAATGAATGAATTTAATGAATAGAGATTACGATAAAAAATTTTTATAATAATCAAAATGCACCGTTCGCGATACCTTTTGAAGAATGTGAATCTCTTTGGTTGTCATGGCGGAAGTAATGGTTTCTTCAACTACTGTCTCATCGGTTTGAGCAGAGACAGAATGAGAGACAGTTGGAGGAGCAACTTTTCGAGCTTCCTCCTCTTTCAACTTTCGCGCTTCTGTTGCAGCTTTGTCCAAGGTCTCAGCGGCAAGCTGTTCCGCAAGTTTCCTCGCATTTTCAGCTTCCATTCTGGCAGCTTCCGCCGCGGCCATCTCTATTTTAGCAGCCTCTAATTTCTTGTCAGCTTCCAGTTTCTCGATGCGCAGCCTCTCCCGCAGGTCCTCGGCGTTTTGCAAATTTTGACTCAAAGTGCGCAGTTCGGAGGAAACGACTGCAAAAGAATCCAACATTTGCCGATTTTCTACAACCACTTCGTTGAATTGCGGGAGCCTGTCGGTACCTAAAACATTATGTTGCAAAGAAATTTCTGCATAGTAATATTTTCTTTTGTTTGTAAGTGTAATGTTACTTACCGAAAATTATCGTCGATAATCGTTTGAGCTCTTCGATCCTCTTATCTTGCTGTTCTTCGCCCGGTTTTATATAAGCGTCGATCTCTTGCATCAAACTTGTGATTTCTTCAGACGCTTTTATCGTTGTTGCCTTACGTGCAACGATTACCAAGAGTTTGCTGCCTTCTCTAAACCATTGCTTTGCTTCTTCCAAAAGTACGAAATATTCGATACTTAAATTTATTCGCTTCTTGGTATTTTTAATGCATTCTCTCAAATGGTACCATCTGTTTTGCAGAGATGAAATCTCATCTGTCATTTGTGGCGTTAACGGAAAGATGGTTTCTTCCGTTTTTTTCACAAATGTTTCAATTTTTTCCTCCAAAGTCTAATAATAAAAATGTAAATTAAAATCTATTCAAAAGTTCTGAGAGATTATTTTAACTTACTATTATAGTTTGTTCAAACTGTTCAAAAGCAACCAATGCCGCTCTCGATGCCGACAAATTGTCACCGATTTTTTCATCCACGTTTTTTAATTGTTCATTCAAGTCGCGCAGATCTGAGTTAATCTTTTCGATATCCTCTCTAAAAATGCAAAATCGTCGATGTTTTTCGAGACGATTTGATGTTTCGATTTGAAATGATTCAAACTCGGCGTCCACGGAATCTATTGCGCTTTTGAGTTTTTCGGCATCTTGTGTCGCTGATTCTAATGGTTCCTGCAGTCTAATGGTGTCGATTATTTTTTCAGATGTTGTACGTATTCGTAGCAAAGATTCCGCAATAGACGTTTTCGATATGTTGAATTCGTTTAATGTGCTATCCACATCGATAGGTCTTATAAAACTTAATACACGTTCAATCTCTTGCTTTGCTTGATCAATTTTACGCTCAATCTTAAAAAACAATGAAATATAATTTATATATTAGATATATATGAATAAACTGTGTATGAGATATTTAGTATATTCAAAATCTATTTTTTACCTCCTCGAGATTCTTAAAAATAGAGATTAAAGATTCCAATAATGTTTTGTAATCCTTGACGACAGTATTCATCTTTTCTTGCATTTGTACAAGTCTCTCTGAAATCTGCTCGGTTGTTTTAACTTCATCTATAATTTAATTAATTTCTTAACTAAATAAATCTTGTTAAATGAAATACGTAAAATAAATATATTTTAATTACCTTTTTCGACAAATACTCGAATGCTTTTGATTCTGCTATCCAATTCCTGAAGAGCCGTGTTTAACTCAGATAAAATCTGTCGTTTTACATCCTTCAAATTATCCAAAGTATCGGCTATTCCAGTGGATCGTGTTGTAATCACTGGATACAACGTTGTCTCAAGTTTCGTAATCCACGCTAATGTCTATATAAATTAATAAGTCAATAATAATTAAAATTAGAGAAAAGATTTTCAAGTAATGGAAATACTTTTAATATTATTTTATATTTTTCTCGCGACACGTTTTACTTTATAATTACTAATTGAAAATTGATGTAACGTAAATAAATTTAATACAAATTTAAAGTAGAAACTGTAAAAAAAGAATAATATAAAACTTAATAATAAATTAAAAATTACCTTTATGCTTTCTTCAACTTTTCGCTCACATTCAATTCGTCTCTGTCTCGTAATTTCGATGGTAGTCTGCCATTTTTCCCATGATTCTGTTATAACCAATTGCCGATTCACAAATTTCTCGAAAAGAGTCTGGACACACAGGCAAGCTCGCGATATATCAAGATAAGAGTCATCGATCTATGAAAAAAGAATTTGAATTTTTATATTTCTTCAAAAATCTTTCCGCATCGTTAACGTTAACCATTTTTTAAGTCTCAGAATATTTTATAAGATAGAATATTTTATTTTTACTTACATTGCCGGCTTCACCGAGAAATGCTTTTACACGATCATCCAATTTCTTGTAAAGAGGTTCAAGAGATTTCCATTTTCTTTCCAGCTCATTGATTTTGGTCTCATCTAATGTATCACACTTTTTCAATTCGTTATCGATATAATCCATTTCATTGGTCAATTCTTCGATAATTTCGTGAAACTGTATATAAATTGTACCCAAATCGATTCTTTTCAACACCGCAATTTTTGTTTTCGTCCATTCGTCCTCAAGATTTTTTATTTTCGATCGCATTTCATATTTCTGAGACTCGTCCAGGCGTTCTATGATTGGAAGAATCTCCAATTCTAAATGATCCACTTCCTCACTCTTATTCTCAAGATCGCAGAGCAATTGACAATGAACCCGACGAAAATCGCATGCCATTGTCAGATCGCTGCCCATGTCTTGATGCCCTTGCAGAAAGGCTTCAGCGATGCTGGTCAGCCAAGTTCGTAACGCGTCGTGCTTATCCAAGAATGTGGTAAGCATCCTCGAAATTTCCAGGCTTTCCTCTTTATGAGCTGTACACTTTTCCATCAAACAAATCTTGCGATTTTCCAATTCTTCTACAGTATTTTTTATACCCTAAATACGACATACATGTATATTCAATACTATGTCATTCACATCTATTTTTCGATAAAATATATATGGCAAATAATCTGCATTTAATTAATATACGAATTATTGTATCCTCTCAGTAACAATACGACCGTCTTACAAAACCAAAGAGAAACCTCTCACTGGTAGCTTGACTTAATGCACGATAATAAGTACGTAACGATTAATTATCAGCTGTAATTAATCGGTTAATCTGACCTCGGCACCAGGCGCTCCTCTTCCCGTGACATTCAGCAGCGCGTATCCTTCGGACAAGGGCTTTGAAGTCACATCTTCTATCGTAGTCACCGCTTGTGCATGAAAACGCGCAAGTCGCGAGGAGTAAGGAGGATGCTCCGTTGTCATCAACTGAATCTCCAATTGGTCCAGCTTTGTCATAGCCTATGCATATCGCGTGATATCGCGATTAAGTTCAAACTGACTAACGCAATTTAATAAACGTAATGCTACATTGCTTAATTGATTAAATTCTACGCAAATGATAAAAAAAAACACTCACCGATCGTGCAAGTTCGAAAAAGATCATCGCCTTGTTCAACAATGTATTATGCTGATCCAAGTCGTTGACATAATCGGCGGCGACGCTAAGAATCGCGTACGCCTGTTCGGTCGCTTGTTCGCCAGCAAAGTGTCCCGATGACACTAATCGTTCGGTCGATTTAGTTATTTTAATAGCTCTGTCTTGAAATTCCTGGAAAAATTCAACTAATTTTTTTAGTAATGTAATTACTATGATATAATAATATAATTATATAATATAATTACATATGTATGTGTCACAATCACTCATGCAAGATTGAACCTATCTAATTGTATCCTTAGATATTAATTAAACTATTCTTTTTAATTAAACTTTTAATTAAACTATTTTTTTTCGTAAATACCTTTGCTTCGGCTTGCAACTTCTTCAGTTCGAAGAGAAGCAGTTCGGCGCTAGATGCAGAATCACCTAATTGATCGCAGCTGTTCGCTAACGCGGCGATTCTGTCGTTGAGAATTTCCTCGAGATCGCGAAGATCGGTCGCGAGCAACGCGAGAGCGAGGCATTGCTCTAATTGGGTTTTTCTATTGCGGAAAGACGTCTCGATTAGCCGCCGTCTGTCGTGAAGCTCCTCCAGCCACCTTTCAACTCGCAGTACGGCTAACAAAAAGTACGATATTTGTAAATCTTTAATTTACAAAAATCTTTAACTTGCGAAAAAATCAATCCCAGATATTGAAATAAACACACCGTGATTAGCTTCGTCTTTAATCGTATCTGGCCTGGAGTCCAAGGTGCCTTCGTTCGCCAATTCTTTCAGTTCGTCCAACAACATCTTGCCTTCGCGCAACGCGCCCATCAGCGCTTCCAGCATATCTTTGCGAAGATCCTGGATCTTGGATAAAAAACTTTTCACCGCTTCGATCTCGATCGGCAGTAACGTGTCATTACACGCCATTTCCAATGCCTCCATACTCTCTCTACATTCTGTCGCTCGACTAAAAGAAAAGAAATCATTTTTCGAATAATCAATGCAATCCGCACAAATCAGGCACAATTAATTAATTATGTTGCTGTACCATTGAAATAAAACGTTTCGGTCAAGTATCTCCTTTCGACGTTCTAAAAGTTGATTTACATCGCGCCACGCTTGACCCAATGTCTCTGCCATGGCCTTATATACTTCCGCTTTTGATCTCTGGGTCGCGATCAATTGATCAGCCTGCCGTAACAATTCTTCCACCGGGCTCTGCTTGTTCTGTGATCATGTCAAAATTTTTGAACTAACGGGGTGGAGAACTTTAAGCGATCCACTTAATCATATTTTGATGTAATTTTTAAAATGCAGCATAGAAAGTTTAAAACTGTACCCGTAATCGATGTAACACTTGGTCGTGCGCGTTCGAGAGTTCCGTGGCTTCTTTTGCGGAAGCACCGAGTCTCGTTAGTTCTGGTTGTAGCTCGAGTATTTTCAGCTTCAGACATTCGCCACTCTGGACAAACAGTAGTAACAAAATTGGAAATCTTCCGCATGACTATATAAATGACACAATATAATTGTGGATATTCTTAGATATATCGCCTGCTTTCTATTAATTCGTCATTTGCATGATTATAATATTACATTCTTCAATTATATAGCAGAATATTGTATCTAACGCCTAATTAATTATACAAAATGATAAAAGAAAATCTCAAGAAACAGAGCCACGCTATTATATAAAAAAGAGTAATAAATAAATAAAATTCTCAAATAAATTTCAGGATCATCCATAGCAGAAATTAATATATGATTTTCTAAAAATATTGTACAAAATTATTTGTCGTCTTCAGTATCATAAAAAGAGGAAAGAAAGAAGCGACAAGACAGACAGTGTAGACAGAGATCGGCCCCCAGTTCATCGACCTCATGTGGTTGGGCCACAGAAAGGGGCAAGATATGATTCCATTTTCATCTTTGGCACACTGCCGAATATCCACGTTTGGATTGACCAGTTCTCTCTTCTGGTATCGCCATATATCGGTAACACAAAATCGTTTCCTTTTTTTTATCTCGACATTTGTACGAAGATACTGTCTTTTCTGGCCATTTTTTCCAAAGATACTGGAATAGCTGTGACGATAAGAAACGCAATTACTGAACATGTTTAAATATGCGTTTGCTAAAACCGTGTAAAACATTATATTGTCTAATGGATAAATTTAAAAAACGCGACACGTTATTCTCGCAGTCAAAGTGAAAGCGAATCTCATAGCCGGCGGCTCAAATCAAACATGATTCCGTAAAGTCTTGCGTACATAACTGCTGGTATGTCCAAACATGGCCATATTCGGATATTTGAGAGCTGCACACAACTCGATTATAAAATAATAAAAGATTCGACAAAACTTCAAGCAAAGATAAAAATTTTAAGATCGATCGATGCTATGAGAAAAATAATTAAATTAATCTATTATTATTTGTTGATTTTTCTCAAGATATTGATTATTCGCTTGTAGGAGATTATTTACTAATAAATCCGATAAAAAGCAAATTCAGAAGATTCATGATAAAATCTTGAAATATAAAATGTTGACAGATCAAATTCTAGTAGAGATAAAACTGCGCAGAAAAATCTCACGCGTTTAAAGTTCTCGCTTAAAGATCTTTTTCTCCTTTTTCGGATGCAGAAGTCGGAGAGTATCGTTAGATCGTAGGTACGATATATTGGGAAAGGTGCGGTAAAAGGAAGAATCGTGCCGCGAGTCAAGCCGGGCCGGATTGGGCCCGGGCCGCCCCGAGCCGTCTCTCGTATAATACCGGTTTGTTAGATTATACGAGAGTATATGCGCGGATCCTCGCCGTATAAAAGATCTTTTTGGTTCGATATGACCTCACAGACTACTAAGTTTATTTGTTGATTTATCTATTAATCGTCTCGCAGGATTCTCTTTACATAATTCAGTACAATTTAAGCCATGTACATATTGAAAGAGATATTTATCTAAATAATCTCTCATCGAATCGATGTAAAAATTAAACATTTAATTAAAAAGACACTTGGTTTTATCACTTTATATATCCTAATTACTTTCGCTAGAAGGATAATCGAAACAATAAAGAAATTGATCAATTTTAATACCGTGACTTCTCCTCGCTCACTCGGATTGTGCCATCGTGATTTTAAGATCGAGATGGGTGTATCTGATCATGGTGGCGTGTAATGGGAGTTACTGTACCTAGCGGTTAAATTTATCCTTCGTGGAGTTTCGGGAGACTCGTTTTGCTCAGCGGATACCTAAAACGCTTACAGTTTCGAGAGGACTCGGAAATAGCTATAGACCGAAGCAACCGAATCCCGAAATACACCATAGCATTATATACGAGGTATCGCGACGAAAGATTTTATCCTTAATCAAAAATTACATAAACATAGAGACAGCTTGGAGGGGAAATCGTCAAGCAATTTCTCGCATATACTATTTTTAAAATGTAAATTTAAACATGATGAAAGAGAAGAGGCTCACACATAAAAATAGAGAATACAAATTATCGTCGATAAGTCAAGTGACAGCGTGACATTTCCTTACTTGAAGCAGAGCGATTACTACACGCGTTTCTCCGCTTTGCACAGCTATGGTGCTTATAGTGGTAGTTGGAGGGATGGTTCGTTGCGACGTTTCCTCGTTTCTTCGCATCATTATTCCTGAATTCATCTCGTCGGATTCTTCAAGATGCGCGTGTACCTCCATCGAGTCAGGACCGTCCACCATCATCATTAGTAGTCTTATCTCCCGCGCGATACCAAATATTCGGATCTGAACGTCAATCGATTAGGCGACTGCCAATTATGTTTGGATATAATTCTATTATGAAATTATTAACATTTGTGATTGATATATGCTTGATATTGTTATAAATCGAGCTATTAAATCGACGAACGAATTGCTAAGAAATTAAAATAATATTACGCCATACGACGATATCTCTCTCTTTCGTACGGTTTTGACCGGACAGTGATTTCAATGCCTGGTGCTAAATATACACAGTGACGTATATCAATCTAAAACGCGACACAATAAACATCTTGCTCATCGATATTCTCAAAGAGATATAGAGAGAGATTTCACCGATGAAAAATTATATATTTTTCAGTTGGCACGCGATGTGTTATCTTCCCTGACGTTATTTTTGGCACTTGGCCAGAAACGCCAGTAAGAAAATTTCGTGAATATATAACGAGGAGAGCTGTTGTGTAGATTATGTTTATCGTATGACAAATGAACGAACATTACGCAAGACTTTTTTTTAATCTCTTGAGGCTCGACTTTGCTCGATTTTGCAGCGATTTTTTAAAACTGTCAGAGAAATTATATTTCTGACAATCTTGTTAAGATATTTCGATTGTACGAAAAGTAAGAATAATATTTTAAACTATTTATTAATTTACAATTATAATTAATTAATTAAAGAAATTAAAGAAAATCGATTTTAAAAAAATGTAATCTTGCTTATTGAAGTACTCGCGCGTATTTGGACTTTTTGACTCAACATCGATATGTTTATACTTTATATAAATATCTTTATATACGATGACGTCATCTACACGAACGGACAAATGGTAGAATAAAACCGGACTGACTGGTAGCGTTCTTTCGACAACAAGTACATCATGGTGAGAATCACTACTGAAGATGATTTAGAGATGATAAGAGAAAACACTATGCTAAATTTTTTTATATATTTTTGAAAAAATGTTTTAATTTATTAAATTCATTTATATTTTTTATCTTGTATCAGAGGATTATATTTAATTATATTTGCGGATAATTTGATCGACTCTTGTATTCAAGAAACTCTCCAATCATTATTAATATTGTGACATTTGTTCACAATTATATAAATTATCCATTTATAATTTAAAATAATGGAGATATTTGACAAGCTTTTCTTTCAAGTTTTATTTTCTTTAGTTACATAATTTAAGTTAGAAAAAATCTGAAAAAGAGATTTTCTCATTTCTCTCAGTAGATTGCAAAAGTCTTCGACAATGACATTTTAATGAGATATCTTTAAGGTGGCGCACCCCGAGTTACAGAACGACATTCTAGATATACGGAGTCTCTAAACGACTCGCTCCTTTTGGCATAATGTTTACTTGGCAATCACCTAAATCGATTCAAGCGTTCAGGCGGCGTTAATAGCAATAATCGACGACAACAACAGCAGAAACACTCGCGTGACACATGTCACGAGTGTATCACGTCACCAGCCGATCGGTTGCAGTAACCAGCCGAACCAAGACTGAACCGGCATGTCGCGATGCGGCCTCCGGTTAAGCCTCCTCCCGGCCGGCTGCCTCCCGCTCACCTTCGTCGCGCTAGTCGAGCATGATCTAGAGAGCGGATCTGTGCAGCGCCGACCAGCGTCGAATGAAAGTCGAGCGATCGTAAAGGAAAGAAAGTCCAAACGTAACAGACGGTCACCCGGTATATTATCGAATAGGTGTGCCGTCAGAAAAATTTTATTTTTTAATATCGTTTATTTAAAAAAAATAACAAACACACAAGTCATGCGATATATGTCGAGAGCAGAAGAAATTCCTGTAAGAATGTATTAAACTTTGATTTGCAATAGCAAAGCGTAACAAGTGTGGAGTTAATGATGCCGTTTCTTCTTCGTTCCTTTGATCATGCAGATGTAATATGGCATATAATAATCTCGAGACAAATTATGGCCCATGCATGGAATATCTTTTTAGACAAAGTCATTAATTCTGCATCAATAATAATTTACTCAGGAGAGTTTTGATATAAAATCTGCCTTCGTCAAAGCTGCAAATATAATTTTGAGGATTAAGTGAGTAGTCGTAGCTTTATTTAGTGCGATATCAAGCTTATAGAAATATTTAAATAAATGTAAATCACACTAAGCATATGTCAGTAGCTAAATTATGTTTAAGAGATGACAAAAACAGACGAAAAGTTTAGTTGACTAATGATATGACTGTTACTCTCGTGAAATTAACGAGAAAATTTAATCGAGCATTGATGATCGAAATTATGCAAACAATCAAATTTTCCCTGTCGATTATGATATCTTGATCCAAGACTCACCTTCCTCGCTCTTTCGAGAAAATCTTCGCCTTCCAAATTATCCTCCTTCTTCATCGGTGACATGTCGATTCCACTATCCTCGTGATATCGTGAAAGATCCTGCAAGGATGCATCCTCGTACTCTCGCAAATTGGAGCGCGAACTCTCATTCAATGTATGATCTCGGATCTTTGTGAGTTTCGTTGTCATACATTGATCCGATTGAATCTTCTTTGTCGGGCATTTACCGATATATTTCTCAGATTCTTCTATTGAAAAATTAAAAGATAAGCTAATAGATACAATAATAAATTTCTACTATAGGGTTATTAAACTGAAAGTACTGACTGTACTGAGATAAATCAAGATCACGATGAACATCGTCTGTTTTTTCGTGAGATTCCGCTGGTAGCACACGTTCTACATTTTGCAAATTCTTCGCGTCGATATGCTGTCGATGATCTTGCACAATATTAGAAGTTAACTTATAAGAGGCTACTCCTAATCGAATATCATGCGATACGCGTAAAACGGTCGTCTCGGTTACTTCTTTTACAATTTTGCCTGACCTCTCCTATGTAAAAATCATATAATTTATAATATATAAATAATAGATTTCACAATTCAATTTTCGAAATAATCATTTAAATTATAAGCGATCTAATAAACGAAATAAAAATTGATATAAAACAATTTTCTTTCGTCAATCAAATTGTTACGTACGTCAGTAATTTTATCCATCGTTTCAATCTGTGTTGTTGGTTTCATTTCACTCGTAGTGCAGATATTTGGTGTCGCCTCAGTAAATTTTAACACCTGATTTTCATTGTTTGGAGCAGAAAGAGATTCCGCGATAGTTGAAGGTATTTCGGTAGTTGCTACTTTAGACATTTCGGTGGCCCTGTAAATATTCGAATATTTGAGTTAATGAAAGATGAAATTTTCGAATATATAGATCTATGATTTTAATTACAAATTTAAAATAATATTAATATTTGCATAAATACCAAGTAGAATCGAGATTCGTCACGGGTGCCGTTGTAGAAAGATCTTCGCATTCCGGCGAAGTTACAAAAGATTCACTTCTGGAACACGGAGGTGGAGTTATTGAGCATTCAGTCGCCGTTGTATAATACTCCACATTGTATTCTTCTGCCGTACTTTCGCTACGAGGAGTAAGCTCCTACAAAAAAAATATATTTTAAAAATACTATATAATAAATATTTTAATAATACTTTAAAATATTTTTTAAATGAGAGAGACAGGTAGATATCTGTCATATAATCGATATTAAAATTCAACATACCTTGGCACTGGAATCTTTATTCGATGTCTCGACATTCTCTACGAAATGTGAGCTCGGGATGTGAAGTAAACTCTCATCAGACTTTTCCGCCATAGGAGTTAGGGACTTGGCAACCACAGTCGTAGTTTCCGCTGGACGTATTTGACTAATTGAAGACGCAATCGAAACTGTCGCAGCCGATGCCGGTGCGGTTGCAATAGAAGTCGCGCGGATGGGCGTGCCTGATGGCGATATAGCAGATATCGAGAGCAAGGACGAAGCGGAAGACGTCACAGCGGTAGGAATAGATATCGGTCGAGTTCTAGCTCCGGCTTCGCATAGTCTCGCATCCAGTTTTTCCGCGAGACGCGTAACTTCCGCCAATTTCGCCGAGATAGCTTCCACAGCTGTCAGATTACTGCCGAGAATCGAGGTGTCCTCGGCATCGGACATCCTAAGAGAGATGGATATTTATTAGTCGAATCGATATTCTATAAATAGACATGTTTTTCCTGGACCTCTAAAAAAATCCCAGAAGGTTAGCACAATTCCAGTGAGTTTTATGAATTTCCACAAACAGTTTTGCAATCTGTAACATTGTTTTCTTCCAACTTACTCCTATAATTTCCTCGCAATTGTGTGAAACTGCTATTAAGAAATGTTAGAGCAATAAGCTATTTTATTCGCACATCTGTATCAGTTTCGCAACATTTATTTTATTCTCTCCATACGATTAGATGCAATCTAAAATTGGGACCATGATTGAATTGGAAATAGCAAGTTGTTAAGAAAACATTTTGGTGGATTACGTAATTGATAGTTGACAGTGCATCGACAGTACGTCGACACACATGGCCTCCACGATTTGGGACAAAGTTCTAATTTCGTAGATCACGTTTGTTCTACGCAGAATGCGATTGCTACGTAAAATATCAAAAATTTTAAAGATAATTTTTATTCAAAAATTTTATTAAAAAGATTGTATATCTAGCATGTTTATTTTTCTTTTTTCATTATGATTTAAGTATGAAGAAATAATTCTCTGAAGCGATGAATGATTTTTCACGACACAAATTAAAATATTATCGAGGGATTTGCGTTACCAGTCGAGTTTTAGATTATAATATGATCGTGGAACGAAGCCAACGAATTGTGGAACGCAATTCCTCGTTATCCATGAATATATAATAATTTTCAGCATGTCCATTCACACAGTGCTAAAAATGTTAGTAATAATAAAATTTATTGCTAAAGGTTTCTAGATATCTGCCTGTCAATTGGCAATATACGAGCCACATGACTATGTGTCATGACTATGGATTAAAGCAACAGGAGAATAAGGAAGATTAACGAAAATAAAAGTAAGAACATAAAATAAAAGAGATGACAATTAATTTTTAATTAAGCAAAAATCGAACAAACACATTATGAGATCTCAATTATTTTACTACAAACTTACATGTACCGTTCCTAGATTACAGGAGCTATCTCGACGAGAGCCAACCATGGACTGACACACCGTCTCTGTTAAACACGTAGGCGTTCGAGCAAACGTATTACCGGTCTCACTAGTTCTACTTATTTTTTTTATCCCAGTTATAGTTAAAAAAATAAATAAATGCAAAAAAAGTTTAACATAAATTTCTGGATCTTTATTTATATTCTATTACTACACCTCTTCTTTTTCTTTCGGAATTTCTGTATCTGTTTACTTTCTACCATTTTATCTCCCTAGTTTGTCTTTCTAGTTTTATTTTTTAGTTAGATACTTAAATTAAAAGAAGGAGTGTTTTATTAATCATAATTATGCTCATGCGAGGCCGCTCCGTAAGCTCCTCGTCGTACTTACGATTGCTGATAAAGAGGTTCTTTTAATCTTGTTTTGAGGAGACGACCCAGTCTCACCATCCGGCCAACCTCCAATAAAAGTTTCTCTCGATTATCAAGAATATCTCTTATGTCTGTTCTGATACGCGATTTTGCTACTGCATCCTCGTCTTTTGTAGCACGATATAAGGTCGTCACCGTTTCCACCAAGTTTTGCAATCTGGCACAGTGCTTTAAATAGATTGAAGAGAAAGTTTATGGAAGATACATAGCTGACATACATGATATGCAAAATGATGATCTTTTTTGTCCTAGTAAAGTAGTGCAAGTACTACTTTCAGAGATTTGCATATTTATTTAATATTAATTCACGTTCGCATACATCTTCAACGTTCCTGTGAAAGACAGCGCATACTCGCAATCTGGTTAACTGTTCCTGGCTAACGGATCGAAATTGCCGCCAAGCTTGTCGCAATCTCGAGAAGATACCAGCGTTGCTCTCTAAAGATATTCTGCATGATAATCTTAATACGCGCGCGCCATTTACCAACTGACCACCGTATTCATAAGTCCCCTGTAAATATTCATTTTGATTGCATTCAACAATTTTGCATAAAACGGAAGAGTCTTTGCTTCATTTTATCGGACTAATCGTGTACTTTACCTTTGCAGTTTCCTGGAAGGATTGGTGTTCCTCTTTTTGCGATTGTATTTCCTTTGTATTACATCCAACTTCCATATGATTCCGAAGTAGTACGTCAAATAGATCCTTCAACCATTCAACAGCCTGAAAAATGCGTAATTTTCATATCAGATTCTTTTATAGTTTAAAAAAAAATTTTTTTAACCTTAGATCTTATTTCATACTCACCTGTTCGGCATCGCTCTCGTACATGTGTATCAAGGCAACTTGTTTCAACGATAGCTTTTGCAATTCCACGCTATCGTTAAAGATATTTTTCCTCGCGTTTGTTGCGTCTAATATATCTTTTACGTTTATGATATCTTCGTTGTAATTCACGTAAACTTCTCGTCCAAGCGCATCCTTCACCGGCATAGAGAGAATATCCGACAATTTCTCGCCTTCCTTTACGAGTTCGCGCTCTAAATTGTCTGGAGAATTATTCAAGCATGTTGAATATAAAGTTTAAAATATTAATATCTGATGAATCGTGTCTCTTGTTTTTACCTAAAACTGTTTGACTTTTCTCCAATGTTAAAAGCTTAACACTCGCCTGAGAGAAATTATAATTCCTGCTGCCCATGACTAACTTTTCAAACACTTCACTCGTTCTATCAAAGTACTGTAAGCAACAAGTTATAAAGAAACGTTTTTTAATTATTCGATCATTTATTTCTTACCTCAGAGACAAGCCTGAAAAATCTCTGCGAAGTAATCAATACATTTCTACGTCTTTCGAGTCGTGAAGCAAAACTACGACAAACAAAGTCCATGAAATCTCTCTGAGATTTTAAGTCTTCGGGTAGTCTGCTTTTTGGGAGACTATCAATTTTATGGAGCAATTCCGCGTATCGTCCATAAGTTTCCTGTAAATATATATTATAATTATTTTCTATTACCACAATTTTCTACAATAAAATAAAAAATAGTAAGGTTTTGTTTACCCGACATTGAAGCTCAAGCTTTTCATGCTGTCTTCGCAGTTCCTCGGAAGAAGAAACATCGAAACCGACCTGACAGCAAGAGTTTAGCATCATATCCGCTGGACCCAGGATCCAATCGGTGACACTCGATACACCCTGCTCGAGATCTTCGATGATTCTGGCAGTATCTAAATTTCGTTCCATTTCTATCCACGAATTTTCAATGTCCATCTAAAAATATAAAATGCTAAATTAATTAAAAAAAACAGATTTGAATAAATAAGTCTTAAATGCACTTAATTACCTGTTTTAATTCGATAGCATCGAGCAGTTTATGAATTTCTTTAATCATGTCCAAAGCATCTTTGGAAGATTCTCTGCTCATAGAACTGACTAGGTTTCTACCTAACATGCATATATAAAATTTATTTAATTTTGCTACAATTTTTACATAAGAAATTATCTCGTTCAAAACAAAAATTATTAAACTGTTATTAATATATATCCTTATTACTTCATATTCAAATATAATTCTAATTTTAAAAAATCTAAGAAAGATAATATGTAGACCTGATTGAAGTATGTGACGTGCCATTGATAACAATTCTGTACCGATCTCCCAATAAGATTCTATATCGTCGTCTGATTGCGTCATACGAATACCATCAAGAGTATTCAATCTTTGATGTAAATTTGTCATCTTCGATATTAGTTCTAACGCGTCTCTCGAATAATCTTCTATTTTCTATCAAATCAAAATATCAAAAAATTTACATATCACCCGTATTTTTATAATTTATATTAATTTATGATAAAAATATTTAATTTACCATACGTTTCTTAATCCATTCTACGTGATTGTATGCCTTGTTACCTGCCAACTCGTACGGTAATTGAGAAAAGTCGATATAAACGTGCAATCTCGTTAGAGTAACGTATATTGGCTAGAACGTAAATTAGTGAGAAGATAAATATAAATTTTCGATTATTTTTTTATGTAATAAAGTTGCGATAAATTTGTCAGATTCATTCATTCACTAACTTCTCCCTCCTTATGCGACTTGGTACAACTATCAACGCGTTTGTCCCAGAAGCCATCGGGACGTACCACGATCACGGAAACGGCTGTTGATCCTGCGAGATTCGTGGATAGCCTAATACAGGATCTAGCTACGCGCCATGCACCACGACGCGCGTCCACGATTAAAGCCAAACCCTTTTCTTTCGTTTCTTCGCTAATTAATAAAAAAAAATATCATACGTAAACTAATAATAATATACATCTATATTTATACAAATGTACAGCGAGATATTCTATACCTGAAAATCGATATAAAATATAAAATGAGAGATTCTAGTTTCGGTTTTGTTGTTGGGTCAAGTTCTGGAGGAACACTAATTACTATTAAAGGCCGTTCGTCACGATCACGACCGCCTGGAATATATGCGAGCTTCGATTCTAGAGCCTCCAGGATGTCTGTCGCTTTCAGATTTTTCATAGACATCTCTATAATTACTTGTAAAAGAAAATCATTTCAATAGTTTTCTATGGATATTCGCGATCGATCTGAAAAAGATTTGTCGACAATATATACGTGTATAAATTTCATAATTATTTCATTAAATATTTCATTATTAATTGGCGACACACTCATACACAATATTCAAATAATATGTACTTTTATAAACAATTCAAGTAGTCGAAAACAACTCCAATCAAACATTCATATATTTAAATTTGATACGTTTATTCCACAGAAAAACCAATCCGATTGTCAAGCATATATTTTACACTTTTTTAAAAACCTTGCGCACAAATATCTGTATTATGACTGTAATTAATAATATTCACTGATCTTCGGAACTAGGGACGCTGAATCGGATTCGAATCACTTGCAAAGTGTCACGACGAAACATTACGTAGGTGCGGCACACGGCCTAATATGCTTCGAATATATAGCAGAAATGTAGGAATATTAGCCAGCAGCTGTTTCGGCTCCAGGTGTTTTACATCTGCGTCCACGTGACCAACGAGGGGACTGTCGCGCCTCGGATTGACTCGAGTCGCCGTCGCACGTGTCACGTGTTAATGACGAAAGGAAAAATTGTCAAATGCATGTAGGTGTACGCACGTGCATTTATACAGAATGTGCACGAGCGTGATGCGCGGTAGATGCAGCGCGAAGCTGCAGCCGCGACGGAGGCTGCAGGAAAACCGAAAGCCATCCCTGGTCCATTCAGATACAACGGTACTTTGGCACCGATTAACCGTGTGTTCCCCCTCCTTTGCGCACACGGCCCTTCCCTTCCTCTCCTCTCTCCGTCTCTCAGATACCGCATTTTTTTACTCCTTATCTCTCTTTAGAAATGTGCAGAAATATTTTAGATGAGAAATAACGGAGATTATGGAGAGAAAATAAGAAGATATCTTCGTAGATGTCGGTTACGCGGTTCACGTGGATGACATCACGTATTTCAACATTAATAGATGTTTCAAATCATTCATTTCGTCGATATAAATTTAAATTATGGCATCTGTAACTTTTTATAGATATATATCTATAAGATAATATATCTAAATAATTTATGTACATTATAATTTAATTATAAATTTAAATCAATTATATTCAATATAAAAGCACACAAATATGTTTTACAGATAATCCAATTAATCAGTTTCTAATTAATATGTAAAAAACATGCATCCAGGAAAAAATCGTCGTCACATATGATTCTGCACTTTTTTATGAAAGTTTTTTGATCGATTAAAAATACAAAAGGTTTGTAATGACGCGATTTTATTTTAAATTATGCAATTATTTAAATATTAATTATTAATAATTTAAATATTAATTGAATATTAAATAATTATTTAAATATACTATATATTTCTCAAGATAGATGATTCATCGAATTGAATAGAATACGCCTATATCATTTAAGATTTTTAATATGCGGTAATATATTGATATCGTCTTCAACTTTCTGTATTAATTATAATACTGTATTACCACGTGGTTCCATTATATAAGATGCGAACGCGAGATCATATAAGATGAAATTTTGGGTACACATATTATATACAGTAACCATGCAGATTTTGAAATGCAAATTACGATGTACGAAACACGAAATATGAATAAAATATACGAAATACAATACATCTTCATCTGAGATATTTCGATGTAAAACATTATCAAACAATATTTTCGCAATTATTAGAAATATATATTGAAAGAAGAATATAGTTGAAGAAGAGATCAGTTAAAGAACATATCAATGGGACAAAGATAGACGTCGAGGAAAGCTGAAGAGATTTGGCGTCGCTACAGTCGACGACCACGGGGAAGTTCGCCAGTGCTGCACCGAGCCTCGCGCTATATCAAGCACATTGGCTGTCTTTCTCTTTTTTGGTCCATCTCTCTCCTTTCCTCCTACCTTCTCTCTTTTTCTCATCTTCTCTTCCTCTACCTGTCTCTCTTCCTCTTTTCATCTCTCTCTTTCTCTTCCCTTCTTTCATCTGAGTTGGTCATCATCAGAGATCAGCATCATTTTGTCATTCGATTTTTCTCAGATAAGATGTTGTCAATGTGATACTTTTGACATCTCGGAGTGTGGGAACGATCGGAAAACTGGCCAGGGACGGAGTGATCGTCGAGCCAGGCTCGATGAGAAGGAGAAAGAGGAGGCACGATAATGGGCAACGCCACGACGAAAGATTATTCGAAGAACATCTCCGTCGGCACCAATTCGAGAAAGACGCGTTGGGATGGTCCAGGTAGATCGATCTATCGCTCACATAATTTTACGAGAATCTTCAAAAAAATTGGAGAGATAAATTTTGTCCCGTTTAAATTTATATCAAGAAGGAAAAAATTCATCGATGCCTTATCAATCCATGATTCAATAAATATTGTTACATTTTAAAAAGCAAACGTAACATTTTTTTATTAGGACAACAAAATTATTGTTCACGTGATTTTAAATTCATTGAATATTATTTACGATAAATGTAATTAATATACACACTTTGTTAATCATACAGATTTAAGAAGTAAAGAGATTGCTATCAATGTTAAATCAAATTCGATTAGACGATTCCGACACCGAGATGACGGCTAAAATTAGATCGCTATTAACTATTGATCTATGTAGTTTGAAAAAAACATTTAGAGAGAGATCGCGTATTGATTTTACCATTCTTTCGGATTAATCATATTCCAAAATTCTTGTTGTTATACGATGCTCATTTTTAAAAGACAATTATTGCATAATTATTGAACGTTATACAAAAATAAGCAAAAAATAATGGTATTGAATGCTCAATTGGTAGACATTGCGTCGGTTCTATACTTTAATGTACTGCCAAACGCGACGCATTTTATTTTGGGAGCGCCACTTACATACGTACCGATGTTGAAAATTTGCTCTATATACATACGTGAGCCTCACTCTAGCAAGAATTTGCTGACATTAGCATTGTATTACTATTGTATTATATGTGTCTTGGAAAAAATAAAAAAAGAAAAGAAGAAATATTAATAAATAATAATAAATATGAATTTCATAAATGTTTAAATTGCACATGTAAAAAAATTAAATAAATATTAATAAAATAATTTTACATCGAGCGATCTTTACCATTTTAATTTCCATTTTGTTGAGATATCCGTAAACATTCGGCATACACTATCTTAGGCCTTCCAGCCCCGCCAGGCAAACCTATCTTAATATCGGGTACGGACGAAACGCAGCCGGATGTTGTGGCGATACGATGGGAGAGGTCGCCGAGTAACGGTGGATCAGCGATCGTCGGATACTTGGTCGAACATCGACGACTGGGCTCTTCTCACTGGGTACGAAGCAGCTCCGATCTGTGTGCCTTTCCGGAGCTAACTCTGAGCGGTCTCCAGCCAGGATGGCGCTACCAATTTCGAGTCAGAGCGCAGAATGCAGTCGGACTTTCGCGGCCGAGCGAAATCTCCGAGCCGCTGACAGTTACCTTACAAAGGGCCGCCGCAGCTTGCGTTCCTCATTTCGATCTGGAGCTCAAGGATACGACTGTGCTGGAGAACGAACAGGTATGTGTTTATGCTGCGTGTATGTTAAAATTTCAATGTAATGATAATTTTGCCCATAGGCCGAGTTTGTTGTACAATTCTCCGGTACACCGTTGCCGAAAATCTCGTGGCTGAAGGACGGTTTTGAGATTTTTAGCAGTAGACGCACTAGGATTATTACAGACAACGGAAAAAGCGTTCTTCTGATTCATCAAACTGCGCATAACGACGAAGGTGAAATCAAATGTACCGCCACCAATCGAGCGGGTCATGTTGCTACCAGAGCTAAATTAATTCTCGAAGGTGAGATAAACTTACAATTAAGAAAATATGGCTTCCTTGTAATTTTGATGAATTTCTAAACGTTATTTATGCATTTAGCATCACCGCGGATACGGCTACCACGTCAATACGAGGACGGTTTGCTTTTCGAGCAAGATGAGACCATCAGATTGAAGGTATCCTTGGCAGGTAAGCCATCGCCTACTGTCACCTGGTTTCATGACGGGGAGCTGATATCCCAGGATGCTAGACACATATTTGAGGTGATGGACGGTGAATCAGCTTTGAAAATACCAGATGCCAAACGAAATGATCGAGGCGAATATACCGTCAAAGCCACGAACAAATTGGGTGAAGATGTTGCGTCTTTTCTGGTCACTGTAACAGGTGTGTAATTACGTTACATTAATATTCAGATATTAAATTTAAATTTTCTTGAAGATCGCCAGTAAATAAATAAAAGAAGTAGTTAAAATCGATCAACACTGGCAATATTTATTGAGGTAAAAAATCACAATCACGACGTTTCGACCATAGGTTTTGGTCCTTTTCGAGTGAACTACAAAAAAATTATTTCCAGTAATACAACAAATAAGAAAAATTAATGATACTAAATTACATAGATGTTCAATAAGATTTGAGCAACAAGTTATATACATACAGTAATTAAATTAACAGTTCTATCGTGAGAAATAAGAAATCACTTCGTCAAGATTATCATGTCACTGTCTCCATCAACACACAGAGAAAGACTAGACAACCTTTATTATTCTATCATAAATATTGTTGAAATATTGTTATTGAACCATATTTATGATAGAATAATAAAGGTTGTCTAGTCTTTCTCTGTGTGTTGATGGAGACAGTGACATGATAATCTTGACGAAGTGATTTCTTATTTCTCACGATAGAACTGTTAATTTAATTACTGTATGTTATCATGTCACTGTCTCCATCAACACACAGAGAAAGACTAGACAATCTTTATTATTCTATCATAAATATTGTTGAAATATTGTTATTGAACCATATTTATGATAGAATAATAAAGGTTGTCTAGTCTTTCTCTGTGTGTCGATGGAGACAATGACATGATAATCTTGACGAAGTGATTTCTTATTTCTCACGATAGAACTGTTAATTTAATTACTGTATGTATATAACTTGTTGCTCAAATCTTATTGAACATCTATGTAATTTAGTATCATTAATTTTTCTTGTTTGTTGTATTACTGGAAATAATTTTTTTGTAGTTCACTCGAAAAGGACCAAAACCTATGGTCGAAACGTCGTGATTGTGATTTTTTACCTCAATAAATATTGCCAGTGTTGATCGATTTTAACTACTTCATTCAGATATTAGTTTTTTAAAACTCTTTATAATATATTCTTTATAATTTACTAGTTTTTTGCGTCATTAATTTTTGTCAACAGATCGGCCCGCTGCTCCCGGAAAAGTGACTGTCGAAATGACTCTTGGTAGATCGGTGACATTATCGTGGAAAGAACCAGAGGATGATGGCGGATGCAAGATCGGGACTTACATCGTCGAATATTATAGAGTACGCGATCGAAAATATTTTTATTCGCGTAAATTTTTAGAAACTGATTGCAACGATTGTTTCAGATTGGCTGGGAAGTGTGGCTTAAAGCAACGACAAGCAGACGCACCAGCGCAACGTTAACAGAACTGATCGAAGGCTCTGAATATAAATTTCGGGTGAAGGCTGAAAATCCTTACGGAGTCAGCGATCCTAGCGAAGAAAGCGACATTGTCTTTATTCCAGATCTTAAACGAAGGTACTTTACTGTCACCGTGGCTTTCTCCACTTTGATATATTTTTTTATCTGCGCAAAAATAAATTCATAGTCTTATATTTGTAGAATTGTAACACCTTTGAGTGAGAAGTCGCAAAGCCACAGAGAAATCAGTAGATCTCGCGGCGACAAACGCGAGGTGAGTTTTACTATGCCGGCGCAAAGAACTAGGAGTTTAACGAGGGAAGAAGCGAGAACGCGAAATGACGAAGACAGCGATCGTTTCGCATACGATGAGCGATCTGCTTCAACACAACGACTCACAACGCCGATTTCTACGCTGGATAGGCCGTCGAGAGCAGACAGTAGAGTGACATTTGCACCGGATACTTTGGAGAAGGAACCACCAGTTCCTCCAGTTAGATCCAGAGATCACGCTTCCACAAAGCAACAAATTTCTCCTGGAAATCATACAGACAGATCGAATATTATGGCAGATATAAAAGACAAGGTAAAAAAAGAATAAATATAAAAGATACGTTAATTCAATTACAGATTAGAAAGTATATACATGTTTTTGGCATTGTAGCAAGATATTGTTGTAAAGAGAGAAAGAACAATGTCGCCCAGACCAACCGTGACAGTCTCTTCTCCGGTCGAGGAAGATTTCAAACCACGCTCGGTATCTATGGCAAAAGAAAGAAGAAGTCTTTCTCCGCTTTCGATGCCAAGAGCTCAAGAATACCAGAAAGAGGAGAATCGCCCCACGTCTACCCATCTTTTATCATTTTCAAATTCGAGTCTGAAAAGACAGACCGTCCTAAATGAACCCATGTTACTTTCACCGCATAATAGCCTACAATTGCAAAAGATGTCACGAGAGGATGATGAAGACGCTTTACACGGTAGCTCGGAGTTTATGCTGGTTCTATACCCGGAGGATGAGACGCAAGAGGAAAATATGACGAATGAAACTCGCAGAAGTAAGTGCGCGTGAAAAATCCTACAATAAAACATCTTTGAAAAACAAATGCATTCATTTTTTAGGTAACAAACATGACATAATCGAGTTGACGGAAGAGGAGAGCGATCTTATACCGCCGCCAATATCATTGTCTCTTCCGGAATTATTCAGTCCGCAGCATGAAATAGTCGAAGTGATGCGAGCAGCGGTCAGCTCCACCGAACTTCTCCACGAACGAGCCATGGAACGTTTCTATCGCGCGGTCGCCGCCGAAGAGGCATCCGAGATTGCCAAACAGAAGACGCAGCTTGAGAGGCAAACCGGCGAATTGGCCCTATTAAATGTCGAATCTGCTCAGAAATCGTCTCTTCTAAGACGCCTATCCAATTCTGGCGTCACGACTCAGAATTTATTCGTCTCGTGGCAAGCTAAAAAGAATCGTCGAAGATCGAGCGAGGGACAAACCGAAACAACCCCGAAAATAATGAAACATCTCTCGCCGGCTTTGCTGCCGGATGTCGAAGCCAGGTCGGATCCGAATCTCCCGTCTGAAACGACGATGGCCGATTCCTGGAGGAGGAGCAACGAGGACGAATCTGTAGAGCGTCTGCGTAGATGGCACGAAACGAACGTACCATTGTCGGAGGAGGTGCAAGAAAAATCGATACGAACAGATGACGAAGAGGGGATGGCAGCTTCCATAACTGTAAACAGAGCCAAGGAAATGGAAGAGGAAATTAATAGCATCGAAACTTCCGAAGAATCGTCGGAAGAGATTAGTAGTGCGGATAGCGAAGACTTGAAGTCATTAAAATCAAGGATTCTAGCGAGACAAGTTATCGATGAAGAAGATACTTATCATCCTAGAGGAAGGCCAATTCCACATGTCGAGCCAGAATTGCCACAGATTTCGTACGATAGAATGACAAGCTTGGAGACTCCACCTGTCAGAGCACTTACTCCTGTCTCGCCGAGCAACATAGTACCAAAATCTATCTTGAAGAAACCCAAGGAAGAAATTTCTTCAGATAATTTTGACGGATCGGTTTCTCCAGAAATACCAATTAGACAGATATCGCCGCAGCCCTATGAACAAGAAAATATAGAAAAGGTAATTGATGTTGAGGAGAAAATCACAGATTTTTCGAGCATATCCGAGGCTCTAAAGACACCTACAATGTCGGAATCCGATACAGATAGCATCTTATCGGCAGCAGAAGCGGCGAAAAATCGACGAATGCAATCGAAATTGCGATCCATAACACCTGAAGAAGAGGCGGAAATAGAGGCCAGAATGGCAGTCGTGAATCAATACACCGAGATAGTTCGCGAGTACGCGAGTCATTCGCGACACGGTAGCGCAGCCAGTTCTCGAAGATCTTCCATTTCCGAGGATCAAGCGGATCTAAAGCATCGAGTGCAGGAAAAACTTGCGCCGAAGCTAGCAGATAAACAAGAGCAGAATGAGGCGAAATTAAAAATTAAAGATAAGGATAAAGTCGACAAACAAGTAAAAAATAATCAAGCGCCAGCAGTTGTCAAAAAAGAAGGTGCTAATTCCAGAGGCACGACTCCTGCGAAAGACACAACGATTGCGAAGCGCGGAAGTAGACCGACTTCCCGAGACCAATCTCCGGCTGCCAGAAAAAGGGAACGAACGACAGATGCTTCATCGAGATCATCCTCGAAGACTCGAAATCGTACGCCTTCTCTGGAAAGAAACAATCGATCATTAGCGAAAAACGATTTAAACGAACAAGGCTCTCGTAGATCTAAAATACCTTCTCGCCCTTCCTCGCGTTCCTCTTCGAGATCAAACTCTAAAGAGAGGTTTAGAGCGACGGTATCGGCGGAATCAAAATCCGAGAAGCTGCAGAAGGCACTCGAGAGTAACAAGTATCGAGCGATGAAAAAAGAACCCGAGGTTACCAAGGAAAATGCCAGGAAAAGCACACCCGAACAGACAGGTAGCAAGCAGTTAGCTCTGGAAGCTAAAAACACGGTCAGATCGACAGTGGACTACATAACCGATTTAACGTTGCTGATGGCCGCGATGTACGTTTATTTCTTCAAAAAGGAAACCTTGGCGGTTCCGTTTATCGCTCTACTTCTATATCGAAGAATACAGGAGGAAATTCACGGGTGGATGCCACGTCGCTGGTGGCGGTCCACCAAGAAACCCTGATTGACCTACGTGTGTGTGCAAATGGTCATATATATTTTATGTACATCATGTTTTCCAATCAAACTATGCTAAATGATTACCAAAGAAATAATATATCTTACGTTGAAACGATATAACATATCGAGAATTGCAAACTATTTATGACATCCTTCACATGTAATTTTATCGATACTCGTTATTGTTATCCGCTTTATTTATAATAAATATTAAAATTCCTTATCTCTAATAAATTATATACATATTTTCACCAAACTCCAATATTATGTGTACTTTTTATTATACATATATTCCATTACTTTGCACATTCTCATATTACGTTATACCTTATTATATAAATAACTACAATACTTCGAGACATTTACCTTTCGAAAAACATTATTTACTGCGTTCATTTGATATAGTATGCGAATTATAAATGTTCATGTTGGAAAAATTTCCGTATCGGATGTAATAATTTTTGTTCGCATTCTGAAAATATTCTACATACTTATTTAATTCGCTAAATTTCGCGACTCGAAAATATGTGCGCGGATCAGATACCTGCGAGATAAATCTTAGTTTCGCGCGTTAAAAGCAAAAGGAAAAGTGAAAATAGGAACGTCGGCGCAGTTACATCAGCGAAAGAGAGACAAAGAATGGAAAAACGAGGGTATGTAGATCCCGAACGGCGCATGTGCTTCTTTCGTTAAAACGACGAAGCCGAGAGCGCGGCGTCGGGACGAGCGGGCCCTGCGCAGACGTTTCGTGGCGTAGGGTGTGCTGTATCAATATAGGGTCAAGACAGGAACAAGCTGGCCGGTGGTGGTGGTGAACGGTGCAGATCTTCCCGAGTAATACACGCGTACGTACGTCGGCCCTTCGCGAGTAATGTCAATGCACGGAAAGACCGTTCTACGTAACGTTTAACGAGATGACCTTAACAGGTAAGATGCACAGTTGAGTCGTCGTAGTGCATTAGCCGGTATTAACCGGCATTGACGAACCGCCGGTTCACCTAAGACGATACACAATGAAGAGATTTGGGGCAAAAGTGCGAAATTTTTATGTTTTATACGCGCACCTTATTTTTATATATTTTGCCGTGCTTGCCAGTGAAAAAAAAAAGTTTGTCACAATTGCCATTACGTGGTATATAAATAAGTATTGTCATAGGAATGTACAACATTGTCGAAATCTTTTCCAATCAATGTATATATTCAAATTAAAATATAAATGATAATCAAGCGCTTGATTGAAAAGAATTCATGAACAAAAACTTTAATTAAAAATAAAATGCAAAATTTTATATATATACAATACTTACTAAAAATGAAATTATTACTTTTCTCCCCCAAATTTCATCTCTGATAGGTCTGGGGTGGGTCAATTTGTCTTATATTTGTCTTATATTTAACTTACATATATCTCGCAGTATTTTATGACTAATATAAAACGCACAATCGCGGTTGCGCGGTTTAAAATACATTTAACGATCATAATTGATCTCTTCGCGGAATCATAGTGTTTTGATTCAATATAAATATCGGTGGCGTTGTTTGCCAAAAAATTTTTGTTAAGCAAACGTGAAAATATTTATTTATGTTAATGGTGCAATCTGGACATGCGTGGGTGCATCCGATCGAAATTCCGAACGCACTTAACATCGTAAAATTTACAAGTAACAGCGGCTTCTTTCGGAAGGTAAATACGATCGTAAAGATTTATAGATCGGCTACGTTTTATTTTCTTAAGTGGTTCCGCTTTACTACACTTTACTGAAATATAGTCATCTATATTTATGCTACTATTTTGCATATGTACCTACTATATCGCCATTCCTGTAGCCATTTTGCAAAGCACGTGAATCTCGAAATAGCGGAATAACTTTTCAACAGTAAATTTCCTCCCATCATCGAGTATTGATAAAGCATATATCTTTCTTTTAAATATAAACAAAATCTCTTATATTGAAGCTAATTAATTTTCTTATTATGAAAATAGGAGAGTATAATTACTTTGCATATATACCTGTTGCTCTCGTATTGCGATATTTTAACAATAATCTTTTTCGTGTTATCGTTCATTCTCATATACCGGCCTTAATTTTATATAGGACCTTGGGACGTGCCAAGGATCAAACGCGAGTTATTTTAAGCTGTCGCGCACTTAATTTCGGAGAACTGAATTACACTTACCGCGTATAATTTTCCTCAATATTCTTGTATGGATCGTCATTCCAGCAATGTCGAGAATGTGAACAATACGTACGCTCGATGCATAGTTTTGCTAATAATTATTTGCCAGTAAAAATGAGCGATATATAATTGTAAATAATATAATAGTTTACGTGATATATTTCAGTCGCCATAAGACTAAAAATAATTAATGCTTGGTTTAAAAAACGCTTCAGTCTGAGTCATATAGATACTTATTACGCGAATGTGATCTCATCTACCTTATTTTAAACTCATAGATAAGTATTTATAATATGTACTATCATTAATTTGAAATATAAAGTCCCATAAAGATGTAGATTTCAAAATTGTTAAAAATTTATTTTTAATTTTGATCTGATAAATTCCATGATTGGTAGATTAATAAATCTACTCTCTCGTGGGAATGAATTTGCCGAATTATATTTCACTTTGCACATGACATGAAAAATCATATATATTGTAGACAATCGGCAAGCTTCGAGATATTTTAATCGTCGCGATAGATGATTTGTTACTCTACGTCACGTCAATGATATATGAATAAATTACAAATATCTTGAATTCAGAATTCCTCCTCGCGCGAGGACGTAACTTTATATAAGTTAATTTCGACCGCGAAATTTTCGCGAAAAGACGAAAGAGACGCCGATGCCTTTGCCCGGTCCAACTATATTCCACGGTTGGCTCTCGCTAGCTTCTATATGAGAGATAGTTGGTTGCTTACGTTGCGGTTCCTTGAAACTATATACACGAAATCGTTGATGGAGGTGGAAAATTTGGAGGGGACAGTCTGACGTTAGCGTCGCGCTATCAGTCTGATGCTGAAAGAGCGTCGCGACGACCGATGAACCCCTAAGAAAGGGTGCTAAACCATTCGCTTTTTGTGTGCATCGGTACGCGTCTCTTATCCATCGATATAGAAAAGGTGCTTGTGTGCTCTATCGAGATTGGAAGTTGTCGAAATCCTAATCCTTCAAGCTCAATCATGCTGGTATGCATCGTTGTGCGCTTTTCTTTCGAAAAAATAAATAATTGCGCTTAATCATCAATGAAAAACATAAGCGAGGAATCGCTTCTTTACCGTTTCTGTCTTTGGTGATGAGAAATCATCTAAAAAACATAAAAGTTCATGTAAGTTTCAAAGTGAAGATAATGACATTATGAGAGAATGAAAAAAAAAACAAAGATTAGACACATCATCTTCATCGGAAAAGCTGGATTGTCATTATATTATCATAATTTAATTGTGTAAGATTAAAAGGTAAACCCCGACGGATTTTAATATAATCTCGATAAATATGAGACATATACCGATGCATCGAGCTTAATGAAACGAGTTTGCAGAGCGCCATCGCGCTGTCAAAATTAACGAACGACCGATGTGTACTTCGCTAATTTTATCGCTCACGCGGTCGTTGCAGTGTGTCAGGATCGAAGATTATGCGCGACGGAGATGAATATCTCGCAAAAACTGAAGCATATGGCAGAAACGTGCTGTCTCTCCACGTGTGATTGTTGATATTTCCGAAACACTTTCTAATGTGAGAAAAGATAAAACGGTATTAAAAAAAATGTTTAAAGATAGAACGAGCCGAAATGTTTGTTTGTAAAAGAATGTGGGCAATTTACGGCAATTACCTCATCGACGGTACGCTCTGACAAGAAAGTGTAAGCCTCTCTATCGATTCATCATGGGAAGTGATTGCTGCAAATGCACTAACGGTAAAAAGAATTGCGCCATTACTGGATCCTCCTCCGATGGATCGGAATACCGGTAGGACGATAGGAAAAGAGCTCTTGATCTAATATTAGTTTGCGAACAATTATATCTTTATGACGTTAATGTTAAATAATACTCATTCGTGTTCTTGAATACTTTATACATATATCGACTATCTATTAAATGCGAATAAATGCGATTAAATGCGTGTTTAATATTATGTGCTTAAAAGAAACGTAAAGTAAATAAAAGAATAGATTTATGTTGCAACGACGCCGCGTCGCGTCAATGGATTCTCATCCGTCTTACGTCAGATGCACCGAGTTGCATCAAGTTGCATACTTGATTCATATACGATATACGATATCTAGGATATGTTCTATGTTTTTTTGACAGCACGAATAGTAATTTCATAAAGAGAAGAAACTGCAAAGAGTCAATCGATTGTGATTGTTAGATTTTTTTTCTCTTAGTTTTGAATAAGCCTGACGAAAAAGATGACAAAAATAGGGTAGTAGAGCAATGCCAAGACTCTAGATCACTCTGTGTGACCAAAATATGCCAGGCTGATATAACATATTTTTACGTAGACGTAAGCACACGCATGTGAAGAATATAGCAAAATAATAAACTGTCTCAATGACATAGTAAAACTACAATTTTCCTTTTCTTTTCATTCATTCTAAAATTTAATTTATTGCACTTGTGATAAATTTTGATATTTATAATTCATATCATGTGAAATTAATAGAAAAGAAATTATTATACGTACTTATTTTCAATATACACATTAAATATAACTTTGCTTGAAAGGTTAAATAAAATTGGACGCCAATCGTTAAACTTGATCTTAATTAATTTCAAGATCACCCGAATCGTGTGACTCGAAAATATTAATAAAGAAACGATAGAGATAAATTTAATCAAACGATTTATTTGATCTGATTATTATTCGATCATTTGATCAATCATAAGTCTCGAAAGACAGCGTAATATGTTTGATAAATAAAAAACTGTGGAATGGTAATTTTAATATGTTTAAATAATTTTGCAAGAAAATTTATTTTTTCATCATCAATCTATTGACGTCTGTGAATTATAAAATTATCGCATATCCCTCTACGTACCACTGACCAAAAATTGTGCCAGGTTCTCCGTTTTTCTCACCTTCGTTTAAACTAAATATTGTTTGATTTACCAAATTTGCAGAATCCGAGACGGATTGCCAATTCCATCGGATCGATATCGATTGTCGATGCGAGGCAATGTCGTGCAATTGGCCTTGAAGCAATCGCGTAAAAACGATGCGGGTTACTATTCTCTCGTAGCAACAAGACTCGGACAGGAAAACGATAAAGGGGCTGTAAAGAAAATTCACCTAAGCATCAGCGAAGCAAGTTACGAAGAGGGCGATCCCCCAATCTTCTTGAGAAGATTGAGCGATCTTGCGGTTAAGGTCGGCACTCGAACCAGATTTCTGGTAGAGATTCGAAGTTCAACCACTCCGAAGGTACGATTTCACACGTAACGATAAATACACAGCGAGAAATACTAAAAAAAGAACAAATTAATCGCACACGTATTGCACTGCGAATAAATTTTTCTTTGTAAAAATTTAATTAGATAAAGAGTTTGTGTGTACATTAACGAGGCAAGAAAATCATTTACCATTTGGCAACATGGCCATATCTGTAACATGACGTAAGAGACGTCCTGACCTAAGATAGACAGATAATATATTGTGCCAACTACCGCGATCAACCCGGAAGATGGAACCGATGGTCCCAGCGGTTAACTTATTGTTAGGCATTTCCCTTCCTTCTTCTATCCCAGTACCAGACGAAACGGGAAAGGTGAACTAAGATGGGCACCGGGAGGTCCATGACCTGAACTTACGGCGAAAGACGGTGAAGAGTAAAGGAAACTGGTTACGCGTTTTCTTGTGCGTCGTATTAATACTATTATTACGCATGCCCGCATACTATGTGCCAGACTATATATCCCAATATTCATTCCTTCGCATGTCTCTTCCGCCATTCGCGAAGCAGCTTAACAGCATTATAGCGTTTTATTACAGCAAATCGCGTTAACGTACGCGTATTAAAATAAAATTAATATCGAAAGACTTGACGAAACGATGCTCCTATGATAATTAAATTTAACTTATTAATTTCAGATATCTTGGTACAAAGATGACTCACCGATTCATGAGGGACCCAGATTTTCCCTCGTTCACGAGGGAAATTTTCATTGCGTCGACGTTGCTCCCGTCACGGTCGAGGATCAAGGATGCTGGACCTGCATGGCGGAGAATCGTAGCGGAAGATCTTCATGCACGTCCACTCTCACTGTTATCGGTAATCTTGCATTCAATACATATCTCGCTTGATACCTTGATTAATAGCCTTGATTAATTGCGGATTGCATTTCAAACTTTAGTTCCCAAGGCTTACAAAAGGCCGGAATTTGTCGAGGAACTTCGCGCGCTTCTCACTGAAACGGGTACCGTGTCACTGGAATGTAAGGTAGTCGGTGTGCCCACGCCGGTGCTGAGGTGGTTTAAAGACAGCAAGGAAATTAAAGCTGGGGACGTTTTCGCTTTGACCGCTAATGCCGATGATCCGACCTCCCTCGGCGTTTACACCTGCGAAGCAAATAATTGCATGGGAACAACCTATTCTTCTTCAAAGGTAAATGCATTCATTATTAATTTATTTAAATCATTGATTGTAATTTTTTTATAGCCTTTAACATTGAATGATGTATTGTTTCACTTCAGGTTCATGTGGTCGGAAGAGGAAGCCGAGAAGGTTCGCTGAAACCCGCGGATACCTTGGCACCATCCGGACCTCTTCCGGTTTTTAAACAGATGCTCCAAGATGAATGTTGTCGGATCGGAGACACTCTTGTGCTATCCTGTCGAGGTAGATTATAGTATTAATAAATGTTTCAATTCTTTTATTAATATTTATTTTATATTTGTATCTAAAGTATATTCATTAACGTAGCTCAAGTACCACCCTGGCCGAAGGCAATCGCCTGGTACAATAAAGGAGGTCGCGTCGAACCCGACGAAAGATATCACATAATAGAAGATGGCATCGGAGGATATTCAATCGAAGTGAAACAAGTCGAGGCTATGGACGAGGGTGAATGGAAGTGCGTCGCTACCAGCGAGGAAAATATGAAGCAATTTACGAGCTGCTACGTAGCAATGTCTAGTACGTATTTAAAGAAATAGCTAGTTAAAATAGACACAATCTCATCGTCACTTATATCATTTATATCGACGTCTGTTTAATTTTTCACAAGTTCCAAGAAACTATAGAAAACCGCGTTTCATGGAGAATCTGAAAGCAGTCTTGACGGAAGAAGGTCTTGTCTCGTTCGAATGCAAAGTCGTAGGTTTCCCGACGCCGTTGCTGAGATGGTTTAAAGACGGTCAGGAACTTAAGCCAGGAGACGTCTATCAATTAACCGGGACTAATTCATTAGGTAAGCAGCCGCTGAATATTTGCTACATATTTCCCTTTTTCATTATTTTATTATGCACTTACATACTTTGTCGATAATATTCAGGTTCGTATTGTTGCATCGCGAAAAATTGCATGGGCGAGGCCAAAAGTACAGCTGAATTAACTATCGAAGATATCCAGAATCAATTAAATGAAGAAGAACGTTTTCAGCTTTTAAGCACCAATCAACCGCCAAAGTTTATAAAAGGCCTCAGAAGTTGCGAGGCGAGGATAAATGAAGATTTTCGGTTTACAGTACAAGGTACTATTTGCCTAGTTTTTTTTTTTAATAAACAAGTCAGATAAACGCACGATTATTTTTTTATTACGCGCAGTTTTAGAGTTTTCCCATTAATAGAGTCATTTTTTTTTAGTCAGTGTTGCACCACAACCAAGTCTTTCTTGGTACAGAGACGATACGTTAATGGAGGAATCCGACAAATATCACGGGGCAAAGGAGAATCTTGGCACGTGCCATCTCGAAGTGCGAAAACTCGAATTTATCGATCAAGTGAGTATTCGCAGAAATACATAAGCACCGCCGAGAAACGCTTACGGATGACTTTTCTTTCAGGCCGAATGGAAGTGCGTAGCGGCAAACGATTTCGGTCATAGCGTCACTTCCTGTTTTTTGAAGCTAATCATTCCCAAACATTATAAAAAACCGAAATTTCTCGAGAGCCTGCGCGCGATTCTGTCGGAAGAAGGCGCGGTAAATTTAGAATGCAAAGTTATCGGCGTCCCGCAGCCAGTTTTAAAATGGTACAAAGACAATGTCGAATTAAAACCCGGCGACATACATCGAATTATCTCTGGGCAAGATGGCACCTGTTGCTTAGGAACTTACACCTGTGAAGCTACAAATTGCATGGGAACAGTCAGTAGTTCCGCATCTCTTTTAGGATTTGAAGGTAGACTTTTAGACGTGTATTCATTGCACATAATAATTTTTAAGTGTACAGTTCTTCATGCAATTTCCAAGAGAAATAAAAAAAATATTTTTTGCCATTTTTTGGTGTAATTTTTATGCATCGGGACCTGTATCATTTTAAGCAGAAATAAAATTTAATATCGCAGATAAGAAAGAAACGAAGGAAATTCAGTCACCAAACGGTCACGAACTGGCGAGGAATTTATCGTTATCAACGATACATGAAGAACGAACCTCTCAATTGTACGATACACCACAGACGGATCATTCTGTCACTTTTGATGAGCGCGGCGAGGTATCCTTTAGTTTCGACGGCAAAGAAGTGTCAGTCAGTTTGTACGAAACACCCGATCTCACCGAGGAAGAGGCACTACAGATTGTCGAAATGTATGCCGATCAGCTGTCCGAACATGTAACAGGTAAGAGTTTATTTAATTTTTACACTGATTCATTCTAATATAATATTATTATAATTATATATTTGCAATATTGTTACAATTATATGCAATATAATTATATACAATATATGCAATATTGTTATAATTATATTATACTAAAAATAATTTTTTCATATTCCTGATAGAACACAACGTGATCGAACTGCCGCCAATGAGATTTGTCAAAGAAACTTCTACATCCGGTAATTTGCTGATGGAGGCTGTAGTAATCGACGTTTCGCCCGATTACTTTGTTAGCGCCGAAGAAGGCGATGATTTACGAACAGAAGCCGATTTCGAGGATGTTTCTATTATGGATGATGTGACGCACGTCCTCTCCTCGCTTGACTCCCGAAGTTCTCTAAAGAGATCAGCTCGATACGCGGATGAGGAAGTTCCTAGTAGACCACCTCGAAAGAAATCAACGAGTATATCATCATCGAAAAGCGAGAAGAGCCTTCGAATCGAATCCGAGACCTTCCATAGTGCTCAAAAGGATGAGGCGCCGTTGTCTCCGCTTTCGTCCTTAAAGCAAGACGACAGCGATACTTTTGCTGACGCTTTGTCTTCTGCGCATCTCTCCATCACAGAGAGTCTCGTTCAAAAACATATTACATCGGAACATGATGTAGCAGATACTAGAAAACGTAGTTTGAGCACCGGAAGGTCAACCGGCTCCAGTTTAGACGATGGAATCAGTGCTGATTCCTCTTTCGATTCCATGACTGGAATTCCGAAAAAGAAACATCGTAAGAAAAAGAAAAAGGACAAGAGCAATTCCGAGGACTATTCCGGCCACAGCGATTATGAGGATAGAAAAAGTGGTAAATCAGAAGATAGAGCTGACGTGAAAATAAAACAGTATCAATCTACAGAATCAGCTGACGCAAAAGAAATGGACATCGGAAATGGAATCTCACAAGAGTCGATAAAAAAATCGTTTTCTGAGGAAAAACCGTTAGATAATTTAACAAGCGTGACGGAAGCTGTTAACGTACACACTTTGGAAGAGAGTCGAAAATTGAAAAAAGATATTCTTTTAGAATCAAGAACGATCCTGCGCAAAACTTTGGAGACGTACGAAAAAGTTCCCGATACTTTAGTACCGCGATTTTCCAGTATTCGCGAGCGGGTCAACGATGTATGTCAAACGTTGGAAATTTCACAAGAAAAAGGTATGGAAATTGAAACCCTGATCGATCTCGAAGTACCTCTGCATGCATTGTTAAAGACTATTGATAAAATTACATCAGCGGAAGACATGGAAATTATACGCAATTTTCTCGAGCCATCGATCCGTCAGCTATCGCACGTTGTTGAAGGCCTCGGATTGTCATCTTTGCAGCCTACTCTGATGATTTTGAGAAAAATCAACGAGCGCATTTGTAACATTCCTATCGAAAAGGAAGAATTGTCTTCGCTAAAATCAATCTCCGACGAAACTCGAAATATATCCGAGGAAATTCTAGATATGCTGATCGATATTCAGTCGGCGTTTAGTGCGATTTTAGATTACATGGAATGTTCGAAACTCGCGATGAACGGAACTGCTGCTTCGCAGCAGGCTTTAACGGGGTCCAAACTCGCGGCGTGTTTAGTAGAGTTACGAGAGTGCGTATCCCACACAACGCACACTGCGATGACACTGAAAGAAAATGAGACATTAAACAGTTTAATGGAATTTAGAGAGCCCTTGTTAGATCTTCAAGTAATTTTAGCGTCAGACGAATATAATTTTCGAGAAATTACGATACTGAAAGAAATCATCTTTGCTATTGAAAGATTGAAAAATGTCGTTGTAACAATACTAGAAAATTCCAAAAACTCTGAAACAACCTCGCGAGTAAAAATAATTCTTCAGATATTGGAAGATACCGATAAAGAAATATCAAAATTGATGGAACAATTGTTGGAGATGGAAGCTACACAAAAACGCATGCTGAAGAATCTAAATATTGATCAAAGTTTAAGCAGCGTGCATTTCGCCCTATCATCGGTTTTAGAACAGCAAGAAAAGTTTGTGAGCTCTCATCATTTAATTACGTGTATTGAAACGTTACGTCAAACAATTGGTTCTTCAGCCGTTACAATAGCCAATTTAAAAAATCCAACCGACAATGATATAACTCAAGAGATTATGAAATTAACTGATTCGTTGTTAAATCTGCAAAAAAATTTATTAACGGAAAAGCACGAACCAGGAGAGGAGCAAATTCTAAATAACTTGATAAATCCTATCGATAAATTGAAAGAGATAATTCACAGCATAATGGAAAGCGATTCTTCGATCGACTTAATAATACTACCTATGTTAAAACTATTGGAAGAAATAGAGAAAGATGCAATCCTTGTTACAAAAGAAATGTCGAAGAAAAAATCTCAAGAGGAAAATGCTACCAAGTCTCGAAAAGAAAAGAAAGGCGATTCAAAATCGATTCTCGCTTGTCAAATCAGCCGTTCTTTGGAACCTATTAAACAATGGTTATCCACGTCCGAAGACAGTACGAAAGACGAAATAGAATCTACATTAAGCTTAACGATCGAGGAATTGAAGAGAGATGTCACTCAAATTGCCATTCAAACGTCATATTCTGAACCGCCAGATGATGAAAGTTTGATAGAAGCATTGATTGACCTTCGAGAACCATTGATAAAACTTAAAAACGCTATTTCTATGTATCGTAGACCGGAAGATTTTTTAACCTTAGAGAACTTGGGTCAGCCTATGAAACATCTTTTGCAAATTATCACGAACGTTTTTCACGAACATGCGGAAGAAGAGCGCCTAAAATCGATGGTAGAGATCGTTGAACAAATCGAAAATGAGATATCGCTCTCGATCAAAGATACTCTCTACCAGCAGGAACTTGAACAATCTGTCCAAACATTTAATGTGGAAGAAAAAGAAGACATTATTACAGTCTCTTCCCAAGAAACAATTCCAGGCACTCTTACAGAAATCGCGTCTACGCCATTTGAAACCGGATCCCTTGCATTGCCTACTGAACAACTTATAATAGAAGATAATCTCAAAATAACGGTCGATGATATCGCTTCGCAGGTTATAAAAGCTGAGAAGCAAGAAAGAGAGAAAAATGCAGGCAAATTAATTACAGTCTTGTCGGAAACTTTGGAAAAGCTTCAATTAGAAATGACTAATATCCTAGAAGATTTCGAGGAATCGGCAACGCGAACCGCTACGATTCCCCAATCAAAATTAGCCAATTTTGTCGAGGAACTGAGGAGAACTACATCCACAATACGCATGATAACCTCCGTTTATGACAAAGAAATTGGATCATTGGACGAAAAAGTTAATCAGACAATTGTAATGCTAACTAATTTAACACAACCGCTGACAAATATACAAGAATTGCTTTCCAGACCACGCGAACATGACATCTCCGAACTTATGATATTGAATCGATTAACACCACTATTGAATGTAATAGAAACTAACGTGATAAAACAAACAATCGATTTTGTTGATAAAAATGAAGACACGGAGAAGGAGTTTGAATTTCTCCTGCACGTTTTGCAAGACATTAAAGCGGAAATTCCAATTGTAATTCAAGAAATATCATCGAGACAAAAAGCTTTAGAATGTCTCCGGGATGTCTCGAAGCCTCTGGATAGTATTGTGGAGCGTATGAATGATTTGCAAAAAGCTGCAGAAGGAACCCTCGAGACGGATGTCGCGAACATTTTGGGGAAGCCGATCGCCGCTCTTTTAAAAGATATCAAGATTGCTATTCAAGAAACAGGTACGCTAGATCGACGAGGGCCAATAATTATCGAATTACGAAATCTTCTCGAACCTTTGCTAGAATTTCATAGCTGTCTTTCAATGGTACAGAGCAGTCGACAAAGTTTGGTTCCGGAAGGTTATTTATTAGAGGAAAGAAGAAGCGTTATCTTACAAGCGGTAGGTGATCTGCGAAAACAAGTTTGCCATACAGTCGAAACGATTGCGAATATGGAAGAAGCTTCTCTGTTCGATGAATCTTTGATGTTGCTCAACTCCGCGATTCAGCAAGTGCAGAAAAAAATCGGTAAGACTGATTATTCGCGCCGATCTAGTAGCGTCAAGGTTCCTCTTCAGCATCGACTTACCGGCACGTTGAGTCGCTTAGCGAACGCTATAGCAGCTGTAGAGGAACATGCTGATAGAGACACATATGGAATATTATCCAAATGCTTAGAAGCTTTGCATAAACAAATCTCCTTTACACAAGTGCAGTTTATTCAGATCGGTAGTGAATCAATCGACGAAGAAGCAATCATTGAAGGCTTTCTTTATCCGACTAATCAACTTCTGTCGGCCTTAAACGTCCTTAAAGAGAATACGCAGAAAGTACCATCGGCGATTTCACGTAATTTAATAATTCAGTTTCAAGAACTGGCCGATTCAATCTCAGAATTAAATTCTTCTTTGGCGGCGCATAAAGCCGAGCTCGTACAAGAAGGCGCTTCTACAGGAGCTCCGATCATAGAAACCTTTTCTGCTGTTACGGATGTCTTGAGTCATGTGAAAGATTCCATAATGGCAATAGAGAAGACTGTCGAACAGAAAGAGAGCATCACAAAGGTAGAAAGTATCGCTGATGAGATTATAGAGCTATCGCAGGAAGAAATTGAGAGCGTAATAACGATCACGGAAATACCGTCGTCGGCAGTTCAAGATGTTGCTCAATCGAAGATTGAAGATACACCTAAAATAACACAAACGCCGGTTATAGAAAATGTGGAAACGGCGACCCGTATTGAACAAACGGAAGATAATCTGGTGGATACAAAAAAATATGAGGAGAATCAAGAAGAAAATGAGAAACAAAAATACTTGAAAACTGAAATGTCAAAATTCAACTCTACGATAAGTAGCCTGGCACAGCCTTTGAAAGAACTGATCAGTTTCGTGGAATCCGCTACGCAAGAATCGCTGGTTTCAAAGTCTGAAGAAAACAAGCGGAAAATACAAGAGCTAACAGCATTGGTGCAAATACTTTACGATTTACAAGCTACGAATATTTCTGTTAAGACAGCTTTGTCTTCTCCGTCTATTATACTAATAGATAGCAAATTTTCTCGTATGAAGGATAATGTGGCTAATTTTGAGCAAGCTATCGGTACAGTTATTTCTTTGACTGATGCAGGAGTGAAGCCAGAATTAAAAGAGAATATTATAACGTCTTTACAATCTATTGTCGAGCCTTTAAATGCTCTTGAAAATACATTAGTATCTATATGTCAAACGTTCGATGGAGACAAGTATGTCGATCAAAACGGAAAATCGTTACCTATAATTGCAAAAGATTTAATACCATGCATTAACGACACCATTAAATCTGTAAATGCCATTCAAGTATTAAAATCTGTTAAAATTGCCGACGAGAGAGAAACAGAAATATCGAAAATAAAAGAGGAGATAAATGATATCGAAGAAACGACTGCGCGACCTCTCGAAGAACTGATAGAAGCTATTATGGATTCTCAGGATCAAGTGAAATGCGACAAGACTTCGCCTTACGAATCTAGTTCACCTTCCGCCGATCCAATCGAATCGAAAAGCATCGACAATCTGTCGATAGAAGAAACAGAATTAAATGAAACATTCATTAAGGAAACGAACGATTTAATAGCACAAGATACAGTAGAAATATTACAACAAGAATTAACATCCGCACCAGTATTTAGCCAAATCGAAGAAATACTTGCTGAGAAGGAAGCAACGATAAAATCTGCAACAGAATCATTGGAAGAGATTGAAGAGAAAAATTTAGAAACGATTAATCAGCAAAAAATAGAATTGACTCAGGTGTCTGAAAAAGATGCAACGCAAGAAAAACAAATAAAAGTTGAAACTTTACACGCGATTATTTCTCCTCTTCAAGTATTACGTGAATCATTCAATAAAATCGAAGATGTAGGAACTTTAGAATCATCCGACAAAAAAATGATTGCATTTTCGACTCTGATAGAACCGTTATTAAATCTAGAAGTTGCATTATCGTCTGAAATTACTGAAGAAATAAAGCAAGACACAGTGTCGTTGGAAAAATTATCTATCACATGCGTTTTGCAAGAATTACAAAATTCAATTGCTACGATTCAAGAACAAGTGCAACTTAATACTGCAACCGAAGCCAGTTCGAGTAAAACAGCTAAAATACGTTTATTACAAGCCATCGAAAAACCATTGGAAGATTTAAAAATGTCGATCGCGTGTATCCAATCTGATCCAATAACTTGTCAATTGATTCAGCAAAAAGAGGAATTATCGAGCGTTAAACAGATCACAATCCTACAAACTCTTGCCAAATCAGTGGAGCAATTTGGAGACAAATTTATGGCTATTACCAACGAACTAAAAATAGAAGAATCTGAGTCGCCATTGCAAATCATTAAACAAAAAGATCAAGAGCTCGATCCCGAAATTTTACATAAGATTGTTGAGCCGATTCATATTCTACGCGAAACACTTTCTCAAATCGAAGAATTGAAAAGTCATAAAACCGAGTTGCTGGAAATACCGGAACAGAAGAGAGAGATTATTCAATTAAATACAGTAATAAATCCCTTGGAAAAATTAGAACAATTATTATCTACAAATATACAACAGATTACACCGATTTCGATGGCGCAGGAGAAAGCTCTTGGCGGAAATCAAATTTCATTGACAAGTGCGGATTTGAAGCCCGTGTTAGAAGAGCTGAAAGACTCAATCGTAATTCAACAACAAGCAGTCTCCAACGAAGATAGTCCTACAGTAAAAACGTTAAACGAAACTTTCGAAAATCTGAAAACACCACTAACAATCATTCAAGAAATCATCGATTGTTTCGATGAAATTACCGAAACTGAAAAATTATCGACTCTGCTAATGTTTGCAAAATCCGTGGAAGAAACAACGAATCAACTAGTTATAGCTAAACAAAATATAATGCAACAAGAAATGCGAGAAACTTCTCTGTTAAAAGCGATAACTATTCCAATCGAAGGATTACAAAGTGCAATATTAAAATTCGAAGATCGACTGTCTCAAACATTAGAAACAAAGGAATCGATAAAACTTGTTGCTTTAGAATCTATGGTGCAACCGTTACAAGAGCTACAGCAATCTTTCTTAATTGCATCTCATCAAGAAATCGTCCAATCTTTACAACGATTGCCAATTAAGCCGATATTGGACAGTCTGAATAAATCTGTTGCGGTGATTCAAAATCAAGCTACGATCGTTCAAGATTTGCTCACAGAGGCAAGTACGGACGATTTGGCGATGTTAAAAGACTTCGCGAAATCACTCGGTAATTTGAGGACGTCGACAGTGGTCCTGCAACAATTAAACGCGATAGAAAACGCTGGCCAGCAAATCGTAGAGATTGAAAACGCGTCCGCGTTGCAAGCATTCGCGAAATCTATCGAGGAGTTTAGAAAATGTTGCTCTATCGTCATCGAAAAGCCGAGAATCATCGAAGCTTTCGCGAAAAGTACAATAGAATTAAAACAATCGGCTAAAACGGATGCGCAACTCCTTGAAAATATCATCGCGCCTCTGCGAATTTTACAAGAGCAGATTTTAACCATCGAAGAAACTAAAATGCAAGAATCTGAAGTCTTGGATATTACGGAGATAAAGAAACCAGTTACGGTATTGAGCAGTCTAGTGGGTCCCTTGCAACAACTTGAAAAATCTTTCGTTGCAACGGTATGCAAAGAACATGTGATCGAACATGATGGACAGAATCTGGCAACCGAATCACCTTCCACGAGTTTAGAAAAACTTGCTTTACAGCCTATTCTCGAGGAGGTGCAAAAGTCTATCGCCACTGTTCAAGAGCACGTGATATTAGAGGCAGGCCAAATTATCTCGGAAGCAGAAACTGACGCTTTACTCAAATCGATCGCGCAACCTCTAGTGGATCTAAGAGCCTCCATCGCATCTATTCAGCAAGTGACTACAATTGCGCCTGATCCTCTAAACGAACTGGCACAGCAACAAAATATTTCGGCATTGGAATCGTTTGCTGAAACTCTCCACAATCTATCGGAATGTATAGCGATGTGCAATCATCAACAGATAATCATGGAGCCTGTGGCGGACACTTTTTCCGAAGGCGCTTCGTCTTTGAATACCTGGGCAGATGTAATCGACGAACAATCGCTATCAAAAGTCACGCAACCAATGGTAATCGATCAAGTCGCGATCGAATCTCCGATCGAGGTCGCGACGTCGATATCGGATGATGAAGCCTCCGCGTTGAAAACACTAGCAAAGCCTTTAATCGAATTGCGAGAATGCCTGGCACTCGTTATCGAAGAGCGTAAAATAGTTGCGCCAAGCGATACTACGTCTTCTTTATCAGAGAGAGAAAATGTGTCTTTATTGAAAACGATGATACAGCCTTTGTTGGAGTTGAAGGATGCAGCTACAGCGGTAATTATTCAAGAACAGACGGTTATCGAACGTGCAAATGAACATTCATTCGCAATCGATGGCAAGAATGAATTCGCTCTTCGTCCATTGATGGAACCGCTCGAGGAACTGCGTCATTCCATTGCTGTAATAGAGGACCAGATGCTGGTCGAAACATCAATAGATCAACCTCAGAATGAGATTGTATTAGATGCGCTGGCTGAACCTCTGCTGGACCTCCAACGCGCTATATCGGTTTTAGAAGCGCGAGTTATATCGCCGGATGTAGAATCATTGCCTGAAGACACGAGCAACAGCTGGATCACGGAATGTTTAGCGGTTCCTCTACACGAAATCGAGAGATCGATAGCCGATATTCGACAATGTACAATAATAGAGCCTGAAAAAATAAGTGTGAAAGAAGAAATAGAAACATCGATACCTTGGTCTATCGTCGAGGAATTATCGAAACCAATGGAAAATATTAAATCAGCGATATTACGTATGGAAGATGACTATACCGAAACTGAAATCCTCAAAACAATGGTACAATCGCTTACTAATGTACAAGAGAAATTGATGTTATTGAAAAACAAGCATTTAAGTGCTGTTGAGGAGAGCAGTATTGACGCTATTGTTGACTCTCTTTTCAATTTTGAGAAATGTATTTCATTCGTTAAGAAAGAAATTGTCGATAAACCAATGTCTGAATCATCGATAAAAATAGACACTGCTATATCCGCCGCTCTTAATGTTCCATTAAACGACTTAAAATATTCCATTGTGACGGTAAAGGACTCGCCAAGCATTTATCTAAAGGATTTACAAAGACCCTTAGAACTCGTGCAAGATGCGTTCGAAACAATTATATCTATACAACAAAATAACAAGCTATTGAATTTATCGACAAAAGTAACGAATGCTATTTCAAATATTAACACATCTATTGAATCTATCGGACATAAATTAGAAGAACAGCAGGTGTCGGCTATTGAAATTTGCATCGAATGCGAGGCACTTGGAATGTTGACGAAACCTTTACAGAATATTAAACAGTGTATCACACAAATACCAGAGAAACCGAAAGAAACTGCTAATTTAATGATCAGTACCTTGCAGAATCTCGAGAAATCAGTAGCTGTAATACAACAGCAGTCAGCTGATAAACCATTGGCGGACCCGCAACACGCAAATTTCGGTATCCTTTCAAAAAATTTAATATTGTGCCTGCATGAATTGCAAGAATCGATGGAAGAGGCGAAAGCATTATGGCACAAGCAAACAATATTAGAAGGATTAATAATCCTTGAGGAACCGATTTGCAAATTACAATCTATAATTAATATTATATCTGATCAGTTCTTGGCAGAAGAAATGATTCAGATAATAGAAAAACAGAAGATAGCATCTCAAAAGAAATCTGCAAAAAAAGAAGTTAAAAAATCTGAAACAATTATCGAAAAAGACGATGAAATAAACAAAACAATAAAAGTAGAAATAGAAGAAACTAAGCTGACAGACACTGCAGATTCTACAGTAACTAATGATATGGCGGATAAAGAGGAAAAGAAAAATTTAGAAATAAAACAAAAACAAGAAAAAGAAGATGAAAAATCAATCAAGGAGAAATTAGAACAGCCAAAAGATATAGTTAAAAAAGGGAAAGAAAAAGAAGAGGAATATAAGAAGATAGAGAAACAGCAAGAATGTAAAAAAGAGGCTGATGAAATGAAAAGTAGAAATGAGGAACAAAAGAAGGAGGAAATAGAAAAAATAAACAAAGAACAGAAAAGCAAAGAAATTGAACAAGTAACAAAAGAAGTAGAACAAAATAAAAGTATAAAAGATGAAAGGATTAAAAAAGATGAAAAAGAACATAAGATAACACAAGAAACTGAAAGTTTAAAAAAACATGAAGATGGAAAAGTAAAACAAATTGAAAAACAGGAAAAAGTGAATGCGACTGAAAGCATAAAAGACGAAATACAGGAATCTAAAAAAATCATAGAAACTGAAAAAATAAAAAGTGAAAAGAACGAACAGCAAAACAAAGAAAATTATGAGGAAATAAATAAAATGGCAGAAAAACAAGAGCAAGAGACTGTACAAAAAAGAAAAGAATCAGATAAAAGTAAGAAAATTGAAAAGGATCTAAATGTGAAGGAAGAAACGGGAAAGATAAAATTAGAAGAAGCCAAAGATATCGAAAGAAAAAAAGTGCAAGCCAAAGAAAAGGAAAAAGCTGATGAAATAAAAAAGGAACAAGAATTAAAAGATATAAAAGAAAAAGTAAAAGAAGCAACAGAACAATATGATAAAAAAAATGAAATTGAGAAATTACAGAAAAAAGAAACAGATGAGATAGATAAAACACAGCAAAAAGAACAAGAACACGTAAGAATAGAAAAAACTGAAATTGTAGAAAAAGATCATAAAATAGAAGTCAAAGAAATAAAAAAACAAGAAGAGGATAAGACTATCAAAAAAGATGGAAAAGAGCAAGAAAAAGAAGATGAAAAAGCAAAAAGAATAAAGACTGAAAAATTAGAAAAAGAGGAACAAATAAAAAAGGAAGAAGACGAAAAGTTAAAGGACGAAAAGACGAAGGAAATGAAAAAGAAAAAAGAGGATTCTAATAAGAAAGATGAAATTGTACAAGAAAAATTAAAACAACAGGAACAAACGCCAGAAGAAGTGGAAGCAATAAAAACAAAGCAAGATCAGAAGGAAAAGGAGATAACAGAAAAAGTAAAGGAGAAAGGAGACAAAAAAGCAAAAGATGATGTAGAAGAATTAGAAACAAAAGAAGAAAAGTCTACCAAAATAGAAAAATTGAAAGAAAAGAAACAAAAAGAAGAGGCTAAAGTTAAAACATCAAAGAAGGAAGATGAACAAAAACAAATAACTGAAACTGAAAAAGTAAAGGTAGCAGAAAATGAAGCAGAAACAAAGAAGGATATGCAAGAGGATAAGAAAGAGATAACACAAAAAAAGGATATACAACAAGATAAAAAAGTAGAAGAGGAAAGAGAGGAAAGAAAAATAGAGGAAAGGAAAGAGGAGCAAAAAGAAACAACTGAAACTGAAAAAGTAAAGATAGTAGAAAATCAAGCAGAAACAAAGAAGGATATACAAGAGGATGAGAAAAAAATAACACAAAAGAAAGACAAACAACAAGATAAAAAAATAGAAAAGAAAAAAGATGAAGAAATAGAGGAAAGAAAAGAGGAGCAAAAACAAACAATTGAAACTGAAAAAATAAAAGCAGCAGAAAGCCAAGCAGAAACGAAGAAGGATATACAAGAGGATAAGAAAAAGATAACACAAAAGAAGGAGAAACAACAAGATAAAAAAATAGAAAAAGAAAAAGAGAATCAAATAGAGGAAAGAAAAGAAGAGCAAAAACAAGCAACTCAAATTGAAAAAGTAAAGGTACCAGAAAATCAAGCAGAAACGAAAAAAGATATGCAAGAGGATAAGAAAACAACGACACAAAAGAAGGATAAGCAGGAAGATGAAAAAATAGAAAAAGAAAAAGAGGGACAAATAGAAGAAAGAAAAGAAGAGCAAAAACAAACAATTCAAATTGAAAAAATAAAAGTAGAAGAAAGCCAAGCAGAAACGAAAGATATGCAAGAGGATAAGAAACAGATAATAGAAAAGAAGGATAAGCAGAAAGATAAAAAAGTAGAAAAAGAAAGAGAGGAACAAATAGAAAAAAGAAAAGAGGAGATTATTAAAATAGACCAAGTGGTACAGCAAACACAAAATGAATACATAAAGAAAGAAAACGATGAAGCTAAAGGCAATCAGAAATATAAAGAAGCAAAAAAAGAACTAGAGGAAACGACACGTATAAAACAAAAGCAAGAAGAAAAATTAAATAAGGAAATTCAAAAATCGAGAGAGGATAAAGATTTACATATAAAAGTGGATAAATATCAGAAAAGACAAAGAGATGACGAAATACTCCAAAAACGAGAAGAGCAGAGCAAATGGCAATGTGCAGAAATGGAAAAAACAAAAAGAAACGTGGAACAGAGACAGTGGAGGTCACAGGATGATGAAGATTGGTTGCGCACGAGAAAAGAGGAACGATTTAATAGGAGTAACGAATATAGACTAGACACAGAACGTAAAGAGCAATACGATCGTCAGAAAAGAGATGATAACAAAAGGCTACATCAACTGGAAATAGAGCGCTTAGAAAAAAAATTCGCCGTGGGACGATCCAAAAGGGATGAAACCGATTACATGTCTAGAGCAGACGAGGAAAGGCTTCAGAAAAGAAGCGACGAAAAAAGAATCAGAGGAGACGAGACTGCTAGATTATTATGGGAAGAAGGACAAAAGTTACGAAAGAAACAAGAGGAAGAGGCAATCAGGAATATACAAAGAAGAAAGGAGCAAATCAGAGAAAGCGAATGGTCCAGAAGACGTGAAAACGAATCCGATCGCTTCCTTAAAAACATGTTGGAAACCAGATACAAACCCGACAAATCGGTCTCAATGTTTTTCGACGTCGATTATTCGCGAGATTATACTTCACGACTTGTTTCGGGCATCTCAACGCTTTCTAGCACTTCCAGATCGTACAGCTGGAGAGATTCTCTGACGTCTTTAAGTAGAAGAAGAATCGACGATTATTGGGATTATAAATTGCACGGCTCTTCCATGGATAAATATTTCGACATAGGATCGTACAGAAGGCGCAAGAGAAGAGAAAACCGTATGATTCGCGCGAGATCGACCAGTTTGCTCAAGTACGAAGACTATTCGACCGGAGATAGCGATGCTACCATTGTACCTAGCACTCGACGCATTCGACCTGTTCGACGCACAAAAACGGAGGCTTCACGTATCAATTTCGATCTTTACGAGCCTAGTCTGTCCAGTTACGCTGGCTTCGGTCAAAGTGAGGTACTCCGATATTAAGTTATTTTTTCTGCTTCGCAAACGAAGCAAAATTCCTTTTAGTAATAAATCGAAAATTACAGGATCTTTCATGGGACAAACCAAAGAAGCCATCGTTCTGCACGAGACTGACAAACAGAGTCGTAGGAACCGGTATGAGAATAAGACTGACCTGCACCGTTCTTGGTAATCCGGAGCCGCGCGTCTACTGGACCAGAGATGGTCAAAAGTTGGATGTGTCAGACAGTCGCTGTCGAACGCGATACGAGAACGGTATGGCCTATCTGGAATTATATGATGCACTTCCCACAGACGCCGGAATGTATGCATGCGTGGCTGAGAACGCACATGGCATTTCGAGCACCGAGTCCACCTTGAGGGTTTACTCCGATTATAAACCTGCGCACTCGCCTCCAACATTTGTAAAGTCAATTAGAGGTATGCGCGTACATTTGTCATTTTAACTTTCACATTGTTTTAACGTTATTGTTTTGCGTAGACACTTATCGATATTCCGATCAGAAGCTCATCTTGGAATGTCGTGTACGAGCACATCCGCCACCTTCGATCTTCTGGCTAAGAGACGGGCAGGTTCTTCAGGGCGAGCGTTATAAGCAGAGCTATCTCGACGATGATGTGTATCGATTAGAGATAGCGAATCCTAATGCCGCGGATAATGGACGATACACGTGTCGTGCGGTAAACGATCTGCACACTGAGGAAACATCTCATGTGGTTCACGTCGAAGGTGACCGAGAAATTATATGTCATAAATAAATGTAAGAAGCATTCAAATACGAGCGATTAAAATATGATTCTAGATTGGCGATCCACGAGCCGATACGATCTAAAGTCGAGCGACGAAACCGGACTGGAATTGACACGACGACCACGATTCTCCAATTTATTAAAAGATTACAACGTGCCCGCTGGCGGTACCATCGCTCTTCAAGTAGAAGTTAAAGGTAAGAAGCTCTTGCGTCGCTTGTTAGAATTTTGGAATTTTAGAATCCTCCCTTCATTTATTTTCTAGGTGTACCAGCTCCGGAGATAAGGTGGTTACGAGGTGACCGGAAGGAGCCGATCGCCATACCGAAGGCGAGAACCTTCACCGAGCGTGGACTTCACACGTTAATTGTACCCGAGGCGACAGAATCGGAAAGAGGCACATACGTGTGCAGAGCGATCAATGCTTACGGACAAGTGGACACGTCGGCGACAGTGGACGTAATAACATCGAGTGCCATCGACGGCGGAAAACCGGCAGCGTTCGTCTCGAGACCGTCCAAAAAAACGATCGACGTGACCGTCGGCGAAGACGTCAGTATATCCTTCCGAGTCAACGGCACCCCTAAGCCACGAGGTAAGGTTTAACAATATGCTAACAATTCTTAGTTTACTATACATTTCTTAAAGAACAGACCATCGACTCGCATTTTCTTTTTTCGTTCTCCATCTACTTTCTTTTTTATCGTTCTAGTAATCTGGATGAAAGGATTAACGGATATCACGGACGGACCGAGATCGTACAAGGAGAGTATTGATGATTACGTTAGATTAACATTAAAAAGAGCCGTACCTTCTGATGAAGGTACTTACTGCATTCTGGTTAAAAATAGATACGGTTGCGACAGGAGCTTCTTCTCGATCAAGGTGAGGATGTTCGGTAAATCTGGAACAGAGAAAATATATGTAATCAGTAATATATTCGCAAACAGGTGAAGCAACGCGCTAGGTCGTTGACCCCATCGCCGGATTGGAATTCCGTTACCGAGCGTGACGCAGGCGAGGAACACGATGACGACATGTCATATGTGAGAAGTAAGTGACTCTGCGATTATTTTCTAATATTAACTAACAGAAAGAATAAAATAAAATATGAAATTTTGTATTATTTGCATTTGAAATTTTAAAACAAAATCGTTTAATGTTGTAAAAATAATTCTATCTGTATAGATATCAAATAAATATTATTGTATAACCAATTAAAATTAGAATGGCAAACAAGTTTGCACCAACTGCACAGGTATAGTTAGCTTTTAATGGCTGGACGCCAGTTTTGACGCCTGGACTAACATAAGCGGGAATTGACGTCAATATTTAGCTTGATTATTCATCGAGCTGATGATGCGTTAGCCTCAAGATTTCCTTAAGCGAACAGAAATTGATCTGTGAAGCGGATAAGAAGCGAGTATTTTGAAATTTTCTAAGATATTAAATGAATTCAAAATTGATACATTCGCGAAATTTTGTAAGATAGCAAGCCTAACGTAAATGTGATGGAAGAACATCCAAGTTTCTTTCGTTCGAGGAGCATCTTTCGACAACCGGGTTATTTTAGTTTCTCATCCTTATTCATCTCCCACCAATATCTCGCGGATTCCACAAATTCAAAATTCAGTCGTCGTCGGAACGCGAATCATTTCGTATACCCTACTATTCAAAATCTCGAGTTTCCGCATGATATTTTGTGCTAAAACAAACTATTTCGCAAAGTGAAGAATATATTTTTTATTTGGTCAATATTTCCCTGCATAAATGTTATCACTGCGAGTTTATCAAAATTTTTATAATATTTTTTTGTATTATATATTATGTAATATAATAAACTAATCTTTCATCTTTGTTTTCTTTATCTAATATTAAAACATATTTGATTATATATTATATTATATCATATTTGAACATATCCCTGAAGAGAATAAAATATAAGAATAAAATATATAATAAAATATATAATAAAATATAAGAATAAAATATAATTAAATCATGAAGCCACATGATCATGGGATCCTTGTCAATGATGGAAACGATATCACCATCACTATCTCGCGTTTGAGACGTTCATGGACTGGCAATAAGAACTGTTTGATCATTGATTTTTTGGAATATCTATATGGACATCGAGGTTAGCTTAACGAACGAGAATTATTTATAAATCTTTTAAACAAAAATATAACATATTTCATATTTAAAAAGACGTTCAATAAAATATTTAAAATTATAAAAAAAGATTTTACATTATATGATGATTATTTTATTACCTTATGGTTTTTATCAGACGTGCCTGGTCCAATTAGTAGCGAGCCCGTCGCTGTTGATGGCGGAAAGAATTGGTTGTCGCTGACTTGGGGTAAAGCAGAGAGAAGAGGACCTGCGCCGGTGATCGCTTATAAAGTCGACGCTTGGCTTTTGGGCAGTGACGGAGGCGCACGATGGATAGAGGTGAGATAAATAATATTTGTAACATATATTATATTACTTTCATCATTTATCGTTTGTCAAATTTTCAATAATTTTCGATAATTCAGCTGGGAATCACGCCTATCAACGCCTTCGACGCGTTCAATTTACGACCGGGTGGAGAATACAAGTTTCGCGTAACGCCGCGAAATCGCTACGGATGGGGCGAACCGGTTACTATGACGAATTCAGTGTTAGTGAGCGAAAGTACCGATCTTCCGGAATTCACGAAAATCTTACCGGGTCAATTGAAGGCACTCGAGGGAACGTCGATAAGATTAGAATGCGAGGTAAGTCTATAACAAGTAGCAATGTTTAACTTGTCTTACACACCTGCTTGAATAATCTTTCAGATTCACGGTGATCCCAAGGTGGATGTACGATGGTACCGCGAAACAACGGAGATAGATTCGCGCAGTGACTCAAGATTCGCGATATATTACAATGGTTCCAAATGTTTCTTAACACTTGCGAATATCAAAGAGAATGATTCCGGAAGATACGTTTGCGAGGCGAGCAACAAAATTGGTAAAGTGTCTTCATTCGCTAGGGTTCTCGTTGTTAACGATCCCAGAATTATCGAAGCCGATACAAAACTCAGAACAAGGTAAGTACAATAAATATTCCCAGTGAGAACCCCAAGGCTAGAATAATAACGTTGCAACAATTTCGTTAAAAGTTTGAGAATCGAGCCGAAAGATAAACCGCCGCAATTCACCATGAGAATACGAGACAGGCGAGTGCAGACGACCTATCCGATAAGGCTCACCTGTCAAGTTATTGGGCATCCCGCTCCAGAGATCACGTGGTACAAGAATGAAGAAAAAATCTCCCAAGATGGTGATTATCTTGATGTACAAAGAATGTTTGAAAATATCGATTCTACGTGAAAAAATTCAAACATTCTCTTTCAGATCGTCACATCTTCTGGGATGACGATTCAAACTTCCACACTCTGGAAATAACCCATTCCACCCTCGATGATTCCGGATGTTACATGGTAACTGCGAGGAATGTAAACGGCTCGGTATCATGTCGATGTACTCTCGTGGTGGATAAGGGAATTCGAGCTTACGTTGCTCCAGAATTCCTTCGCGGTCTCGATGCAGCTTACACCGTTCATTCTGGCCGGGAGCTACGAATGTCCGCCCAACTCGAAGCATATCCGAGTGTTGGTGTCGTTTGGTAAGCAATAATTATGATTAAAAGCCAAGACACACGTAACGTACTATAAATCATGTTAGCACACGAGCAATCGTTTGGCGCTTTACGTAAAAATCTACATCGAAAATAAACCTGCGTGGGGCTGCTAAGTCATGTAAATTCAGCCACTAAGAGACGCAACTTGGATGATTTCAGTCATATTAAAATTATTTTAACTTTAATTATCTAAACTTTGATTAATTTAATCGATGCGATTAAGTTCGTAAAATTATCTACAGCAAAATTTTTAATCTTATAAACCGTATTTTTGATTCAATCTTTTTGCTCAAAAATAAAAATTAATAATTGTATTTATATTAAAAGAATAATATTAGCAAATGCAGATATTGCTTGATAAATCAATCGCCGATTAAATTAATCGAAATTTAATTACAATGATATCTTGTTCTTCTATCAATCATTCTAACTCGCTTTTTCATTCGCATTTATTTAAGCTAATATAAAAAAATACGATTTGATTCCCTTATTTTGCGTTTCACTTTGCGGTTCACAGGCATCGCGACGGTATTCGACTAAGACCTAATAGAAGAGTCGTAATGACGTTGAGCCACGATGGTACCGTGCAATTCTCTCTAGCTAACATCACTGCAAGAGATGCCGGAGTTTACAGCTGCACCGCCACAAATGCAGTCGGTCATACGGAGACATCCACCAGGATAGCTGTCATCGAGGATGATATTCCGGATCAATCGTTCATTAATGAACCATCCAATGTTATAAGTGTATCTCCCGATATACCGTGAGTCCGATCGTCTCGGAAAATACAAAATAAAAAATACATAATTGCTTTTCTTTTCCTTAGATATTCCAAAGAGCCACTTTTCGTCACGAAACCACTATCGACCGAAGCAGTTGAGGGTGACACAGTCATCATACTCTGCGAAGTCGTCGGAGATCCTAAACCCGAAGTAATATGGCTGCGTGATTTTCTCAAGGTAAGTACAATTTTACAAATTCATTATATTTGTGATGCTCTGCCTCTTTTTAAATAAAAGTTTCATAATCAATGATTAAATTAAAAAACAAAAAAAATTTTATATAGCTCTTAATTAATCATAATTAAATTATGGATGATTGATAGATCGAAATAAATATTATGCAAATGAGTGCATGATGTGCATCTACTGCTACGTATTATATGAGTCAAGTATCTTAAAAAAAAGGTGATCACATAACAAAGCATATTATACCCATAGAAGCAAAATGTATTGTATGCGTCAAGTAAATGGCATTGACATTGAATGGTCCCATAAATGGTAACAACGTGCGTTGCACATTATATTTTTTTAATGCGAACAAAAGACACTCGGGAAAAGAATTCGTACTATATCAATCGATAATATATGATAATTCAAAGTAGGAAGTGATGCATTTTTTAATCGCACAGAAACATCCGCACATTTGCATTATTCTGAAATATTTGCATAATCACGAAATGTATACAGTATCCCCTCCACTTTTGTCGTCGGCTTTCTTCGTCGATGGATCAGCACTGTAACGAGCGGCAAAACAGTCGTGTCGCGCAACTTTAACGAACGAACACTTTTAATCAGTTGAACGATGCCTCGCGCAATGCATTTTATATGTATGACACGTGAATTATTTTTATTATATATTTGATTGTGTTTTTTTGTAAGATTTGAAATTTCTGACAAGCAACAAACAAGCATTTAATTAATCTAAATAATATTCACTCCGAAGAATTAAATCCATGTGGAACATAATAGTGTAAGTATAATTATACATTTAAATAATTTATTAGTCGAAAGAGGTAAAATTAAATAATTTTATAAAACAAATAAAAAAAATTCACATGGGATGCAGATTTAAAATAAATTATTAAATATATATATGTTAAAATTTATTTGTATTGAAAACTTTACCGCACAAATCTGTCCTTTCTTGGGATTTCATATATTATATATTATATTGTTTGCATTTAATTTAGATTAAATATGATCAAAGTGAGACCATGAAATTTAAGAAAAATTGAAAATTGATTCCCCCTCTAAACAAATAAATTAAATTTGAATTTTATTACATACAAATATAAATAATTTTTTTCCTAACATATATATAATTATTTGCATATATATATTTATTATTGACATTATCGAAAGTCCTTGCAAGTGTCTGCAATTGATAATTTATGCGCCTGGCTTTCGCAATCAGGAAGTATCCTCCGCATAAATTGAAACGTAGGCGAACCATAATACGACAGGTGTAAGATAAATGTGTCTCAGAGGGTTCATTATGTCACGATCTCAATCCAAGGGTGAAAAATTGTGCGGCTTTCAGCTTGTCTAGACGCTATTAATGGAAATCGAGATCTTTAAATTCATGAGAAACAAGAGTGTATTACGAGAAACGGTAATATACTCAATGGTACTCACGTAATACGCACAACCAGGAGATCGGTCTGCAACGATCTGTTCGACTTTCGCTCCCTATATGGGCTAGAACCATGACGAAGACATCTCTCACTTGTCTTTTCTTGCTCTTTTCCACTTCCAGCAACGCACCGCATGCTGAGTTTTAACCCCGTCTCGTAATCTTACGTAAGAGCTAACTTCTAAAGTCTGTCAATACTACGAGCACGTTGGAAACCACGAGACATTCAATTATATGCAATGCATCACGTTTGAGGAAATTGTAAACATCATCCCGCAAAACAATTTCGTTGTTTATTGTGATTTTTATTTAATGTTGTTGATGACGGATAACGTCGCAAAAATATTAATCTGACATTAAAATTATTCCTTTATATCGCTCTCGACGATGTAATGTCGCTCTAGTAGCTGAGTTATGCATGTTATTGTCGTCAGCGATAAAACTCATATGTGTGAGGTAAGCGAGAACAGAGAGCTTCGATAAGAAGTAGTATAAACATTCGTGATGCATAGCATTCTAGCCCGACTGAATTTACAAGTATTTGCGTTACTCGCCACCTTAGATTCTTGAATATTCATATTATCTTTTGCACGTTCTTGCAGCCCGATTATTACAAAGACGCGCCTCACTTCCGGCTGGTGGGCGCAGGACCACAATATCGCTTGGAAATCCCTTACGCTAAACTCGACTTCACTGGAACGTACTCCGTGATCGCTCGCAACTGCCATGGGGAAGCTAAAGCTGTAATTTCCCTGCAAATTTATGCCAAAGGTGAGACGCGAACGTGAAATTTTAGTTTACATCGCGCATTCAATCAACAACGATTTTTTCAGGTCAAGGCAAAGAGGAACAGACGCAAAAATCTCACGGGCAAGTTGATTGCATAATATAATTATATATGTATAAGATAAATTATCTATCTGTTCACTAATGAAACAAACATTAAACTCTGTAGAAAAGTGATGACCCTGCCGATTATAAAGAGGGAACTGCGAGATCTCAGATGTTGCGACGGTGACGCTGTCTCTCTAGAGTGTAAAGTTTACGCGACGCCGGAACCGCCATTGATTCGCTGGGAACGAGGAGGCAAAGTAATAAGAAAATGCCTTATTAATAGTCACTCGCGGTTGACAAAAAGTGCAATATAAAATATAAAATATCTTTCGTTAGATTATATCTATGATGGGCGATTTCGCCGCCGAATTCGACGGCGAAACGGCGCGATTAAGTATTCAGCACGTCTATCCGGAGGATGAAGGAGAGTACACGTGTGTGGCTTACAACGACCTTGGAAAGGCGTACACATCAGCGTGTCTAGTTGTGGATGGTAATAATCCTCGAGACTGCTTTACAAAAGCATTCCGAATAAAGACGCACCGCGAATTGTGACCATCTCCTTGAATTGACTTTGTTATGCTAATATGCGGTCACGTTCAAAAATTATGTAACGTAAGCATGACTAAATTCAAGATAATCATAGTTTTTTTAGCTTTCGTGCGACGTATACGCGTTAAACTCATGTCATCACACACGTACATACAAGTCAAAACTTATAATCTCAAGTATATTTATAAATGAATTTATCACCTCAAATATTCCGAATCGATATCTGTGTCGTAGTACCCGAGGGAAAGGAAAGTACACTGAGTCAAAGATTGACGAGGCCAGTAGGTCTGTTGTCCGCAGGATCAACACCGAGGTCGACGCCGAGATCGACGCCAATCAGAAGCTTGTCACCAGCGGTGTCACGTAAGCGAAAAGCTCGACCTAGAAGTTTAAAGAAGAGAATATTAATATAAATAAGATGATAAAATGGAAGAGATTAATTAAACGAGAGAAATTATTTTCAGATGGACGCGAGTTCAGATCACCGCAAGTTCTGCCGCGAGGCGGCACGTCGTCGAAGCGACCGAAGGTTTGTCCGCCGAAATTTTACGCGGTGCCGCACAATCGTCTGGTTCAGGAAGGCGAGACTGTGCGTTTCCAATGCGCGGTGGTCGGTCATCCCGCGCCCTGGATAAGATGGGACAAGAATGGTACCATCGTGACACCGAGTACGAGGATCTCCATCAAGGAACGAGACGACGTGAAGATACTTGAGATCGTGGACGTAATGCGAGAGGATGCTGGTCTCTACAGAGTGACGGCGGAGAACGATTTTGGCCGGATCGAAGCCAGTGCTCGTCTGGAAGTAATAAGTACGTATACATCTCGCAGAAAAAAATATACATTTTCTTTTTAAATTAAAAATACAAAGGCAATAATCACTGCGTCAAGTTGAACGTAGCAAAAATATATTAAATTGATTTATCAGCATGAAGTCATAATGAATCGAATAATTGCATGGATGTAAAGCGTAAATGTAAAAAAGCTAAAAATTATAATCAAATTAAAAGAATATTATTATTGCAAAAATTAGCAGATTGAAAGTCGTCATCAACTCGTCTTTTTATGACTTCACGCTGATAAGTCAATTTAATATATTTTTGCTACGTTCAACTTGGCGCAGTGATTATTGCCTTTGTATTTTTAATTTAATTTTTGATTGTTATCCTCAAGCACTCTTTTTATAATTTTAATTTTCTTTTTATACATTTTATATAAACCTTTTCCTTCTTCTAATATTAAATTTGTGAATCGGGAAAAGGTCGATATGAATCAACAAGTCGGACTATCAGGACCAGAAGCGCCTCACCTAGGACTTATCCTTCGTTCGATCGGAGTCTTCTGTCGACTACCAGCAGAATAAGCGAACGTTTGCAGCTGGAATGCCGTATAAGAGGAACACCGAGTGTAACGCCGACGTGGTACAGGTAAAAACGTAGAGACTTTATCGATATAATTTTGATTTGCAATAAATATTATTTATAAATTTTATCTAGAAACGGACGACCGTTGGAACGATCCGCTAGAATAAAGAGATACTTTGACGGCACGACAGCCAAAATCGAAATATCGAAAGTAAAGGCCAGTGACGCGGGTGAATATACGTGCGTAGCGACTAACGTCCTCGGATCAACGAAAAGTAGCTGTCAGGTGAATGAATGCTCATTATGAATTATGAATTATTTGTCAGTAGCTTCTTCGCGTTACGATTTCTTTAACTTATCCTCAGGTAACCGTATTAGATCCGCGTGACTCGTCTATCGCGGACAAGAACGCACCGCGATTTCTACGATCGTTGCCGGAAGAGTCGATTATCATGGAAAATCATTGTCATGAATTTCAGGCAGGAGTCACAGGTAGAATTTATCTTAATCTTTAAATATAGTCACTTGGCTGAGCTTTCGAAAAAAATAATGAAATATAATTTCAATAAAATATGTTACTTACTTCTGTTATTTCTTCTCAGGTACACCTCCTTTCACGATCACTTGGTTCAAGGACGGTCGCGAATTACCTGACAACGATTATTATAGATACGTCATATATGGAGACGGCGGAGTTGCTCTTAGATTATCTCAGGTTCGCCCGCAAGATGCCGGTGAATACACCTGTGTCGTGCGAAACGATTTCGGTGTTGTGTCCTGTAATAGTCTTTTTGCTGTTCAAGGTTTGATTTATTTTTACTTTTATATATTCTTTGTTATTAGATTCTTTAAAATGTTTTCAATGTTTTGAAACAGACTACAAGGACGCCCCAAAATTGGCATTACAATTTACAAAGACTCCATTGTCAGTAATCGCTGTTAAAGGTGGTACCGCTTGTTTCTGTGCCCGAATGCAGTGTGAAAAAACCATGGAACTTGTTTGGACGATTAACGGAAAAGATGCTAGAGAAAATGCAAAGTGTAAAGTATGTAAAATAAAAGATATAAGATAGAGACGTAATTAAATACGCATTAATTCTTAATTAAACATTATTATTTTGCACATTTGCTGTTAATTGTCATTTATATGTTTAAAGATCGAAAGAGATGGCAACGTCAGCATCTTAAGAATACGCGACGTATCGTCGCGTGAGACAGGGGAGATTCGATGCACAGTCTCCGTGAATGGAAAGGGTCCATCCATCAGTTGCACTGCTAAACTGCAGCTACAACGTTCGCTACACGATTCTATCGACAGAAGCCTTCCGTCGGTTTCTGTAATGACAAAGCCCGAAGATATTCAATCTCATGCACAGGCTAAGCTGACGAATAATAATAACGCAGGCATGTCAGAAAAAATCACGGAGCTATCGTTATTGAAACGTCGACAAGGACGCGAGAAATCTCCGACGCGAATCAGATCATCGTCGTTTCCTCGTCGAATCGTATCGTGTACTAAAAATATTTCTCCTTTGCCAGCAAAAAAACGCATTCTTAATAATGCGTCAGCTGATAATCGGAAATCACGCTTTGAAAACAATTTATCGCGAAAAATTACAAAGAATTTAGATAGTAACGCAGAAATGTCAAACGATCTAAAGTTATCATCTTCGTTCAACGAAATAAATGAAGTAGACATTTCGATAAAGTTATTATCATCTAAGAAACCGGAGCAATTTTACCAAGATACTAATGTCGTATCGAACGAAGAATGTGCGAAATCGCTCGTAGAAGAGTTGATGAAAGCTACAATAATAAAAGATCCAGCTGACATCGCCGTATTTAGAGGAAACAGCGCAGTAGTCACAGCAACTTATCAGGGACGTCCCGAACCGACGGTTAAGTGGCTTCGAGTGGTAGGTTTGCTTTCTTTGTTTGTACTTTATCGATTAGTACCAAGTTAGAAATATTTTAATAATATGACATGTAATTCTTATTCTCGCGCGAGCAAATTTTGCGTATGAAAGAGGCAACTGTTGCTCATAATAGGCGCTCTGTTTCGAAATTATAATTATAAACTACTTCGATATAATTAATGCAATCACACTATTTAATCTAAGCGAGATTCTATCGGTCTCCAAGTCTCCACGATGCAGATGAACACTGTAGCATAATTTTCTTATACAGAAATTAATATTGTCAATTATTCAAAATGATCGTTTGCTTATCTTTAGCCGCGAGAAATATGTTGACACCATTTCTTATTATAATACGTATAAAATCCCCACCAATATGTGCCAGATGTGTAAATTTCTGGAAAGCTAATCGAGATATATACATTTCGGTCATCATTATTCGGGCGTCAGTGCCGTACAGCTACTTGCGCAGCTGGCATCAATCAATTTTATCTGTCTTACATTAGTATCTTGATGATAACTTTGATATATTTCATATAAAGCGAAACATTTTTATTTTAATTTAAGAATCGCGAACTGCAGCCGGATGAGAAGATTAAGATAATCAGCGGGAACGGTACGTCTTGCCTGACACTAGACAATGTGACATACGATCACGCTGGAAAATACGAAGTCTCGGTGGAAAATCTACTGGGCAAAGAACGAAGATTCTTTAGTTTAGCTGTGGAAGGTACGTATCATTCATTTTTATACATGTATGTTCGTTCGCTTCCTCCTGCGACTCGTATTCAAAAATTACACGCTAGATTTATTACACGCTTAGATGACTCGGTACTGTTCGATTCGACCTTGGCTTAATTAAGTCCAATTACGCGCGGAGCATCAGTGTGTGTCTCTGATCAATAACAATGTTCAGTTAGAATCTTCCGAAATGATAGCATGTTCCACGCACTCGTATAATATGTAGAACGAGATATCGTTCCACGTGCGTAAATGCGTGTTACACGGTCCAGTTCCTTTCCTCGCGTACAAGGTAGACAGCAGTCTCACGTGACACACCGCGCAATAATTCCTCCTTCCCGCGCTTCCTCCCCCATCAGCATTCCACCTCCACTTCCTCTTTCCTCGAGACCGCGGTATGTCTAACATAAGTCTGTCGGTGAAAAGACGCGTGTACCGCGAGAGAGAAGTGATATGGGCGATGTATCTTAACGACGTAGCGTAATGACATGCAGATTTGTTTCAAAACGCACGCAATCGCGCTCCGAATCTGTGCTTGACGTTTCGCAAAGTTATCTGTAAAATCTGAATTAATCGCGCGTCGATAATATTTATAAAGTGAGAGAGCAGCGTGTACCATAAATATATTGTTTAGTTACTGATTTTTACGAGGATGAAGATGCGCTGAAAAAGAAATCCTGGTTTCTATTCAGGTCCACCTGAGCCAATCGCGGATAAACCGAGTGTGAACCTTAGCACTGGCCAAGCTACGATTGTTTGGAGATCGCCACCTTATGACGGAGGTCGCACGGTAATCGGATATACGGTAGAAGCAAAACACGCAGGTGAAAACACGTGGATGGTAATTGCCGAGTCTTGTCATTCGCTGAGTCATACGGTATCTTCAGCTGAAACGAATTTAGTGATTCCGGGCGAGAGTTACCGTTTCCGCGTCCGAGCTGAAAATATTCACGGTCTCAGCGATCCAAGCATGGAATCAGATTCTGTCAGAATTCCAAAGGAAGGAGAAACAATGTTGCAAGAAGAGGAAGAAGGTGATAATTTATTCTTAAGCGGAGAGATACGACTTTATAATATTTTATATTACGTACAATTATTTTTAAAAAATCTAAAAAATTATTTTAATAAATGTATAAAAAATTAATTAATTGATAACCATTAAGAAATAATCGTTTTATTTTTTAGATGAATTTGAGCCGAGCTTTGCGGCTCGTATAGTAGAACCGGAAGACGGAAAGTTGTTCGGAGAAAGATATAATGTTCTTGAAGAATTAGGAAAAGGCCGATACGGTATAGTTAAGAAAGTCATCGAGCAAGAGACGGACATGAGTTTCGCTGCCAAATTTGTTAAAACAATCAAAGCGAAAGATCGCGAACAGGTGCGCGAAGAAATCAAAATTATGAACATATTAAGGCATCCTAAGCTTCTACTATTGGCTGCTGCTTACGAAAGTCCTCGCGAAACCATACTGATCACGGAATAGTAAGTATACGATATCAATCACTATATTTTAATTATTTGCATATTAAATTTTAATAATATTTCAATATTGTTTTTTTTTTTACTTTAGTATTTCAGGTGGAGAACTATTCGAGAGGGTAGTAGCTGATGATTTTACTTTAACCGAGAGAGACAGTATCCTCTTCATGCGACAAATTTGTCAGGGAGTCGAATATATGCACAAGAACAAAATCGTACATCTTGATTTAAAAGTATGGTTTTCGCAGATAATAAATTATTAATTTGTGATATATATTCGAGCTAAACAGAGTAATTTGTTTTATCTTACAGCCCGAAAATATAATGTGTCGTACACGTACTTCTCATCAGATTAAACTGATCGACTTTGGATTGGCTCAAACTTTAAAATCCGATACACCGATTAGAGTACTTTTTGGTACACCGGAATTTATTCCACCGGAAATCATAAGTTACGAGCCTATCGGCACCGAGTCCGATATGTGGAGCGTCGGTGTAATTTGTTATGTCCTGTAAGTATTAATTATTTTTTATTTTAATTAATTTAATTTTAATTTTAATTTTAATAATTATATTTAAAAATAATTAGAAAAATAATAAATTATTTAAACGATAATATATTGGACTAATTAAACCTTTATTATGCATAGGCTCACCGGTTTATCGCCATTCATGGGAGATAACGATGCCGAGACCTTTGCTAATATCACACGAGCGGATTATGATTTAGAAGACGAAGCTTTCGATGCCATATCGAATAACGCCAAGGATTTTATTAGTGGATTACTAATCAAACGAAAAGAGTACATTTTTAATATTTTTCATATTTTAAGAAATATTTAGCTTTAGGTTCAGATAAATTTAAATCTCCTCTCTATGATTTGTTCGACATAGATTACGTATGTCAGCCACACAGTGTTTAGAACATCCATGGTTAGCGCAACACGCTGCAACAATGAGCAGAATAGCTTTGCCGACTGAAAAATTAAAGAAGTTCATTATACGAAGAAAATGGCAGGTGTGAATCAATAGATTTTTCCGAAAATTTAAATTTAAATTATTGGGTATCATTAATTTGTGTAACATTAAACACTAAGTAAAACATAACAAAATGTAAATATACGAAGAGATAGATCAATATATTCTTTTCAAAACAAGGAATATCCAGGAGATGGCATGTTCCATTAAAAATTAAAAAACATTAAAAATTTAATTGATACTTATTTGAAATATATTTTCACATTGATTTTTCTTTAAAAAAAAATTGAATTCAATTGATCTCAATTGAACTCAATTTATCGCAATAAAACATAACATCAAGCGATACTTAATAGCATAGCTTTTGTGTAGTTTGAGATATTGTTTGTTTTTTAAATAATCTTAGCATGTGTTTATAAATGTTGCGTGTGCACGCGTTGCGCTATTTATTTCAACAGAAAACAGGAAATGCCATTCGCGCACTGGGAAGAATGGCTATTCTTTCGGCAAACAGTAGACTCAGTCCCACAGCAACGGCAGAGTCATCACCTACGCTCGAGCAACGATTCGAGATGCAATATTCTGATGATAGACTTAAATCAATTCGCACTGCTATCGATGAAGATACGGAACATGTCGTGACAGACGCGAAAGAAAATTCTGCTGAGACAGAATCATGGACGCATCCCACTTATAAAATGATTGAAATAAATACCGAAATAGAAGAGACACCGGCGAAGGAAGAAAGCTTAAGTGATCTTTCAAATCAGGTCGAAGAAAAAACGTCTAAATTACATATCGAATTAATTCCAAAAATACAGAACGTCACGACGCGTCTGGAAATTTTAGCGTCGAAAGAGAACGAGAAAAGTGACAAGGAATTAATCGAAAAATCTTCCCAAATGGATGCTATTCCGAAATCACAAGTATTGCACAGGGTATTTCGTGGCGATTCACGCGATTCCGGAATAGGTGATTGCGGCTCGAACCAGATGACATCCTCATTACAAATGGATGAATTAGAAATAGAGTCCACTATCGTAGAAGAAGTAGATCATGAAACTCACAACCGAGAAAGTAAACAAACGTTCAGGAAGGAAGAAAATCAACAAAGTTCTACAAGGATCACACACGTAGCAAGTTTATCACAAGGCCAAAAAAATCCTCTTCACGATTCCGGAATTATTGCGAGTAATGACAAGGTAGTTACAAAGAGTGACGTAACTAAAGCTTCGTGTGAAACTAATCCTGTGCGGAAAGGTGTGTGTAAGCGCGATTAACTTTTCTTGCTCATAATATCGATAATCATTCATCACGTTTAATAAAACAATATTATTGAAATTTTACAGTTGCCGATGAAAGTTCGAACGCAAGGATATTAAGCGGACGTAACCACGATAGATTCCTTCCAACCGGAAAGGTAAGTCGCACGGCCAAGATATTCGAAAGAGAGAGTGGAACATCGAAATCGGACAATTCACAGGTTCCGCAACGCGCGTATCCTGCCGCTTTGGTCACAGGAAAGCCACACAACGAAAGAATACAGAAAGCTTTCGCGTTCTGGAATAAATAAAAATATCTGTCGAAAATAGCCTGGCACTGAATAAAATACAAATTGAAGTAGATAAAACTTCGTATCACTTTCAAGATAGAAATGCATTGTTATCGATATAGAAATGCATTGTTTATGAGAAATCACGAATATATAGAGATATTGTTCTTTACGCACATATACGTATGTAAAGTAGTGACGTACAATCTGTTGACATACACTTGTTGAAGTCATAATCCTTGCTCGCGTTCCTAACATTCAAAAATAAATATAAATTGTTTTATCAATTATATCAATATCAAAGTCGATTTTACGAAGAGAGAAGCACTTGTGAGTGGTCATTTTCACTTTTATAAAAAAACCTTTATAAAAAAGCAATTTGTAACATTTTTGTATCATAGAGTTTGAGAGAAAATTCAGCTCTCAGAATCTGCGCAATTTGTTTCTTATTTTTTTTATTTAAACGCTAATATTATAATTACATTCGTAAATTGAAAGAATATTTTTATGCTACATTAAAAATAGATTTCAGTTCTCAATGTAATTTTGAAAATCAGTGTTATATATAGCTATATTTATGTGCATGCGATTGATACTTTTGTTAAATATAGCATATTTTATAATATATATGTAAAACATTTTTAAAAAATGCGAAATTGAAAATATACTATATTTCTTGATGATTGATTTAATATATATATATATATCTGGTATAATATTCTTCAGTACAGAATAATAATATATTTATGCTGGGAACGCGCATAAGTGCACTCTATTAAATCAAAAATGATTATTTTTGCAAACATATCCCTGCAGTTGTATTGCAAAGATGAGATGGACAACGCCTGTAATCTATTTATAAGTTATTTACATAGAGAAATAAAGGATTTATCTATGTATTTGAATTATATTAATAAATATTCCTATACATGAGAAAGATATTTATTATTTAATATGATATCCATTAAAGTAAGTATTAAAAAATGTTTATAATCTATATAAACTCTCTATAACTATTAAAATTTCAATCAACTTACTTAATATTTGTGCAATTTTTACATATCTAAATCGCCGAATATACCATTATCAGTAATTGTTAAAAGTTGAAGAGTGTCACCAATATCCAAGTAATTAAAGCTATCAGCTGTTGCTGGTAACCAAATAGTACTTATATCCTCATCAATGACAGGTGTAGGATTTCTAAGAAATGAGAAAATATATTTTTTTTTATTTTAAGATACAATTTTTAACAAATGATTTAAGAGAATTTATAACTTACCCTGTCTTTGCAAAATTAGCCCACATTTTCGTAAGAATTTCTGATATTTCCCGATCTTTTGTACCTATTGCTGGCGGTTTAGGATCATCGACTTTACATTTTGGTTGGTAAAAAAGATATGACATATCGTCTGTATGAGAGGCTCCTAAAATATTAAAATATTAATTACATAACATAAAATTAAATAACACAAAAATTATGTACCACTAAACAAATAGTGAAGATTCGAATTCGGCCAATCTAGAAATTTTATAAATTGTATATTTACCAATCATAGGCAGATTATTTAACAAAAGTTTTGTGATAGTCATTTCATTTCCGACATAGGAAAAATTATAGTGGTAGATCGGTGACTGCTTCTTTTTTCTTTGATTATTTACAAAATTTTTAACAGGAATAGAAAACCACAAATCACTCAGGAATTGTACAAAAGATGGAATACTCTCTTTAGTAAATGACTTATTATGAAAATAATGCTGTTTAACTTGCTCCGTCAATCGCGTTATCTTTTCTGAGTCTTGTGAGTTTGTAAGCTTTTTTAGCAGAAGCTCTATATCTGCGTACTTTGCATTTAAAAATTCTTCACTAGTATCTGTGAACAGAGAAGAATAATTTATTAATTTAAGAAAAATAAACTCATTACATAAATATTATGAAAATTCAAACAAAATGCACAATGTGTTTCAGCCTGTTCACATGTAACTAAATTCACTAAATGTCACTAAATTCGAACATTTTTAATACCTTTAAAAAACATTATATATTCATGAGAAGTAAAACCAACTATAATTGGTATATCATTATCATTATCAAGTAATTGAGAAAGAGGGCATGGCAGAAAAGATCTTTTGGATTTCTCATCGATCGTAGGTCCAAACGGTATATTACAAATGCGCGCTTCCTACAAAATATTTTTAAATATAATTAAGAATAACAGGTATTATAAATTTGTTATAATACTTAAGATATATAAATAACTCCTCGAACATTAAATAATTAAATTAATTCAATATTAGAGATAGAATAAAATAAATATATATAAAAAGAATAATTTACTTGCGGAGTGAGAACTTTATATTGCGCATTGACAATTTCGGCGGCAGGTACCGTTTGAAGAAACTCAATAACTTCTCTAGGATCCTTAGACTTATTACCAAATATTGAAGCAAGCTTAAAAGTATTGGCTTCTACATTCTCTATTAGCGCCCAAGGACACGTAGCTATACCACTCTGAAGAATGGCCTTGTGAAAAAGACCTAGAGATACGAGTAACGATAAGTATTAATTTTGTCAACAAGAATAATTTCATTATTTTGTCATTATTTTTAATATTAAAAGCTTACCTTTAGATAACGGCGAGAGCATCAGTAAATGTACAGATGAACCGCCTGCACTAATACCAAAAATAGTGATGTTGTTCGGATCTCCGCCAAAAGCCTCGATGTTTTCCTTGATCCATTTTAATGCGGCAACTTGATCCTTCAAGCCTTGATTTCCGCTTGCTACTTCATGACCTATATTTAAGAAACCTTGAAAAATGAAAACTTTATAATGTACGTGAATTAACAAATAACACGTGTGTATTTTGACATATCTTGAGATGTAAATACGCGATAAGAAATTTTTATATTTTCTAAAAAAGAAATACATCTAGTTAAGAATACAAAATCTTACCTAAAGCACCGAGTCTGTAATTTATAGATACTAGAATGATATCTTTTGTGATAAGATAATCAGGTCGTGTGGCAATATCATTACCATTGCCAATAAGATAAGCCCCTCCATGAATCCACACCATAACCGGATTTTGTGTTGTTCGATAGATATTGTATGGTATATAAACATTAAGATAAAGACAATCTTCGCTGCCAATTATTGCTTCAATTGGCAATTGTTGCCATTGTATGCAAATATCACCATTTTTGGAAGAATCTCGGATACCTTCCCAAGAAGCCGGAGGTTCCGGATCCTAATTTCAAACAATAGTAAAATACGATTCTATGAAAATATAGACATCATATAGAAAAATGAATAAAAGATTATATAAATTTGCGACTTAATAAGGCAACTTAATATTTATTATTATACCTTAAATCTTAACTCGTTCACTGGCGGAGCAGCAAAAGGTATGCCTTTAAAAGCGAGGTAACGAGAACCGAGAACATTATCTTCGAAAATTCCTTGTAGTTTTCCTTCCTTCACAGTCACGATCGGTCTTTCCATGATGGAATATGAATTCATACTTTCTACTCTCTGACAGTCACGTAGCAGAATGCAGAATATATTAGATAGTGTTATCTTTATACTTTATATACCTTCAATAGAGATATTATTGAAATAATGATAAGCCATATATAGCATGCAGTACATATATATATATATATATATATATATATATATATGTACTGCATGCTATATATGGCTTATCATTATTTCAATATATATATATATTTCAATATATATATATATATTTCTTGTGCATGACAATTGATAACCTACACAATGTAACATTACGTACACAACAAAAATGTAAAGCTGGAAACGATGAAATTTTCAGTTTTCCAAAATGTTGATCGAGTCAGTTATCAATAAAAACTAAAATCTCAGATAATAATATATTCGTTTCAAAAACGTTTCATAATCGACTCTTCGCGTTCCTAATTTAAAATATCTACTTGAAAAACATTAAGAGATATGTTTCTTTTCTGATAAAAAAAACGTTTAAAACACTTTTTCTTCTTTTATTCGTTAACATTTATTCGTAAACATTTATTTTCTCATGGAATTATATATAATAAATATATATAAATTATATATAAATTAATATATATATTTATATATATATATATATATATATATATATATAAAATTAATATGTAAATAAATTAATACGATAAATGTTTCAAAAATTTTTAAAATCATAATATATACATATTTCTCTGATTTATTATATTATATATGAACTATTATATTATATTATATATACAGGGTGTCCACCAATTTTCGACCTTAACGAAATAAAGAAGTAGATTGGCTCAAATTAAGAAGGAATGATCTGTATTGTTTTGGGATTGTCGCAATAATTAATATTAAATAAAGAAATATTAAATAAAGAAGATCGGCCAATCTACGTGAGTATATAATATTTATATTTATCGAATAAAAAAGCGAGTCGGAACGCAATCAGTCGAATAGTAAATTAAATATTTATATATACCAAACGAAAAGATGAATCAGAATGCATTCGTTCGATTAATTCGTTAAAAATTTATATATATGTATATAACGAATTAATCGAACGAATGCATTCCGATTCATCTTTTCGTTTGGTATATATAAATATTTAATTGACTATTCGACTGATTGCGTTCCGACTCGCTTTTTTATTCGATATATATAAATATTATACTTAAGTGTGAGTCCAAGAAGTAGATTTCGGATATTCTCTGTAAGTCAGCCGCTCCTCGGGCGATTGGGACGAGATTTAAACGGTAGTGCCGCGAAATGGTGTAGAATTTTATGCAAAAAGAACGAAATTGCTATCGCATCCGGAAGTCGAGATATAAATTGGCCGTTTTTCGTATGCGCGCGTTCGATTTATACTATCTATATTTGTACATCCATGATATCGTTTCTACAGTGTATAGCACTGTATCTAATCCATAGACGTATGTACATGCAATATATAGACCGCATTTTCCCACTCTCTCTTTTGTGTGGACATGAAATTTTAGAAAGAAAGAGCTTACTTTCATAGTAGTTTCTTCTTTGTCTAACGCATGATGAGGGAAAGAAATCGATCAAGAAATATGTCAAATGCAGTGGCCATATTAAATTTTTGTATTCTTGTTATTGATAGACAGAGAAACTAATACTACGAAAATATGTTGTCTCTTTCTAAAATTGGGCTAATCTTAGTGAATCTAATCAATAATCTAATCAGTAATTTAAATAGTCGATATAATTAACGAAATTAAGAAATTATTTTAAGAAATGTAATCATTTCTCATATATGTAAAAAAGAACATTTTCATGTAAAGATAATATATGTATTTATTATTAAACACACATATATTTGTTACATTAAACAATCAATATTTTTTTTAAATATGATGTAATGCATTTTTGTTTTGATTTGTAACACAGCTGCACGTTTTGACTGGATTTAATGATCTATGGATTGACCAGGCGCATTGATTTGTGGGCATCGATAACAACTCAGCCACTTTTTGAGCGTTTTGCTTTTTTTCCAAAGATGATTTCTTAATCTATCATAAAATATATAATCATCAGTTTTTATAATAATTGAGTCTGTGCAAAAGAGAAAAAAATAAAAAAAAACAAAATTAATAATCTCTAAAAAATTCTAATTTTATTATTTTTCTCTAATCATCATTTATTCTTAGTGCAATCAAATCTTAACTCTTTTACATCATTATTAAACTTTAACAATCAGAATGTTTTCTATACTGCAATAAAAGTAAAAGATATCTAATAAGTTTTTTTATCTAAAATAAATGTTTTATATATAAATATCTAATAAGTTCTTTCCTATTACATTTTTAAAGCGTATATAAGTCGAGACTGATTAATACATTTACTAACTTCGTTAAATTTTCTTCTAACTTTATATCCTCTATATGTAGCCTGTATCATCGTAGCCGCTTCTTCTTCTGATTTAGCCGAATCAGTATGATCCTCAGTATATTTTAATTTTTTCGACAACTTTTGTGGTTCTTTTGTGTATAATATTGCATTTTGTTCCCATTGTTTGCAATTATAAATATCCGGAACATTTTTCTGCTGTCGATCTTCATATTTTAGCTTAATCAATGAATAGAAAAATTAAATCTTTTCATGTAATTTAAGTAAATAATCGCAAAATATAAACAACGATTATAAAACAATTCTGATTATAGAATTATACAATTATTATTACTTGCTTTCATGTGATAATCATTTATTTATTTTAATATTTTACTTTTTACTTTTCTACGTATTTTCATATATATTACATATTAAGAAGTGATAAATATGTGTATTTAAGTATATCAAAGTGTTGCAATGATCTCATTGTCAATTGTGCATGTAACAAAATTTCAGCACGTAAAACATATAAAATATTGAATGTGATGAAAGAAAACATTTAAAATACATGTTGATCAAAAGTTTTTTAACTTTTTCCATAATCTTCATTCATTAATCTCTAATTTTCTATATTTCTGTTATTTTGTATAATGCTGAACAAATATAGTCATACCATCGAAATCTCACGCTGATGTTTATATATATGTTTTTCGTTGTTTAAAAAATCTGAAGATTTTCCTGGCGATTCACCTGCTCCACGATATTTTGAATTTTGAACAACAAGCATACTATTTCTATTTGTATTGCATTGCGTTTTATTCTAAATAAAAATATAACATTATTTTTGTAAAAATAAAGATATCTATAATTGTAGATAAATTGCCCGTACAATAACATATACTTAATATCTATTTAATTTTTCTTTTAAAAAATAAAGAACGTTATAATTATAATAATCGATTTATATGTATATAAAAGTGATAAATTTGTATTTATTGTATTAGTATTATATATTATATAACATATATCGTTTAGTATATAATATATACTAAACGATGAATTAAAGATTTTAAATACAAAATGTGAAATGACATAAATTTTTAATTTCTTAATCAAATTGTTATATTAAGATTTACCGTTCTTATATTATCACTTTTGCCCATATTGTTGAAACATTGTGTCAAGATTTCGGAAGGGATCATTATGCCCGATGAGGTTGAGATTTTTGGAACGTTTTTTTTTGGTGCTCTAATCTGTGCTGTGCTATATTGTTCTAAAATAAAATGTGAGAATTAATAATTTGGATGCAAATGTTAATTTAAATGGTATTCAATTTCATACATCAATATTAATTTTCGCATTAATTTTCAGATTACATATTTGTATCGATTTTTAAAGGATGCAATTCTACACAACAATGATTTTGGTTATAGCCACACCTGTTCTTTCCGGTGATAACGATGAGCAATCTTTAGGAGGAGAATTAGGAGGAGTCGGTATTTGCATATTTCGTGTTTTTAGCTCAGAAATGTTTGTTTTTTGATATTCTTCGAGATACAAAAGAAACTCACGATACGTAACATAATTCTGAAACAAGAAAATTATTAACAAAAGTGTAAAACAAATTATTTTATATCTTATATTTTAAACGTAGCTTATAACTTTTGGAATAATACATTGCATATCAAATGAAAAATATTATTTGTTGAATTAATAAAGTATAAATTACTTTGTCTTGTCCTACCCAGTTGCGATTAATCGGTTCGCTGAGCCCAAGTAAATCGATCCAATGATAATAATCTTCCGTTTGATTACCATACCAATATTTTATAATGACAAACCTGCAGAATTTGATTAATTATAATTTGTTCATATTTTAATCTATATATATTTCATATATGAATTATTTTGTAGCTTGTATAATTATAAATAGCATTCATACGCAAGCCCATCATCCACCATTTTTTGCACTTCAGGATAAGCCATTAATTCCATAAATTCTGGATTTTCAGGATTCCTTTTGACATCTACCAATTGCCAAGGAGCTATAAGCCCAAATCTAACACACTTGAGCACTTCCAACATGTGTTGCTTCCTTTCATTCCAATCATGCATCAACCATCTCACCGCAGACATTAAAACCTCTATTTCGCTAAATAATATCAAAAAACATTATACAATTTATTACTACATTTAACTACATAAAACATTTATACTATATAAAACATTTCTTCCCAATTTATTAATGTTTTAAAAAAATGAGATTTTTAATATCAACATTTTTTAAATAACTGACTTATATAATATTTTTATATATTTAAAACTGATATTTTTTTAATATTTTCATACCTATTAACGCAAATATAATTGGATTTCAATAATAAGCACAATTCATCCACTGACAATTCCAAGAAATCTTTTGTGCTAACAAGCAACAAGAAGAATTTCATGATTCTCGGCACCATCAGTTCCATTACCGCAGTGTTTCCAATCTTTTTTGCTTCCAAATATAACAAGAAGGCAGTATCTTCGGAGAAAAGCTCGTCATTATCAATGAATGCCCAGCATTGTTCTTCTAACTCTTCATAAAATACAATGCTTATAATTTTAGCATAAATATCACGTTCGTGTTGTATATCATATTATTTTATATTTTTTTATTTATATATATTTAATCGAATTGTGCGTCTCTACTTTCAGAAAAAAAAGTATTTCTCATCTTACAAAATGAAAAAAATATAAGTTAATATCATACCTTTAATACCAAGATATTGCGCAGCCATGAAGATTTCCAAAATATTATCTCTTCGTAATAATTGATAACTTTCGTTAATTGGACTTATCATCCACTCATAAATAATAGAAAAAGCCTTGGAAGTCACACTACTCTATATAGTTTATGTATATATGTAAATAAATAATCGCATTTTATCTTAAATTGGTAGTATTATCTCCTATTTTTTCTTATATAAAAAAACTATGATTATATTATAAATTTTCTCAAATTCGAAACTGTCAACAAACCAACTTCTTTCTTTAAATTCCAAAGATACATTTGAAAGTGCATGTTTCTGATACGATAAAACTAATCTGATATGATGAATCAATTCTAATCTAATAAGATAAAATCAATTGAGATCTTACACCGGATAAGTTAATATCCTTGTAATTTTTTTCATCAAAGAATGTGCTGTAACTTTGCAGGACAAGTAGATGACAATAATACTCATCGGGATCAATTCGGACAATGCAGTCGGCATTTCTTGATGAGAAAATATTTATTTTAATTTTGAATAAAATAATATTATGTTGAAAACCTTAAGATTACAACTTAAATTTAGTTAAATTTAAATATAGTTATACAAGCTAGATATTTTCTTTACTAAATAAAATCAAAGTTATATCTTTTAAATATTTAAAATCTGTAATACGATAAATGTAAAATATTTTGTCTAACATTTAAAAGTTTCATTATTAAAGATCTATTTTTACTTGTAATTTGTGATACGTCTAGCTAATTCTTGATACAAATCAGTTTTCTCTGGAAGAATTATATTGTCCCAATTGATCGGATGCCCATTCGTAATCCCTAATCTACTCAAAATGGAAAGAAACGAGGAGGTTTAAAGTAAAAAAATAAATATTATCACATAAACAATATTGCTATAAATAATGCAGCATGTCTCTTAAAAATTTATAACTAGCAAATTTATAAGAAAACTAACGAGGCGAGAGGTACTTCGTTCATTGGAGGTAATTGATAAGATGTTGGTTGTACCGATTCCATTTTTGATAAATTAAATTTCGTGTTTGACTGCGTTCGTGATCTGTACCTTGCTTCGATATAAGGTAATTTCTTTTTAGCCTGTTGCACGATCGAACAATATTTAAATAATATAACAAGAATGATTGAAAACGTCCTTATCATTAAATAAATTTTACATTAACATCATTGAATTAATTATTTTTTACTAAATAAAGAAAAATTATACTATTGAATTATACTACTGAAAAATTATACTACTTCAAATAATTATAAATATAAAAATTAAAAAAAATTCTACCTGCAACTGATCGATGGTTGATGACGTGACGCCAGGGGGAAGATCAATATATCTCGTCTGATTCGAGGAATCAAATGTACCGTCGTCACCGGATCGATTAAGTTCAGCCTTAACGTTAACCTTCGTGCGTCGCGGATCGGCAACTAGAACGCTAAATTTCTTCGACTCGAAAACAACCTAAAACAACTATGCTACGTTTGCTTCGAAGCTGACATTTTTGAAAAAAACGTTCTTGTAACTTCTGAATAGATCTTTCTTACCTGGTTCGGGGTGATCTTGAGATTACCACTAGGTGTAGCTCGAAAGGGAAACACACGACTCACTTCGTTATTCTCGTTCACGCAAATAAATGTAGAATTAACGTTCGTTTCCTCAGGATACTTTTGTATTTGTTGCATCGGAAAATCTATGTTTGAGCGAAGCGATGATTGCTTCTGGTTTTTGACGTCTTCAACTTGTCTGTAAAGTTATTATTATATTTTTAATTGTACCATTTTATCCAAATATCTATCTCGAACATTATTTACTTTGGACAATGATCCATAAATTTCGAAGCAGCAGCTTCAATCGACGAGCATTGTTTCTTCCAAAGTCCCTCCTCTTTGATGCACTTCTGTGATCTTTGATTAATTGTGTTCTCGTTGGTATGATAAATAATTTTCCTATCTTGAAATTTGACGGGATTTGTACTAGACTCGGCTATACATTTCGATTTATTATAGATGGGATCTATTTCCGTTTGCTTTTTAGATGCAGTCCAATGATGACGTTGCAGCGGTGACACAATTCGTTCAACTCGATTCGCGTGATAAATATTTACATTTAAAGAATGCTGTTGTCTCGATTCACGACGATATCTTCTGGAAGTAGTTCTTCGACGACGTAGCGGATATCTCGGGGACAAACTTTCCGGAGTTTCTATGATCTTTATCCTTTTAAAGATTTTTCATATAAAGATATTTATCTCTTTTAATAATTTCACATAATAATTTCTTCAAATTTCTGCTGCACTCCAGGATGTATTTATATATTTACTCACTCACTTGTCAGGTGATGCGGAATTTGCTACTTTCGATGGCGATATGCACGGTGATTTTATCACTGTTTGATCGGATTTCGAAAGTTGCACGAGAGTCTTCGAGGAAGAAGATGGAGGAATGCTGGATCTTCCGTGATAAAGGACGACGACGCTATTTTTACTATTTCCAGTTCGCGGTTGATCGGATATTGCCGATCGATCTGCTTTAGGTTCGACTTAAAAAAACTTCTATTTGAGTCGATTTCTAAAAATTCTACAACTTCATCCTAATAACTTACTTTTTCTGCTATTCTGTCGAATGACTCTTACAATTCGTGGCGTACTATTTTCCTTCCTGTTGTCAGCACAATACATTAGACGCCTTAAACGAAATAAAACGACATTTGCACGACAACTTTAAGATGTTCATTGAAAACGTATTAATTTTAAACGATTCAAGTTTTTTAATTAATTACCAAAATTTTTCATTGAATTTACAATCAGGCTTTTCACCCTCACTCGAATGCTTTTCTTCGAAAGTTACTTGCGGCTAAAAATTCATCCATCAAAATAACACATTTTTAACTCATCATACCTTAATCAAAATTAGAGATAAAACTTATGCTTACCTAGAATTTTTTTATGAATTAAAAAAAATATTAGAATTGTATAAAAAATTTAGTTCGCATTCTTATCTCGAAGAAAAGGATGTTATGTACAAAATGATTATATGGTTGAAATTAAATAATAATCATACGTGCAAATTGTACAACATTAAAATATTTTTACGTATCATTTTAATAATATTTTGAATTCAAAATTAATTTATATCTATAATATTATTAAAGTAACACACAAATATATCTTATATTTTACCTCATGTTTTTTCAAACGTTGACGTGATATAGAAGATTCAATATTTGAAATATGTTGAGACGTAGCAGTCTGATCAGCCTCTCTAGTAACTAAAACGTGTCTCCACAAAGCGATACGTATGTAAAAAACGGATAAACGAAAAAATCTTAAATCATTCTATGACAAACCCATCAGAGACACTTTCATCATATGAAATGTACAAACTTTCTAACCACAATATACTTCAAACTTGCTTTCAATTTCATTTACACTTACATCACTTACGTAATTTTGCTTCAATGATTTGTTTATTAACAACCGGTTGTTGATAATAATAGGATGCTTTTGACGGCAATTCGCGAAGATTTAATCGATCGTTCTCTTCGTTCTTTGATGTTCGACACGCAAATCGCAAACTATGACAAGACTGTGTCACTCTTCAAACATGTAAGATTGTACATAGCTTATAGTTTCTTTAAAATATAAAAAGATTATCAAATATATCAAATATATTACTTTGGATTTAGTAGATCGAGTTCGGATGAGAAACAAGATTCGTCTTCAGCGGTCGCAGAAGTATCGAACTGCCTCGCGAAAATTTCAAGTAAGAGATAAAAATAAATATATATAAGATATCCCCTTTTTTGCAAACAAAACTCAAAAATTATTGATTTATCGTGCTAAGCTTTTGCATTTTACTTACGTCATAACGTGTGAGACTTCTTTGCATGATACGTATCGCGTTCAAAAAATAACTCGTAAGATTGGCATAATAACGACACTTCTTTCTCGCGCTTTCGTCACGTGGAATAAAAGGCAGTAAAAATATATATCATACAAATGCTGTGACGTTTAAAACCAACGGGACATTTGTAAAAATGCGCGTGTCCAAAAAAGTCATAGATACGTAACAAATGAACGCGATTAACAAGAGAACGTTCCGCTTTGTTTTCAAAATTATCCATTTTTAAATATTTGAATGTATCGAAGACTTCTCAAAAATTACCTCTTTTTTGCGATGTTGATTGATTCTGATACGCTTGCTTTATTCATATTATTTGACAATTTGATAGTTTATAATAAAAAATTAAATTAAAGAAAATAAAATTAAACACAAAAAAAGGGGAAGCAAAAACATTTAGATTGCAGCAGTTTAAGTTATCAATGATTTAAATTAATTATTAATCCGCAATAAAGTTTGCATTTATACATATTATAGTATCTTGTATCTGTTATTGATTTTTCCAATTCATATGATATTGATTTTTATTACTCAGCTAATTTTATTTTTCATTTTTCCATTTTTTAAAATGCTCTATATATAATACATATTTATCATTTTTATTATATTTAATATTTAAAAGGATATAAAAATGATTTCCGCGTAGTGAGCGTAATGTTATGTTCTAGTTAAATTTCTAAATTAACATTAAACCTATCACGACTGGTCAAATGATTGTTTTTAAATTTTGTAAACGGTCGGTTTATTTTATTTTTTTTTATTTCTTTTAAACCTGTATAAAAATGACTATTATTTACATTTAATTGTAAAGAGTATAACTTTTTCTTAATGACTGATTATTTTTTTACGATTACGGTTCAAATAGATTTAATGTTAAACAATTTGAATGTTCATATATAATAGAAATTTTGTATTTTGGTATAAATATATAACACACACTTTACTAAATATTTCTTATATAAAAAATACATACATTACTTTTTTTAATGTACTAATAAGCGGCATAAAAACGTTAACTCTTAAAATTTAAAATATGAATTAAAACATTCGAAGAAATTGGAAAAGTTTTATGAATATAAAAGAATATCATTGTCTTTAGAAAGAAAAGATGAACATTCATAAAAAGATATTAACTATAAATATAATTAGTAATATTTAAAGTTTATAATTCCACGAAAATGATAATTTTTTTGTTATTATTATGCATGAAGAGATATGGAGATATCAAGGTCTCTACTATAGAACAATAGAGAAACTAAAGAAGTAAAACCTCCAATTGAAAGTACATAATGCTTATGTTCGACAGTCTTTGATCTGTGTAACTGCAGCTATAAGTAAACGATTAAAATAATTTCGTGATGTAGTCGACACATTTATAAACAGAATTATTAAAGGCAATTATCTTATGATGTATGTACGAGCGAAATAATGAAAGTGCTGTGCATGTCCTTTCTGAATATATTGTTTCACTACATCAATTCTTCTATTGATACGCAAAATGCAATTCTTCGATGGACGCAACTATAGAATCAATAAAATTCTCCTGTCATGCATAGGCCAATGGCCGTATCAAACGAAAAGGAGTAGCAGTACTATTATTGTCATTATAGTATCTTTAGCTGGTACGCAATTTGTCGCCAAGGTATAACGATATCTGCTACGCTTGAATATCGCAAACATGGAATTACTCATTCATTAAAAAGTTTATCCATGTTTTTTATTAAATGACTTATTTGGTGGCAGCCAATTGTTCTATATAAATATAATTTAAATGCTAAATATTTTACATTTATAACTTTTTACATTTATAACATTTATAACTTATAATACTTTATGTTTATAACTGTACGTTTTGAATAGATATGTGGTTTGTTCTCAATTGAAGATATCGATACATTCATCGATTCTCTTTCACCATTAGTAGTCGATATAGGATGTGGAATAAAATTAATCACTTGCATATTAAAAGCGGAGAAGGTATACACATTGCGATATATTATAAATTCTAAAATATTCTCAATTAACACTTAAAATATATAATTTTCTAAACTTTGTTAAGTCGTTACGAATATTGCGTATGTGTGTGTTACTTATTTAAACAATCAGAGCATCAATTTATATACATGTACATATACAAAATCTCAGTATAAAATATTTTAAATTTTTATAATTTAGAATATTTTTCAAAATAAAATTTATTTACAGATCAGAGCACTTTTTGATCAAATACAGAGCGATTGGCAGATGCTAATGAAATCGACATACATCAAGATTCTTAATAATTATGCTCAAAATGGGCGAACATTTACGATCATATATGCAAGTAAGTAAAATAATTTTATCTCTCTCTTTTAAAACATCGATAAAGTGGTTTTATTTTGATATCACAACAAATGAAAAAGAATAAAAAATAAGCAAAAATATTTGCTCTATTTAGGTTCTTTTTATTCTGCATTGGTATTATTTATGTTAGTGCCGCTATTACAACCATTGTTGCTGCATTCTCCTTCAAATGATACAACTCGACCATTATTACATCAGGTCGAATATTACATTGATATGGACAAATATTATTTTCCGATCTTGATTCATGGATATGTTACAGCTATTGTTTGTGTAAGCATAGCCATCGCAGCAGACACTATGTATGTGATCATGATACAGCATGTTTGTGGATTATTTAAAATTATCGGGTAAATAATCTCACAAACTTATATTTCTCTCAAAAACATTTTATTTTAAATTAATATAGATATTTATAATGTACATATTATAATAAATATAAATAGAATCATAATTTTAAAACAATTATCAATTGCTTTTAATTAATTGTTTTAGGCAACAACTAGAAAATATAATAAAGGAAGATAGTCTAGAAATAAATCTTGAACCACCTATAAAAGATGATAAACCATATAAAAACATCATAAAAAGCATTCATGCGCATAAAAGCGCATTAAGGTTTGCTGTAATATATAGTATGCCAGTCAATTATTATTTTATATTGTTTCATATGTATGTATCTTTTGCTAGAAATTTAAATTTATATTTAAAATTTAAATTTAAATTAAAAATATAAGAAAAGGGTGCTAAGCGAACTATAAATTGCGAATTTTTTAACATAGAAGTGACTATAACTCGGAAATTACATATGCTTATATAGCTTTTTTCTTTCTTTTTGAGTCCCGAATCACTTCCCGAAGTACTGCGGGCGATTTTCCGAGCAACCTGTATATTAGATATATTAGATATAAATATATTCCTTTAAAAAATATTTTAATTAAAATGTATTTTTTTACATAAAATTTGCATATATATATAAAGGTATGCCAATCTCCTGGAAGCTACATTCAATCAGATGTTTCTTACACTAGCAGGTTTTAATATGCTTATCATGAGTATGACAGGAGTTACGGTATATCAATTTTATTTAAATTTTTATATTCTAAAATATAATTCAAAAAATAACTTAATAAAATTAACTAGAAAAGATAATTATAATATTAATTATTTTGTAATTAATATATTAATCTTATTTAGGCTGCGACAAACATGGACAAGCCGGAAGAATTTTTAAGACAGATAACATTTGCATGCGCATTATTAGTGCATCTATTTTTTGAGAGTTTTCAAGCACAAAGTTTGATCGATCACAGCGCATATATTCATACTAATTTGTACGTACAAATATTTTCATATTATTAAATATTATTAAAAAATGTTATATAAAATGTAATAATGTGACGCATGTATCTGTAAAATATTCGAAAGAAAATATAATTTTTTTTAGGACAATATATGTATTTGTTTATTAAAATGAAACAATAATTATAAATCTTATAACAAATTTGATAACTTTCAATTTTTAATAAAATAAATAGGATTTCTTGTTAATTTAGAAATTAAAAAAAAACATGACATTTTAATTCTGTAAAATTAACTTTCAAGAATGTTTCATGCATACATACATATGAAAATATTCTCAGTTATGAAAAATATCTGTCGTTTTGCAGAATGAATATAGCATGGTACCAAACCTCATTTCGAACGAGGAAAATCTTGACTTTTATGATAATGAAGACGCGAGAACCTTGTGTATTAACGGCAGGAAAGATGTTTGTGATATCAATGGATACTTTCTCTACAGTAAGATTTGCATATTATCCATTTAAATAAAAAATATTTATCAAAAAATAGTATCCATAATCAATTAACACTTAATTTATGAACAAATAGAAAAATTAAATTATATAATTAAAAAATCTAATAATGTATTACCAAAATTGAAAATAATTATGCCAATATTTGCATATCACAATTTTAATATTATTTTTTTTTTTAAAGATCGTACGTACATCGGTATCGTATTTTACGATGTTGCGATCAATGCAATAATCAATTTACTTTGTTGAAAATAACTCGTAACTCTCTTTGCCGCCATATTTATTTTTTATTATAAATGCAGTCTTGTGCAGTCTTGTGTATTTGTTAATAGATGAGAAAATAAAAAAATTTTAAACTAAATTAATAATTAAGAAATATCTCTGTAATTCTTTTTTTAAGTGTGTTGGTATGTATGTAAAAATATCTAACAAAATATCTAACAAACATAATTATAGTTATAAGAAAAATGATCCATTGTTATATATGGAAAAAAAAATTATACAAAACAAAAATATTTTATCCAAGGGAAAGTTGTGCATTAATAATCATGGTCTTAATATATCACATGGAAAAGGGGAAAACTGGTTTTATAATTTTATATTCCATCCTAAAAATCTTATTTTTATAGGATTGCATAACGATTCTATGTTTGATTGTATTTTACTTGGATTAAATTTTACGTTATATTCGGGTATGCCATTTCTAATAATTTTCAGAAACCTATAAAAATAATATATTTATGTCTATATATATATATATATATATATATATATATATATATATATGTATATGTATATGTTTATGTCTATATATATGTATATGTCATATATATATATATATATATATATATGTATATATATATATATGTATATGTCTATATATATATGTATAATCATTGTATAAAATTATTGAACTTACTCTGTTGCATAATGTTCATTTTCTGTGATATATAAAATATCATCAACATATCTGCATAGAAGTCCATTATTTTCATATGCAGGGAATATTTCATTGATCATGTCTTGGTAATATATTTCAGAAAATATTGGTGATATCCGCATACCTTGTGGTACACCATGCTTTATTAAATATACTTGACTATCTATTTCAACCTATAAATAAAGATATTAATAAATATTGATAGCAAATATTAAACTTTAACTTTAAATATCTCTTTATTCTACCTTCTGTTTAAATATTAATTTGTTTATTATAGTCATTAACTTCGTCATTTTAACTAAGACAGGTTTATTCCTCTTCATAACAGCTTTTTTTTCTAATATTGGCTTCAGATAATAACTTAAAAATTGCACTGTTTGTATTTTTCTTCTATTTTTTGACATGGTATATGTTCTTAATACAATATATCTTT